AGGGAATTCATTGCTCGAATGGATCAAACATTGCCGGTGTTGACAGAAAAGCCTGGAGAAAGTCAAGGACGGGTAGCGGACTTCTGGAGGACTGATCGTCGGGCGTCTTCGTAACCAACCAATAGCTACCCGGCGTGGGGCAGGGTGATGCTGGTCGAGGGCGCTCGTAGGCCCTAATTCGCGGCAGGAGCCAGGCGGGAAAGCAATATTCCGGGTAGAGAGATGTGGGCCAGGCAATGTCGACTCATGTGGAAACTTCAGTTGGCACGCGCGTGGGCCTGGGGGCAGCCAGCACGGCCGGCGAATCTCGGTGCATTCTCGCTGGTAACCCTTCAATCAAGGAAGGACAGCAGGACGTAGCCTCACAACCTCAAGCTGAACCGCCGGAGGTGGCCCCTTCAGCCTCAGCCGGCTCATTGTCACGGCGGAGTCTCTGACACTCTTGACCAAGTCTGAAAGGGGCTTGACAGGGAAAGACCCCAGTGAGGGCAAATGGAGCCGGACAGAGCCTAGAGTCGCCATTGATTCGATGGGGACGGTGGACGGGTGTTTCCAGAGACCGGAGAATGCTGCGGCCCGCAGCCTGTTGTCATCTGCAAGTATGTCGTGCGCACTTCGCGATATCCGGCATGGAGTGGGTTTCGAAGTTGGGCGAAGGGCGGAGCCGCGTCGAAATGGACGGATTCGAGCCTTTCCCAAAAACGGATCGAATTGGCCTCGGTGAGCTGGACCCAGTGGAAATAGCTTACTCCCGACTCAGGACGCGGTACGGCATGTGTTGGTGCCATTTCGACAATGAAACCAGAGACAAAGGGGGCCATGTGGCGGAGAGGTGAAGGTGAGGATTGGAGAAATGGTTTCAAGGACGAGCACGCGGACAAATCGGACGTGGAGTTGCGACTTCCTCAAGAAAAGAGTTGACGGGACAGCCACCTCAGCATCACGACGTTCGTTTCCAGCCCTTCAACGTCGCCCCTACACCTGTCGCTCGCAACTCTGACGGTTCCGCTGACCTTCTATGTACCTCATTACAATTTGGGGTGTCGGCAGCTCCTCTCCGCGAACAAATCGAGCTCAGGCGCCAAGTACTGAAGTGACAGTGGACGATGAACGCTCAACGCCGTTCTCAGCCATCAGGTGAATGTGGGCAATTCACTCTCTGCTCACACGCACACATTTGCAGACATTGCCAGACTTGTTACCGAGCTCTTGCTTTCGTCCTCCTTGTGGACAAGGACAAAATTACATACTAGGAAATCAGGCCTCGTCCCACGCTCGAACAGTTGGTTGCGGGCCTACTCCTAATCGCCAACTGCGTTACCACCCAAATACCCCCCACCAGCATACGCCTTCTTCCTCCGTTGGCACAATATCTGCTTAAACTTCGGCAAGTGCACGTGTGACTTGCCGAGCCAGCCGCAGTAATGTGACGAGGAGGAAAGGGATCAGAAGACGACGGGCATGCCGCAGACGATCAGACTTGCAAGTCTGACAGGTCGGCGAAGAAGTCTCAAGATTACACCCAGTAACACGTTATTGTGACTCACAAGCAAGTCTACCTAAGCTCAACAGCGCCCCCAGCTTCATTTCAAGAAACCTGGTACTCCACTTGCCGACAAAGCGCTGGCGAGGCCTCTGTTGGCCCCTGACAAATCCTGTGACCTTGACAGGTCGTACTGCTAAATGTCTCTCTTGCAGCTCGAACCACCGGTTCGTCCGTGGCTCCTTCCGCAGTGTGACCATGTTGTGGGATCCTCCAGTGTTTGTCAACACCGTCAAGGTTGAGCTGGGGTAGTGGTTATTCAGTGCCTCTGTTGTCAACCTATTTGGCTGAAGATCCTCCCAAACTCCGATTTGGAATGCTTCCAGATGCTAGCACTGGACATCGGATTCGCATTTTTGAATCATCTGAACATGGGGGAGCCGATGCGGAGTGACACCTGGTGCTGCCATGGCGTGCCTACCACGATCCTGCCATCCTTTCCGGGCGAGCGAACCCGTTGCTGCCGGGACGAGCTTCCCCGACGCAGGTCCCAACAAGAAGACTGAAACTCAGGAAAATGTTTGGCTCAGCTGCCCAGGGGGATCACCCTTTTCAAGAGCCGTCGGACGATGGCAGTCCTGGATTAGTTTCCCTCTTCGGGCTATTTTGAACACGACTGGCCATCAACAAGAACAGTAGTTGACATGGAGACTTTCCCATCAATGCGTCAGGGCGGAGGGTCTGGCTCCACGCTGCTGATGAGATCCTAGGCATGTCAGGCTTCGGCACCGCTGATTTATCAAGCTTTACTGGGGCACCATCAGGCGGAGAAGTCGGAGCTGACGTGGTTGTGCAAGCATGTTGTCTTCTGGTGTTGCAGGCCCTGGAAAGAACCATGCTTAGGCCACAGGCAGCACGTTGTGCACGTCGATCGACCCACTCGCGTTCAGCCATGTTTGACCACGATGACCTACCATTCGTAAAATGTTCCAGAAATACATGAAATCACCCTCCTTATTCTCTATGTCTTCTGGTTGCCATCACCGCTACCGTTACTCACCGCTTTACCTTGGTATGCCATCTGCAGAGGCCACGCGACCCGAACATCAACCCGGTTCGAACAGACGGTCGTACACGGCTATCGGACGTTTCGATCGTGGCTCTCAAGGATACGTTCTCCTGCCCTTTTCTGCGCTTTCCGGAGCCTCAGCCACGAAGTAGACACTCCAATGTCTGAGATCTCTGAGCCTTACACCCTATCGATCTATGGAGCCACCGTTTCCGCTTGCACCATTAGGCAAAAGTTCTGTCTTTCGCTAGGCAAGGATGAGGAGGGCAGGGAACTGCATCGAGCAGGTTGACCTTGGCTGGGGCTGCAACCGTTTTGCGGGCCATCCGAGGCTGTCAAGGTTGGTCGAATATCATATCACCGGACAATCCATTGCATGAACGAGTGAGACCTAATTCCAACCACCAGGCGTATGGCTCATGTCTTGGACCACTATTACCGACTAAAGTTTCAGGGCTCAGCCTCGTAATGTGCAGATCATCCTCACCCTGGTTCCCAGGCTTGGAACTCCTACTCGCGGCACAAGGCGCCAGCGCCCCCGCAGGTGACTTTGTGGCCCGCCTGGATTCGTTCTCGAGGCAGGCTCAGCTGTGTGAAGACTCAGCACGCGTATCTTAGACGACTGCGCAGGTACAGAAGCAGGAACCGTGTCTTGTCATGGGTCACATATCTATGCATTCCTCTGTGCCATTCTTCCATAATGCTCGTTCGCGCCATTAAGGCGTATCCTTTTCGGTGCCTTCAGACCGTTCATTCCCAAACTGACTGTACCGAGCGAAAGGTGCCAGAATTCCGGTATCTGTCAACTCTTCGCTGGCTCTCCCCACGTCTCCTTGTTTTCCCATTCTGTTATCCAGTCTCCATAGGGAGAGCATCAGACCGACTCACCGGCATCCTCGCCCGCTTTCTAGGTTGTCCTCTTGGCAAACTCGACTCTGAGAATCAAGTGCCGGTATCCGAAGCCATCCATCTTCTCGCACGCCCTAGCGGCATCTGATCTGTCCACAAAGCTGATAAAGGCAAAACCCTTGGCACGACCAGTATCTCGGTCTTTGGCGAGGAAGACGCGCGTGACCCGGCCAAACCGCTCAAAGAGGTCGCGGAGTTCTTGTTCTTCGGCCATCTCGGAAACCTAGCATGTGATTGTAAGCAATGATATGTTGCGCGCCGCCACAACCGCGCAAGGGAAAAAAAGGCAACTCACGTTGGTGACTCGTAACGTAGCCAAATCGTCCCTCTCGTACTTGCCACCCATCCTCTCGCCAGCGCCCGCGGCGCCCTTCCGCAAGTGCGGCGGGACATAGCTACTGCCGCCGGCGCCCAGTCCACCGGCCGCCTTGCCCCCGCCCTCTTCGTCGTCGGCCATCGGATCCGCGACGGGGGTGGCCCCATCATCCGCCGGCGCCATCGTATCCTTGAAGGGACATCTCGCAGTGAAATGCTCGCCCTGGCAAATCCGACACTTGACCTTCTTGTCCCGCAGCTGCTCCTTCAGCGACTTCTCCTCGGCCTTGCCACCACCGGACTTGGCCTCTTCGGCCTGCACATTCTTCCAATCCCTCGACGGGCGGAACAGGATGTTCTCGCCCACGGACGTGGTGTCGGGCTGGGGACCCTTGGGTTTTCCCTTCTCCAGACCAAACTTGGCCCACTCCCTCCGTTCGGCGACAACGGGGTTGACTTTCTCCTTGATCACTGTGGTGCGGGTCTTGCGCGTGACTTTGACTTTCTGGCCTTGGTCGTTGAAGCGGTAGAGGATCGTGGTCTTGATGCCGTTCTTATCGACGGTTGTGACGGGCGCAGGGAGCGCGGTCGGGTCGTTGATCTGTTCAGAGTCCGAGACGTCGTCGGCCCAGTCAGGCCGCCTGTGCCATTCCAAAGCAATGGTCAGTGGGAATTCTGGCAGAGGGCCGCAGTTGCGGCTGTTCGGCTGCTTGAGCGGGAGAGATGGCAGTGGACTTACGTTGCTGTTTTTGACATGTTGACGATCTTGCTGGTGGGGTTCTAGAATATGTTCAGAGATTCACAGCGGTTTATGAGTCTGAAGATAGATTGATGGCAAAGTCACAGGCCTACGAACAATTCCCACATTTTCCATCGCAGTCACTGCACCGAAGGCCAAAAACGGCTTAGTGTGCCAAGGTTGGCGAATGGCCGACAGGCACAACTCGCCATCTCGTTGCCTCCTGCTCACGCCACTCCTTCGGCGATCGTAGTTCCTTACCAGAGGCGAATGAGGTGTAATGGGAAGTTCATTTGCAAAGAGAAGCGTGTCGGATTCTCACACAGCAGATAGTGGGAGAAGACAGGCGCGGGAGTCTTCAATGGCGAGCTGACGGTCGGGAGATGCAATTGCTATTCCGCACGCTACGAGTCAACTCAACCTATATGCTGTACGGAGTACAGTCCAAGTACACTTGAAATACCCCATGCTTCAATCTACAACCACTATAGCTTGCTCTTCGACACAATCAATGAATTACCGATTGTTAGAGCCTTGACCGCGTCATTCACGAACTCATCCACGATCTCGCGGGCGGTCTTCTTCTCGTTGACCACGGCGGCCGCCTTGCCCATCAGGAAGGGACGGGCGTTCTCCATCTCCTCATCCGTCAGGTCATCGCCCTTCGTCTCGAAGTCGTGCTCGACCTGAAAGATCACGTTGTTAGCATCAGTCGTAACCAATTTGGGCGGTGGCACTTACAGGAATGACGCCCTTATCTGTCAGCTGCTTAATTTCTGCTTGCCTATTCTCCTCCCAATTCTTGATGTACTCGTTATTTCTGACCCGCAATGGTCGTCCAGTGAAGATAATCGTCCTGACGTTATCGTCAAAGCCAGCAGTGCGCACCGCTTCCTGGTGTGCTTTGGGAGCACCAGCCTCCTCAGACAGCACGAAACGTGTACCAACCCAGACGGCAGAGGCACCCAGCATGAGAGCAGAAGCCAGTGATTGGCCATTGAACATACCACCTGCAGCGATGCACTGGACGGGCTTGCCAGTGAACTTCGAAGGAGGAGCTTCGGCGCAGAGTTTGGCGACGCTGGGGATGAGAATCGAAGTGGGGATGTCACCAGTGTGGCCGCCACCTTCGCCACCCTGGGCGCAGATCAAGTCGACGCCTAGCTCGAGGCATTTCTTCACATGCTTGACGTGACCGATCATATTCTGGGACAGCAGTATTAGCCAGAGGTCCACAGTGTAACCACCGACATGACTTGCCATGTATAGGATGCCATTCTTGTGAAGTTTGTCAACGATATCTCTGGGAGGAACACCGACAGCGGAGACTGTTATCAAGAGTTAACGTCCATTTTCAAGTATACCTGCTGAAAGGTCCTACCAAAGAGCTTTGCACCGGAGTCAATGATGATATCAATCAGCTCATTGAGTTTGCCCTTGGTATAGTCGTAGCTGCAACCGTGTCAGCCCTGCGCTTCAGACCGTCAGACCGTATCGTCTCACTGACTTTGTCTTTCTTGCGCTTCCTCCTACCTGCGGAAGGAGGAGGTCAACACCGAAGGGTGCGTTCTTGTCATTCAGGTAGCTCTTTAGCTCTGCGACTTGTTCTCGGAGCATGTCCGGGGTGTACCCGACCTTATGAAGGCATCAATATGTTACCAGCGTGGTGTCTGATTCATAACTTACACCACCAATGACACCAAGGCCTCCCGCGTTGGTGACGGCGGCAGCCAGCTTGGGGCCGGCTGCAACGTTCATACCAGCCAGAAGCACCGGATGCTTGATCTTGAGGAGATCGGTGGTGGTTGTCCGGAGCTGCTGAGGGGAAGACATCTTGATGTGAATTTGAATGCGATCGTAGGGAGAATTGAAAGGGATGGAATGCGAAGGATGTTTTGGGACGAGCTCGCACGATATCTGTAAACTTCAGAACAACCACCAGTCCTCTGAGGGAATTCAATCGAGTATACTCGTACTTCACAAGAGACACGGCCGGGAGCGCAAAGTAATCAGGAAAGAAGAAGTGAAGATGGGTGAACGAGAGACATGCCAAAAGGTAGTAGTGGCTCAGGTGTGACTTGAAGAGCAAAGTACCGAGGCACAGCCCGCGTACGACGTCCCATCCCTCCCAGACCTCCACATTTCCTCCACATGGCGGTAGTCTCGACTCTACTGTGTAGGGTACGAGTACGACAGTATGTCTTGGACAAGATGGGCGTTGGCAGCGACAATATGTTCCTCGGCTCGAATGAGCTGCACGACGAGTAACTCGTGCTTGCAACACCTCCGAAAACGCGAACCGGCTACGTAGCCTGGACTACACTGGGTGTTTCGTGAACATGTGGAGAAGCAAAGTCGGTAAAACTGCCAAGCTCAGTCCCCGGAAACTGAAATGCTTGTCAGAGAAAGGAAGACAGCAAGAACAGCTGGTTTGGGGTACGGGTTACCTTCACGTCAATATTGCTGGTCCTCCACTGAACCCCATTACATCTCTTCGAACTCGCAGTGACACTCTCGGCCGTTGCTGGGGACTGATCAGTTCCAAGAGGTTCGCATGTTCACCATTTCACGGCGCCATGCCAGCCGGATCAGCAGTAGATGCTGTTTGACTCAACCACCTACTCGCAAGTTGTTCGTGAACAGCAGGGTCAGTGTCCACGCCGTCCATATCACTTGGTCATGCCGCCGGATCAGTGATCCTGTAGGTCCGGTGGTGAACCAGTTGGTTCCGGGAAAAGGCGCCGCGCATACGGTCAATGTTGGCCAAGACGTGCGAATTCCTCGAAATCATCGCAGGCAATTTCACTCGACTAAAGCAAACATGAAAACATCGCTTCCTAGCCCCGACGGGCTAAACTGCGCGGCCATTGCATTTGGAAGTAATCTGGGAGACCGAGTCGCAAACATTGAAGCTGCTTTGTCTAAAATGAGAGAGCAAAATCTCCGCGTGACCAAGCTCAGCGCGCTGTATGAGACAAAGCCCATGTACTATGATGATCAGGACCCCTTCTTGAACGGTGTCTGCCAGGTCGAGACAAGTCTTGAACCTCTGCCACTACTGGATAGGCTGCAGTCAATTGAGAATGAGCTGGGCCGGAAACGTATCATTGATAAAGGCCCAAGGACAATTGATCTGGACATCGTCCTCTACAATCAGGATCACATCAAGCACCCTCGTCTTCACATCCCACACATCAGCATGCTGGAACGAGACTTTGTGCTCAGACCTCTAGCAGAGTACGTGATACTGCTATTGCCCGTTACTGAGCTAACGTGCTCAGGATTTTGCCCAACCAGCATCTACCCTCAGACTTCATTCCAAACGGATCGAATCGGACAATAAGCCAATTCCTGCAAAGTCTCCCAGAGAAGGACACCACTATGTCGCCAGTCACTGTCCTGCACCCGGATTTGCCACTCATCCGAGTCCGGGATGCGACTCGCAAGACTCATGTAATGGCTATATTGAACTTGACGCCTGATTCATTCTCGGATGGAGGCGAGCATACAGATTTGAAGATGGTCAGAGCCTCGGTGGCCAAATTCATTACTGCAGGCGCAACCATTATTGACATCGGCGGACAAAGCACCCGACCCCGAGCAGATTTCCTTGGTCCTGAGGAGGAGCTGGCACGCGTTCTCCCAGTCGTTCGTGCCATCCGGGAAATGAACGGAGCTGACAAAGTTGCCATCAGTATTGACACTTTCCATTCAGATGTGGCTCGAGAAACCATTCTAGCCGGAGCAGACATCATCAACGATGTCTCCGCAGGGTTATTGGATGAGCGGATGCTGTCAACCGTTGCCGAGCTCGGAAAGACCGTTGTTCTCATGCATATGAGAGGCGATCCTCACACCATGACACAGCTAACTGCTTACCCGGACGGCGTTGTGCACGGAGTGGCAAGAGAACTTTCCGCACGGCTTCAAGCCGCCTTGGACGCTGGTATTCCTCCTTGGCGCATAATCCTCGACCCGGGGTTGGGCTTTGCCAAGAATCAGGCGCAAAATCTCGAGCTTCTGCGGAGTCTGCGGCAATTGCGAGAAAGCACAGATTACTCGTCTCTTCTGCAAAACTATCCTTGGCTGATGGGACCGAGTCGCAAAGGCTTCGTCGGTAAAATTACAGGGGTCGCTGAAGCTTCGCAGCGAGGCTACGGAACTGCTGCCGCCGTCACCGCAAGCATCGAAGGCGGAGCCGACGTCGTTCGAATCCACGATGTTAGCGAAATGATGCAGGTCACCAAGATGGCGGATGCTATTTACCGCCGGCCCTGAGGAGCCAAGCCGGTCTGCACTCTTCTATGCAACCATCCGATCTTTGTTTGCCAGTTTGTCGGTGAGGATAGAAAACCTCCACTGCCAGAAATATTGGTCGTCTTTCGCAGTGCTAATCCCAATATGAATTAAGGTTCGGAGCTCCTTATCCGATCACGGCCGATTCGTCGCGTCACGTCCTGGATGAGCAGTTATGAGGTCATCGCCCCTGCCACCATTGAATTTCACGAGACAGGCACGAGCTGACACCGCGTGTGCTTCATCCTCGCATAATTCATGTTCTTGACCTTGTGGTATACCCGGCGACTCAGACTCACAAGCATTCGCTACCTCGACGTCCGGCAGCATGTCGTCTAACAAGCATCCATTAGGGCTACGCTGGCGTGCAAACACTCTTTTCATCATAGCCACAGTCGCTATCGGTTTATTCACCGATCTCTTTCTTTACGGACTCGTCGTTCCCGTCCTACCGTTCATGCTCCGAGAACGAATAGGTCTTCCTGAAGACAAAATCCAATCTTACGTATCCGGACTTCTTGCTGCTTATGCTGGCGCTAGTGTCGTCTGCTCTATTCCTGTGGGGATCATTGCCGACCGAACCAGTTCCCGCCGCCTACCTTTCCTCTGTGGCCTGGCCGCCCTACTTGCCGCCACGTTGTTGTTGTCGCTTGGCCAGAACATCCCTACACTCATCATCGCCAGGGTGCTGCAAGGCACGAGCGCCGCCGTCGTTTGGACTGTGGGTTTGGCTATGATCTTGGATACTGTTGGTCCTGAGAACCTAGGGAAAGTGATTGGATCGGTAAGACGTTTTCGTTTCGCCCCGCGTCACTCTTCAACTAAGACCTGTTAGATTTTCTCAATTATATCCGTTGGAGAGCTCATGGCTCCTGTTCTCGGTGGAGTATTGTACCGCAAGACCGGCTACGCAGGGGTCTTTGGACTGGGCGCCGGACTACTCGGCCTCGACTTTATCATGAGAATACTCGTCATCGAAAAGAAGGTCGCCATCCGCTACGACGAGTCCCTGGCCGTTGCAAAGAACCCACGCGAACATGGCAGCCGAGAAGAAGAATCAGATAGCAGAGATGGTGTCAGCGAAGAGGAACCGCTGTTGCCAAAGAATGAGGAAGAAAACTACCGCATACCCGAAGGTCAAAACAGACTAGTCCGAAACCTGCCCATCCTCTACTGCCTATTGGACGCTCGACTCCTGGTCGCTTTTCTCCTGGCCTTCGTCCAGGCCGCTTTACTTGCGACGTTTGACGCCACCCTTCCCACCGAAGCGCAGACACTGTTCGATTTCGACTCTCTGAAGGCTGGCCTCCTCTTTGTCGCACTCGATGTTCCGTTTCTCCTGCTTGGTCCTGTCGCTGGATGGGCTGTCGACAGATATGGCACCAAACCTGCGGCTGTTATAGGTTTTGCTTACCTCGTTCCAACATTGATCCTCCTCCGGCTTCCGTCCGCGAAGATCGCCCCTACCCGCAAGACGAATATCATTCTCTACTGTGCCCTGCTTTCTCTCAATGGTATCGGCCTGGCTATTATTGGATCTCCTTCCATCGTCGAAGCCTCTGACGTGGTCCAAAAGTACGACAAGGCAAATCCTGGTGTGTTCGGCGAGAACGGCCCATACGCTCAGCTATACGGGTTTAATTCGTTGGTGTTTTCTGCGGGGCTGACCTTTGGACCAATATTGAGTGGGACGTTGAGGGACAGTATCGGCTACAGCAACATGAATATAGTGGTTGCATCCATCTCGGGCCTGACCGCCATCTTGTCGTTTTTCTTTATTGGGGGACCGCCGAGGATTTTGGAGAGATGGCAGAGGGGACGCCAGGACAGATAGGGCCTGTCCAGCAACAAGGAAGAAAGAGAGTAGGAAACATCACCTACATAGACTAGATTTGGCTCCGACGTATCTCTAAATGCGACGTCAGCGAATACAATGACATCCTTTGGGACATTCCAAGCTATGAAATAATCGATTGCCGTCGCGTGCACCAGGAGAGTCTCCACCCGTGGCAAGGGGGCGAACATAGGTAACAAATGACTGGTGAATGACCAAGAGGCACACAAACGCAATACATTGTGGACACGACTCGATCGAAGGGCCGCTCACACAGCCACGGTCACAGCACCGCCATGCTCAAGGTCCTAGACATGCAACCCCAGTTTCCCCACTACCATCTCATGCACGGCCAATGCTACCCCATCTCACCCGATATATATAGCGTAGTCTCTCACCTACGGTTTTCGACCCGAGCGCGCTCGCATCATCCGCGCAAGCAGCTTGGGCTTGGAAGCTGCGGGGCTGAAGGAATTCGATAAGGGCATCGCGTGACGCCAGGTGTATGTGTTACATCCAGGATGATACATGAGCGGACGGAAGGTAAAGAGCTGTCCGTCGACCTGGTCTGACTTGACTAGACTTGGCTTGAACTTTCTACAGTAATAGACAGCGGGAAAGAGGAATATAGAGAGAGCGCTGGACATGAGATGAGAAGACACGAGGGAAGCGTCTGACATGATATGCACGGGCTTAGAGATTGACAAGTGATTCTTTGAGGTTTAGAATTGCCTGCATGTCTGCCTGCTTGCTTGCCCTAGGGCGGCATGTCATATTATTGATGCAAAGAACAGGTGCTTCTGGCGAGCACTGAGGGAGGACTCCGAAAATGTTGTGCGCAAGACCTGGGTGGTCACCGGTCTGGAGAGATCTGTCCCCGCTTCTGAAATCACCGCTCGCTGCCCTCCTGACTCCTGACTCCTTTAAGATGAACGGTCCGAGAGATAAAGTCCGTGGTAGACTAGTCCCGCCTCACCGCGTCCTAGTGACCTCCAGCCAACCCAGGGATGAGATCTCAGGGGAACGAGATTCGCGTTGCAACCGAGATGATCGACCTTAGGCGGCTCGAAAATTGGTGGTGGCATTGCGGACTCCGTCTTGTTTCTGCTGTTCCGCTGCGTGTGGCGATTGCTGACTCCCCAATCGGCGCCGGAGCGTCCTATGGAACTCGAAGTTCAGCAAAGCTCGCAATCATAGACTCCTGGGGGCCTTCACAATCATATTGTCATAAATACTAGAGACCAACAGAAGAAACCCGTACCATTGTTGATATTCAACGTTGGTTCGATCGCCCACTCACTCCGTGACATAGGTGTTTGAGGTTTAGTTGCCTCAACACTCTGTATCCAACAACATACCGAAACACGGATCCAGATGATGGCGCGACTGGATGCGGCGAGTCGAGAAGTTGTAGGATTGCTCAGCCTCGGGCTGGGTGTCGGGACATGCGGGACATCCCATTTGCCCGTCTTTGCGGCGGAATGGCCACCAGCAAGGTGGAGCTGGTGGTTGCGGGGGAGGCTGCCGCGTCTTTGCATCCTCTCTGTACCAGGCATTGAGTTGTTCCCATCGATATCGCTCCCGGATGAAATTCATGAGTTTCTCCGACGCAGCCGTGTATCCTCTTCCCTCGAGCATCGGCCCCAACTTTTGGGCCGCACTCCAAGTGCCACCACTGTCTAGGCCGTCGAGATGACCACGGAGGTGGAGGACTCGCCACATCTGTTTCTCCGCACTGAGGTGGTCACGCAGGTGGAGCGTCAGAGAGGCACGCCGTTCCAGCAATTCCAAGCTGAACCTTTTCAGTACGGGGCGATGGACTTGATGGACTTCGCTGCGATGTTGGTCGGCGACAAGCAATTCCGTGGCCGCCATCGCCCTCTGGCAATACTCGACAGCCAACCGGAGATTCCCTATCTCGGAATGTGCTCGAGAAACAACAGCCAGGCAACTGACAGTTAGCAGATCGTGTCGACCCATCCTTCTTTCGCAAACCGGTAGACTTTCGGTTAGCATCCGAATGGCTTTGTCGTACTCGCCCTTGCGAATCAGATGCCACGCAAAGAGATAACCACTGACAAAGTAATTCGGATGCTCGGTGCCCCAGATCTGCCCGATCTGTATGTGCGAGCGCTCCAGATCGTCACCAACGCGGTTCATGTCTTCCTCGTCGTCTCTCGCCCAGGCCCAGGCATAGCGGAAGGGTGTGGCGTAAGTGAAGCTCCGTCGCACCCGAGGCTGCCTGTCAATGAGGGCGCAGCTATCCCTGAGGAAATGGGCCAGTAGCTGCTTTCGTTCGGTTTGTCCCAATACCAGTATCACCCAGCTGAGTGCCGGAAGAATGAACTCATTATTGTGCTCCAGGGCATACTGTAGAGCATCCATTGAATGTGCTTTGCTGCGCTCTAGCGCGTCTCGCCTTGCGTCCTTTGAGCATTGCATATAACAGGGCGCGGCCCACTGGCTGGCAGTGAGTTTATGGAGTTCAGCGCTCAAGTGCTCATCAAGTCTTGCGTTACCTGAAAACGTCCGCATATCAAGGTAATCCGTCTGGGCCAGAGGGAACTTGTTCTCCAGAGAGTCGATTGATTCATTGAAATCGAAGTCCCGATGAGAATGCGGTGGTGAGCATCGCCTACAGATAGTGAATTCTGACCGAGACCATTTGACAACAGCCGTAGATGTTTCCTGGCTCTCTTCCTCGAAATCGGCTAGGCTCGTTACAGAACTTTGGCTTCCCACGGCCGGGAGGGGTCGGAGGATCGGAGCATGCGGTGAGACCGTCGAACTTGGCCATTGTACTAAGGCCGTGTGATTGAAGTCTGGAGCGAAGTTTGAGGTCATGGATGAGGCGTCGAACTGGAGAATTGGCACAGTTCGCTGGGATCGCCTGAGGCTTGGAGAAAAGGTGCTTGTATGCGTATACACGGTCTCCGGCGTATGTATACTCATTGGCGTATCCACCCCTTCTGCCATAGGCATCGCTGCACTATTGTCATAGGACATAGACTCCAGATGGATTTGCCAATTTGAACAGCTGGAGCATGGCGGCAGGCTTGACACTGGGGCGCAACTTTCCTGCTCCAGGACATTGGTGCAAACCGGAAATCTGCTATCCTGCACCGGCACTAGCTCGTTCGCTGCCCCGAGAGAGAAATTTGTGGGAGGTGACACTTGAGGTTGTGCGTACAAGGGCGACAGAAGCCCGTTGTAGGGATGGTCCTGTTCAAAGACATTCGGCCGCACCACCAAATGCTTTTCACTCCAGGAGATTTTGTTCTGTTCCAGGATCGCCTGAGCGTGAGAGAGAGAGGGTAGGTGCAAAGGCTGACCACGGGTAGCGTATCTTTTCTTGACTCTCTCACATTCTTTCCTGACCTTCTGTGTGGTGTAAGTCACTCGTTCCTCCCTTTTCGGAACCTCAAAGTCGATGTCCACGCCGCAAGACTTGTAATAGTCGGCGACGACCAACATGGCCACATACTGCTGAAAAGGGGTCTTTTTGCGCTCGAATTTCCATTCGCTAAGCCTGTTCTTGATCTGCCTCTCGCTCACTTTGAAGCCTTCGTTTTCGAGCGTTCTCTGGATATCTTCACATGTTCGATTCTCGGTCAAGTACCATCTTCGGATGACGTGCTTCCGACGCTCCCACGCCTCCTTGGGAGGCTGCGGTGAGCGATCGGCCGCCATCGGGTCGGAGGACTTATCTGTCCTTGAGACCAGGAATGGAACGAACGCCTCTAATGTGACGGTCACCGCAGAGAAGTATCCAGTGAGCGCGCTTGCAAATTCCTCCGGCACCGAGGTGGAAGAAAGGTTCGTAACAGCACAACAGGCAATGGGGGCGTTGCGGAGTCAGGTGGTCGTCTCTTTTGGCAGATAAGTGCCACAGCTTGTTATTCGTTAGAGAGGACCGGCTGTTTGAATGAAGGTGTCATATCTGTGCGACAAGGCGGCGGCACTGTGATTGGGCCAGTGGTCGATGAGGGCGCCGGGGCCAGATAGGATCAGCAGGTAGTGCCCAGTTCATGTGGACGATGGGTGGTTACAGCTTCCGAATACAAGACGTCTTTCGACGGTTGTTCCCTCCGTCGGTTCCGCAGGCGAGAAGGCAACAACGACTTGTCCAAGACGCAGCACGTGGCTAGGGGTTGGACACGGCAGTTGCCTAAGAAAGAACGATTAGTGTGCTGAGGGACGCAGGGTTGGCGAGTGCAGACAGGCGATGCCAGCGAGCCAATGTTGCTACCTAAAGGTCGTGTGGGGGGGCCGTCTGGCAGTCGGGGATCGAGTGACATACCTGGGCTCAATCTGACCGAGCACGACATGCTGTGTAACCGCGGTGTCACCTAGCCAGGCCAGAGCGGATTGAGCAGCTTTGGGCAGACAGACGTTGACGAGGTGCCAGCTGGTGCAAGATCTCGCGCTCAGTCTTTCATCCAGTGATACAGTGCGTGTGGAGCCAAACCAAGAGCCAAGAGGGCAAGAGCAAGAAGAGATTGACAAGGAGATGCATGGATGCTGAGGCTGAATGACAGGTCATAATCCGTATCCCATCCTGCCAGTGCGCAACGGACAATGCACATCGCTGCTACGAATGTGAATACATGTACCAGTACTTGCATTGGAGCGACATGGCGAGCGTTTGGGCTGGGAGGTCGAGCCTCCGGAAGTCCTGATGATTCGACCCCATCAGGTCACCCCTCAGCAGCAAATGCACAAGCCTATGTATGGATCACAAGTTTCTGTGCGCAATTGTACATGCACCAGGCGGGTGAGTGATTGTGATTGCCCGATAGCTGCAGCGACCCCCTTAGCCCCCTCCCCGCATACCTGGTAGTTTCGTGACAGTCCGTCAAAAGCGGCAATGCTGATACTGTACCCTGCCGGGACGTGGTCCTGGTTCAAGCTTCAGCTTCCTGTCTGTCCGCCACTGGTGCATGAGGGGCCGGGCGACCTGGCGTACGCTTGGGTTGGCCCAGTTCTCCACGAAGTACTCTTTGTGCTCTTCGGGCGGATATTTATTCCAGTGAAGACTGCGTGACTAAGAGGCGAGGTGACTACAAAGTGACTGTGACGGCAGAACACGGATTCAAGCCAAATATGCGGACGGGACTGTTGACCACTTCGTCGTCGATTACTGATTATAATGAGGGCCTGAGTGTCCGAGGGTTTCCTGAAGCGTTTGCACCGGCAGCTCTCTGACTGGCTGACAATCAACTTGCCAGCACACGAGGATTGCCCGCCTCTCTTTGGGCACGAATGGCTATTCCAATAAGAAGATGCGTCCTCTGCAGGCCCTGGCTCGTCAGTTTCGGGCTCAGGCCGGGTATCAATCCCCAGCTGCTGCTAGCATTGATTGGCCAACCTCGTTCTGCCCTCTCGGTCCGTTGCCTATGATTCTGACGATTGATTCAGCAAGCGCTGTAACGGTTACGATTATGGTCATGGTGATTGTTTCATTGACCATCCAGGCGGCGCACCAAGTAGACACTGAATCCTCTTCGGCCAGCCCTCAACATCCTGGCCTACAGTCTCGGCTTGCGCATTTAGCACCTTCTCTGGGCAGCCGGGACCAAGATTGGCGAGCGCATCATTCTGCTGCTCGCAACCTTCTGAGGGTGTCGGAAGGACAGCACAAGGTCGACCTCCACGGCGCTGGTTTGATGAATCTGCTGCAAAAAAAGCGGTGACGTCACGTATCCCACGTCAACTTGCCCATGGAAGTCTGCTCGAGTTTTCGTGTTGCTGCTGTGGTGCTCCAATCCCGGACGAGCTCCGTCGAGTATGGTCCATAAAGCAACGATGGAGGAGAAAACGGAGTGAGGGTGAAAGCAGACAACTACTCATGAGGTGGTTGGGCCTCCATGACAATTATCATAATGGTGAAAGGCGGTTAGACTTGCAGTATAAAATGATACTTGCACAACCATTTGTAGCCGAACATGCACATCGCGTACCATGTGTTCTCCTATCTCAGATGGGCCTAAGCCTCGAGCCTGTCTTCTCGTCTTCACATCATAGGCTGCACCGAACCTAAAAACGGACAATGGCATATACCCAGCGCCATCCACCCAAGTTCTTTTCAACTTGATTGCGATTCGGTGCCTCCTTCATGTCTCGCAGCTGACGGCAGCTCTGAATAACCAACCACTGGTCCCATCTTCATGATATACCAGGGAGTGGACCCGAAGGTTTCGGCGGAGGCTTTGGCGGAGGTGGCTTGTCGTCACCCTTCCCGTGGCGGCCTCGACGTGAGGCCTTGAGCGCGCTCGTATGATCGGTGTCTGGGCCACCGCGTGGTTCAGTATCATTTCCTGTATCGCCGTTGGGCCAGAATAAAACCACCCAACGGGAAGGGAGTTTTGTCTCACCAGGTAGATTGTAATGGGTGCCGTGGCTGCTAGCCGTGGGGAGTAAATGACGGGCGTTGGGGCTTCCAATGGCTGTCGAGGTAGTCAGCTTGTGGTAGTACAAGTACAAGTACATTGCCCCCGGCCGAATGCTGTCGTGCATGAGGGTTGGTGACACAGACCGTAGGCCATTGGCCGATTCCCGCTGTCCATAACAAGAGGCTAGTTTTAGTCAGAGCCTCGCAGAATTTTCGATCCTTAATCACGACAACCTCTCTTGAAGTTGCGAAGAGGAAATATTCAGTCAAAAGGAGAACTGAAGCTTGAACGGACTAAGAGGCGCAGGGCGGGGCAGTTTTTTAAGGGGCGTGCTGGCATCTCGCACAGCCCCTTCGAGTTACAGACCCTTTCTGCGTCTGCCGTCATTCAGGATATCGCTTTGAACGTTTCGACCGCCGAAGCACCGTCCCATGCATGGTCCGACGATCGTGCAGTAGTCCTGGAAGGTTCTTCGTCGATGATACCTTTTGAGGCATGAGCGGTTCGTTGGAGGGTGCGCTTGATGATAATAGCTGACGAGTAATAAACCCTCCGAGATTCATTCTTGTGACAGGTCGAATTCTGTTCAGTCCAAACCTTCTGTGAATGGTCGCGGAAGCGGAGCTGGCTGCAAGAATCTTCAGCCTTTAGAAGGATCCCGGCACTGGCAGGCATGTAACGGCATGTGCAGCGCCTCTAGGCAATCGGGAGTCAGGCGAACTCGGCACTCGAGCACCCAGCAGCAGTCAAGGAGACCATTGCGACCCTGGCGGTGTCTTCGTACGTAATGACCGGCGGAAGAGATCTCCATATCCGATCCCGAGCGCCGCCGGGGCGTAGAGTGGCCGTAGGGTCAGCACAGAGCCGCCTCCAACCCGTGGTTGGACGTCACTTGTGCTCCACGCTCACCCCTGGCACAACATACCACACGACACAGACCAAGGGCCACAGCAACAGTGGTCCATCGAGCATCCGTTGATTAATTCCTTCAAAGCAGACGGCATCGAATATCGTGGTCGTATTCCATGGTCCTTACGCGTCCTAGTCTCACCGCGAAAGAAAGTCCGGCCCAATCTGTACCGTGGAAATGGTTCAAATCAGCAAAATGTGCCCAGAGCGAGAACATTATTCCCGGGACACAGCAGCGCCATCCAGGAGTCCGAGAACATGCGTGCGAGAATGCTGAACAGCAGTCCCTAGCTGTGGAGATGCTTGATCCGTGGAACCCTTGCGTTAAGGCCGCTCGGCAGTGGCAGAATTGCTCATTGGAACAGATCTACGCCTCTGTCGTTCCATGGTCGGTGGATAAAATGCCCGGAGAGCAGGATGACCGTGACCGTCTTTGCTTTTTGGCGTCAGGAGGCTGGGCAGGTCATCGAGCGCAGATGTGACGGCAGCTCCGGGTCTCGGGGGCTCATCATGCTTGCATGATGGTCAGCGGGCCGAAGCATTGAGGGAACCGCCTCGGACATGACGAAGAATGCTCAAAACCGTCAGTGAGAGTAAGTAAGATGGTGATGGAAGGTGAATGAACTGAAGAGCAGCGGTGGTGAGGACGAAATAGAGTTGGCTGGCGCGGTTCTGGCTTTACGGGGCACGGGAGTCACCGGAGGTCAGGGGATCAGGGGTGGCACTGGCAGCTCATTGATGATCCATGTGCTCATGCTTGTGGGACCAGCAGGAAAGAGCTACTGTAACGGGCACTGCGCTGCACTGCACCAGAAATGCAGCCTGCCTGCGGATCGCCTAAGTTGGCACTGCCTGCGACGGATGCTAAGTCCTGCCCAGCAACACCACTTCATTAATCGAATGCGGGCGTTCGTGGATGGCGACGACCTTCTCCACGAGTGCCTTCCTCAACCGAGCCTCTCATCCAAGAGCAATCTACTCTCCCTACCCAGAAGCGGCTACCTCTGCACACTGTCCTCGCCCTACCGGACAAATCAGAACCGAACATGTCATCTGAGCACAAGGGCAAGAGAAGCGTTTTGGGTGGATGGTGCCGAAGGCGCGCGCGCGGCAAGACGGAAGACGAACAGATTGTGCCTGCAAACGACCAGCCTACGCCCTTGCGACCAGCCCGTCCAATATGACACCGGTTACGTTGCATGAATGTCCTGTCACCTGAAGGAGATCTTACTGGTCTCTCTCCTCTCTCGCACATTGCGCCAACTCGTAATTGGTCTGGTCCGCCAAAGGCCCTGCCTATCAGTTACATGACTCGAACGACCTCCCTGCGTGCACATGACGGCTTGCCGGAGAGACTCGCCAGAAGCCTGGGCCAGCTGCGGTTGACGCCTAAAGCAACGACGCAGGCCGACCCGAAACGCCAACACGTTGCATCTGCGTCAACCGTGGCTCTACAACATGGTCCACAGCAAGGCAGCATGGCTTATATGCAACGAGACCCTGTGTCACAATCCTCTCACCTATGAGCCGGGGTCACAGTCATCAAGGCCCAAAACATCACTGAGTTCCACTCGTCTGCTTGGCCACCTGTCGAGGCGGATCCAATGCCACGGCACACAGAGGATCATTAATGTGCTGTTCTTTCTTCCCACACCATACACAATTTCTAACCCGTACGGGAAACGCAGCTTTAGCGGCCGGCGTGCTCTGCAAGCCCCAAACGCAACTCCTCCACATCCCTTCCAGCCTAATTGCGCAAGGGTGTCAACATTCATGCGTGCACTCTTTTCGTCCCAAAATCCAGGCTCTGCCACAATGTTGATCATCTTGGCAACAGAGGTAGTATAGCATTCAGACCCATGGTTGGTGATTTGAAGATTCTTTGCACGCCCGGCAAGACTCGCACTTGATCAATTTGGTTTGCCGCGGACTAATCGATAGTGAACACATTTGGTGAAGTGAGTTGAGACGGGTGAAAATTTGACGTATAAACTGATCACGGCGCTGGTTCTCAAGCGGCTCATGCCTGTCTGCACAGTGAGCCCTGCATGGTTGGGCTCCAGAAGACACCGTGTGTCTACCATCCGACATTGACTTTTCTATTCGTACTCAAGGTCGTGGAATGGTGAGCCGAAAGGTGCGGAAGAGCACACCCAGCAGTGATTTCATCACATTGTGCCTTCAGGCAGGGGTAGTTGCCACTACCCTGCCGACGCCGGTCAAGGCTTCTTCAACGCTCATTTTCCACAATTCCCTTCCAAATCACAAGAATGTACGAGACTTCGAAAGCAAGGAAGCGATACGGGGCGCAATTGTAGCAATATTGCCTGGGGTTCTGTCACTAGGCCTAGACCTCTCTACACCATTTGTACAAGATCTCGCCCGCACCAGCGGCACCCAACTTCTGCTTAACTGCCCAGGCGACTTCATCAAGCGTCACATCGACCCTGAACATTCTCGTTACGATACCGTCTCCACCCAGCCCTTCGTCGTCTAATCTGCCACCAACGCCTGAAGCTGGGACTATGAACTCCCATAGAGCCAACTCCTCCCATGCACTACGTGCAGTATCCTTGTTCCACATCCTCAAACCCGCTCCCGTCAGAGTCCCGCCTTTGTTGAACGACAATAGTGATGACCGTTGAAGTCTAGATCGAGTCAACAGATCCGTGTACTGTTTGTGGACAAGTGAGAAGTTTACAACTATCACGTCGTAGATCGTTTCGAGCCGGGTGGCAGAGATGAGGAGGGACAGATGCAGAATAGGAAGATGTGGGAGAAGAGCAAGCAGAGATGGAAACGCGGTGGTCGTGTCCATCATGCTTGGGAAAGGTGCCTTTGGTTTGTCCTCGAGGTCGGTGGGCACAGCGAACGTCGCGATAGGAACATACAATGCTGCCAGCACGTCGGGAATAGATTTCGTGCTGGGGAAGATTGTCTTCAGCATCGATTGGACGCTCGACGACGGGAGGAATTGAGTCTACACGATCAGTCAGGTCAGTACGCTGCTCGGCACCCGACGATAATCGCGGCAGGCTTACCTCGATAAATGCGTTCCACCTTGTCCTCCAATCTCGTTCTTCGTGTGCCACTCCAAGCGCCTCTTCGCCCTCAACAGGAAGACACAAGACATCCTTGACAATCTCCTCGAAGGCCACTAGACTCTTCGCTGCAGGGATATGCAGCCACCGGTGGCTAAAGCGGCTCTTCACACGTTTCTCGAGGCAGTCAACCACATCCATACGCGTGGAGCAACCGATCACCGCAATGGGCGCCTTTTTCGCCTGCGCAATGTCGAACAGGTTGTACAGCAGCGTCTGTCGCGGATGGGTGGTGAAGAGGTCGAACTCGTCCATGATGAAAATGACGCTTTTCGACGTCCTTGTTGGTCCATGCTCGCGTGAATTGAAGGCGCCATCAACCTCGACAGCGTTAGGATCCCCAAATTCCTCTGGATGACTTAACAGGCTCAACAGACTTGCCATCGTGTCGGCATAGCTCGACACTTCGCTCGTCTCATCCTCCGGAATTGCCATCTCCTTTCCGAGTTGGTGCCATATCTCCTTTAATGCAACTTTGTCGTCGGTTTGGAAGAACCCGTTCAGTCTGACGACGTGAAAATCATCACCGTACGACTTGCTCAAGTCGGCAATGGCGTTTTCGATAAGGAAGGATTTTCCACTGCCCCGGGAGCCGAGCAGCAGGAGAGAATTGGACTCGCCAGCCGTGACTGTGGCAGTGAGCAGGGAATGGAGTGTGATGTACTGGTGCTGCAGATGCGCAGGAATAGCCCCTGTTGGATTGTCTGGGGCCTGATTGCGGCTTATGAGACGGGAGAGGACCTGGACCTTTATGCTGGTGAGACGGGGGTTTTCGTCTCCTGTCAGAGCCGACTGCGCCTGCGCCATCTTCGAAGCGGATTGAAAAGTGGTCGGGATATCATCCATGTCGTGGTATTCGTCTGAAATGGAGTTTTCATCTGCTTCCCCTATGGCGCCATGCTGTCGTCCCTCATCTTGATTCTCCGCTGCATTTTCAAAGACATTTTCGTCTCTGGCCTCAGGACTTTCCGGGGTGCTTTGTGTGCTGGTATTCCCGTTCTTTCTTTTCGAACTGCCAATGTCCTTGAATCCGAAATGTTCTTCAATCTGCCTCTCGTCTTTGTCCTCCACGTCGACATCCTCGTGAAACACCACGGACTTTCGTGGGCCGTTCCTCTGCCCGCGTCCGTGTCGCGAAGGGGTTAGTATCCCCTTTGGTTGAGGAGAAAGGACATCCGTGGCTGCTCGGTTCTTTACTGGCGATGTCGCAGGGGTCTGTTCGGGTAACTTGGCGACAGGAGAGCCATGTCGTCGTGTTGGCCGCCTCGTCCGGCCACTTGATCTTCTGCCTACGGGCTCGGCTTGTTCCTCCTCGATTTCACCCGGCCTGGCAGTCTGTTCCGCTCCGATCTGGCTCTTCCCCAGTCGCCCTGATCGCCCACTTGTTCGTGCATCCGCCATTATGTCCGAGAAGCTATCTCCTGCTGTTTTCCTGCCGCCGCTATTCCTCCGCGATGTGGGAGTTCTAGCTTGCTCTGCACTCTCCACCGCCGGAGGACCCGTCGTCGGCTCATCGCTCTCGTAAACGTCCTGCTCGGCCGCTTCTGCTTGCGTCACACCCCTTGTCGTGACCGGTTGCGAGTCTCGAGCCTGTGTAGGAGACGAGGCTAATGTTCGTCTTCTAGTCGCATATGTCCCCGTTCGCTTGCGCTTCAGACCGCGAGGGGGAGGGTCGAGGTCGTCCATGCGAGGCAGAACAGCAGCTGACAGGGTAGTTGTCAAAGAGACACTTGAGAGCAGGTATTTGTTAACGACGACAGTGCCAGTATGCGCGTGCAACAATCGCCAATGGCTCATCCTGCATGGGCTTTACGCGGTGCGCGTCGGCAGAGTTTCCACGCCTGGAATGCGTCTTACTGTGTAGCAAGGAACCGGCCACCAGCAAGGAAGCGTTTCAGACAGGCTGCATTACCGCAAATGGAGCTCGAGATTTGTGCTTGCTACTCTGTACGCAGGACGCTACTACCTAGGTATGAATGCTGGTTCAAGCGTGCTCTTTAAATACTTGTCAAACACGTTATATAGGTGGCGGTTGTGGTTTTGCGAGGGACCTTCGGGGCGGAATTACCGTACAGTATTGACGTCGTCTGACACAGCCAAATCTCAAACAGCCCTGCGGTAATTTTGGCATTCTACTATGCTTTTCTGTACGTGCGGCGTCATGCGGTATTATTTTTCGACACGGCCGGGAATCCAAACCAGCCATGCCAGCCTGGGTGGACTTGGTGGGGATCGCGCAGATGAAATCTGGGGTAGGCACCACCCCGGTGGATGACTTCAACTCCTGCCAGCTTGCTCAACCTCTTCCGTGTACGCAGAGTCCGTTCACCACAAGTATATGGTGGGAAGTTACCAATGAGGAGAGACATGCCGGCTCATCAACCTGGCACCTTCAGCGAGAGCCAAAACAGCTCACTGAATTTGAGCGAACGTAACATTGTCGTTGAGGATTTTTCCCAAATTTCGCCGAACGATTGGGACGCCGCGTGCTGGTTTTCTACGATGACCCAATCATTGCGCCTTCGCTACGCATCACCCCGGCCATTTTGCTCTCGTCTTCCGGCATCCACTTCTCTTACTTTTGCGGGGAGTGCAACGCGAGGTACAAGTCCCAGTGACGAACAGCCACCGACAAGCACCAGCTGATTCCCCATGCGTCTTCCACTATTTTCTAGTGCCCAATCATCCCATCCATTGACCTTGATCAAGTCCAACTCCGGTATGGGCTTTGCCCCGTCCGGGCTTTCTCTCGGCTACCAGCTGGACCTACAGGCGAGGCATGCGGGTTTCCCACTTGATCTGCTTCTGCCCTGACGTACCTCGGCCAGGCGTGAGATCAAGACTTACCTTTCTCCCATTGCTCCCCATATTAGCTATTCCTGCTTTCTCTTGCGACACCTTGCTCGAATGCTTGCACAACGCTCCTCCCGCCATCGCTCCCGTTAATCCGACGACATTCTACCCGCGAGAGTAATGCGCCGGCCATCATGATCACAAGCAATCCCTCTCCTGCTCGGCAATGAGCGATGCAAGCAGCGCCCACCGCGACCCTAGCGGTCCAGAATGCAGCCGCTCCACAGCCTCGACTGACAAGCCGCACCCGTCTGAGTTTCTCGAGTTCGTCACTGTCGCTGGTGGCCCAACTCAGCATCGCTTGGAACCTCTAAGGACGCAGACTGCCAAAGACTTGACCGAGGACCGCATCAATGCCACTCGATCCAACGATGACCTCTTCCATGGCCTTTCGGCCGCGATACCGAGCCTCCGTCGTCTATCGGTGGAGGCACGAGCGGCTACGAAGGCAGAACATGCCATGACTTTCCTGACGGGATGTCGACTGTATCCAAAGGCGATTGCGTGGTCCCTCTTGTTGAGCATGACCATAGTGATGGAAGGCTACGATTTGACGCTGGTCAATTCGTTCTTTGCATTTCCGGTCTTCAGGCGCTCTTACGGCACGCCGCTTCACCCAGATGCTCCTCCAGGCCAGCAAGACTACCAGATCTCACCGGCATGGCAGTCAGGTCTCACCAATGCAGCCGTCGTCGGCGAGATCATCGGTTTGTTTTTCAATGGCGTTCTCACGGAACGATTTGGTTACCACAAGACCATGGTGGGCACGTTGGTCTGGATGGCTCTCTTCGTCTTCTTGGCTTTCTTCGCGGTCAACATCAGGATGCTCCTTGCGGCTCAAATCCTCTGCGGACTGCCATGGTAAGTACCATACACGTGAATCCTTGTCTAGAGAGCGAAGAACTGACCCTCGTACAACAGGGGCATCTTCCAAACCCTCAGCACAACATACGCCGCGGAAGTCATGCCAGTAGCCCTTCGAGCGTATCTGACATCCAACGTGAACATGTGTTGGCTGCTGGGCCAGATATGTGGCGTCAGCGTCATTCGAGGTCTTGTGCACAACAACTCAGAATGGTCCTATCGCATCCCCTTCGGCCTGCAATGGGCCTTTGCCGTCCCAATCCTGGTCGGCGTATTCTTCGCGCCAGAGAGCCCGTGGTGGCTCGTGCGACACGAGAGGGTCAACGAGGCGAAGCGCTCCCTCCTGAGACTCACCACCCAAGACTCCGATCCCGACTTCAATGCCGACGAGACGGTTGCGATGATGCAGCACACGAACGAAGTCGAGAAGTACCTCAACGGCGGCGGCGTCTCGTACTCTGACTGCTTTAAGGGCACCGACCTCCGACGAACCGAAATCTGCTGCATGGTATGGTGCACGCAAGCTCTGTGCGGCTCCACGATGACGGGCTACGCGGCGTACTTCTACGAACAAGCCGGCTTCAACACGGCCGACAGCTTCAACCTCGCCATTGGCATGTACGGCGGCGCCATCTGTGCGGGCATCTTATCCTGGATCGGGATGCGCCACATCGGCCGCCGCACGCTGTACATTGCCGGCCTGGTCCTGTCGTTGATCATCCTCGTGGTGACGGGCATCGTCGGCACCTTCAAACAAACCCACGGTGTCTCCTGGGCGCTGGGCTCCTTGATTATCGTCCTCACGTTCGTGTACGACTTCACCGTCGGGCCCGTCTGCTACGTGCTCGTCGCCGAAATCCCGTCCTCCCGCCTACGAGTCAAAACCGTCGTCATTGCCCGGGTCGCCTACAATGTCATCAGCATCATCACCAACATCATCACCCCTCGCATGCTCAACCCCAGCGCGTGGGACTGGAAGGGCAAATCGTGCTTCTTTTTCGCCGGCACGACCCTCGTGTGCCTCGTATGGTGTTGGTTCCGGCTACCCGAGCCGATGGGCCTGACGTACATGGAGTTGGACATTCTGTTCGAGAAGAAGGCAAAGGCGAGAAAGTTCCGCGAGTTCCAGGTCAATCTGGCGAGCACGGGGTATTTCAGCCTGAGCACCCAGAACAGGACAGACAGTGTTTGGAGAGGTTATCAATGACGTCTGTCTGGGTGCACAGTCAGTAATTAGCACTGAAACTACAGTCTTGACTTTTCCTCCTGCTACCTCGTACTACTACTCACCTTTACGGAGCGTCAGCGGTTCCCCTGGTGTCCACAGACTGACTTGCACCTCGCGCTTCGCTTTATCACTCATCCCCCACTGCAAAGTGAAGACGGCGGTTGTTTCTGTGCTACCAATTCACACGGTAAACAACGTGGTATTAGTCCTCACGCCCGTCGCTGGCTTGGCTCCACGTCGCTCGCAAGTTCTGCCCGCCTCCGAGACTCCTACGCATGCACGGACGATGCGCGCAACGCAGACATACATACCCCTGCCCCACCCTGCCTTGCTCTATCTACTATGTACGTACCCGCGTGCTGAAAGTCTAAATGCCCACATAAATACCCGACTAACCTGGATGCGTCGTTCGTGGCCTCTCCGCTGGATTGCATAATTAGATGGAAGATCGGACCACGGCTCGAGGCAAGCACTCGGCATGCCGCAACAGTAGCTGTAACTGCGCGTGCACTTGCTGGCTTGACCGAGCCCGATGTCTGAGAATGTATCTCACCCACATACACACAACAGACGCGCGGTCTGAGATGAATGACAATCCTCAGCGATCTGTATATTTCAGATACTGTGTTCTGTCCCACGGGGGCATGAAAAGGTGGCGTTAGCGGTACCCGGAACAATAATCATGGCACGGGAAGTGGGATTGTGGGAAGATGTGGGTGGAAACACTACTTCCTTCTCCGTCCCCGTGCTGGCACGGCTGGGTACCCAGTATCCACTACGACATGGTGGTTTCACACGAAGGGGCCAGTCTCGGCCTCAGCCTCGTGGCCGTGGAGGGAACATTTCGTTGGGAGCGAAGAACATGAGAGCCTCTTTCATGATTGGAACACCAATCGACCACGTCACAAAAACGAAGAGTTGACCACCAGGAATGTAGGAAGCAGACTTAATAGGACACGAAGTGATACAAGAAACTTCACTGAAGCTGCCGTGCCATCACGACCCAGACTGCTCTGTGAATGGAGTATGAAGGTTGGTGTTTTGTTTATTTGCTTTGTGGGGAGTTTCCTCTTGATCTATGTGACGCGCAAAAGTACAAAGCAGAGTTCTTTTTGAAGATTCAAACTGCCATCCGGACCGTGTCGTTTCGCTGTGCCAGGATCCTGCAAACTGCAGAAGAAAGCAGGCAGTGGATGTATGGTCCAATTGCAAGTCAGTCTTCCACAAGTCATCCCCCAACACGGCCATCGATCTTGAACTGTCAAGTCTGTGCCTCTCAAGGTAAGGAAGAAGTTGCAGGTTTGCCTGCTCCTGTGCCCGCAACACATCGTCCTGGAGGTTGTGTCTTCGATCAACAAGATTGATCCGTTCAGCAACGACTACTCCCATGTCCAATTCACAAGGACTTTGAATGCATGCCCTCTCGGAAACGCCATCAATAAAACAAGCGTAGCCACCAATGAAGCGCGGTATGGATAGCAACATCCATGCGCACACAGCAGTCACCGACACCGCTCGAGGTTATTCTCGAACTTCCAATGCCCTTCCATAAACACTCATTACCGACTTTTTCATGTCGTCATCTCATGCTGCCAGCCACACTACCCCCGTCATCCCCAGGTAAAAATGATCCAGTAGAAATATTCCGCCGCAGCCTCCTCAAGTTTGCCGAATCTCTATGATCTCCGCCGAAAATGCAAATGAATACGCGCCAAGCCGATGCTGTTGTACCCTGGGCTGATGTTGACTGGCCGTGCTTGTTGCGTCCAGCGGACCAGCAGGAAGCAGTATTAACAGTCCTTTTTGTCTATGTGCAGTAACTTTTGAGAGAGGAAACAAATTTTGAAATGCTAGAATTGGGTCTTCCCGAGGTGGAAACAGGACAGCACATCGCATTCCTGAGAACCAATGCCAGGATTGGCTCGGGAGTCGATGCTTCAGCGATAGCCGCCGGCAGAGGTCTGGAGCGTTGTTCCGGGACTTTCGACTAAATCCTGGAGAGGTCGAAATAACTTTCTCATATCCAGCTCCAGAGTTTCAGAAGCGTATTCGTCATCGATGTAGGCAACGCTGCCGGGCTCTTCGCTCCGTCTGGCGCCGTCGGTACGACTCCATTCCCGTGCTTTTTTGAGCTCGTGCATGACTTGGCGAAACCGATCATCGGCAGAAAGTTGCCAATCGTGCGCCCTGTTAGGCTGCATAAGGGCACGAGCAAGCCAGTAGAAATGCACACCGTCCCGACAGAAACCGACACGTCCCACAGAAGGTTGATAGCCATCCCCGGGTGGGTATTGTAAAGCATAGTCTCTGTCCCAGACTTGTTTCCAGCGGGTAAGAGCCACGTTGAGGGATTTTTCCATGTTGTTCGCCTCCTCCGCAGACGAACAAGGTTCGATTGAACCGGTGAACGTCCTTTGGCGGTTCAGTTGCCACACCTCCACATGAAGGGCATGGATGAGGATGAATTTGGAATAGATGTTGGTGGTCCGAGGCTGCATGCTGACCGACGTGCTATGTAGAGCACCCATCGCGTGATGCATCTCAAGCTGTTTTAATCTGAGTGAGCCGCTAAGATTGACTCTCGCCTGAACCTCGAAGCCTCGCAAGCCCAACGCTTGAGCGCAGGATTCGGCGTCCGGAGCCTCCCACGCAGCGTCGTCGCAGGGTAGAGGTAGCTTGATTTCTGCCGAGGAGAACTGGGGTGCCAAATTGAAGTAGATGCACATAGCTGCGTCCCACAGGTAGACCATGTACATCAATCGTGACCGTTTTTCTTGTTCCAGCCAGGCGCGCCAGTCCCAGCGAGACGGGTCAGCTTCTTCACCCGGCTGGAGACAATGTAGATAACTGTAACTCAGGGGATCCTCTGGACCAGCCAAAGTTAACATATTGAGTTGTCGAACAAGGTACAAGACCCGTTTACTTTCAGCGCGGGCTACGGCTCTCTCCTCGGGGCCTCCATGCCACACGAACAAGCTCTGTAGTATCTGTAAAGCTAACAGTTCTTCAAATTCCAGCCCTGATGACGAGAACTGAGTTCTGAGTGCGTCCGGCTCCAGATTTCGGAGGAGTCGTGACGTTCGTCCAATACCAGCTCTGACTAGTTGCATCAAAGCCCGTACTTGATGTTGTGACACGCGGTCGGAATAAACAGCTCCGCTGCAAATAATGACGAGGGTGAGACCGTCGTAGGCAGTCACAAGGTTGAAGGTCGGTAAATGAAGCCACGGGAAATGACCTTGGAAGTTCGGGAATAAATCGAGAAAATGTTGCATGGCTTCAACTGTCAGGCAGGACCTGACGAGGTAATCATTTTGCGGGTCTCGGAGCGATTCCTGTATTCCACCAGGGAAGAGAAACGTTAATAGGGAATTCACCTTGGATTTGACAAGATCTTGCTGAGATGTATGCAGATTCCAGAGAGGGGGTCCAAGCGTACCGTCAGCTCCAAGGCTCGTAGAGGGAATGTAGTAACCATTCGATCCACCTTCATGGCTTTCAAATTCCTTCTTGACATCATTTTGTTGTTGCTCGTAGCCACCAAACATGGGGTTCATATATCCCTCATTGCCACCGGCCGGGAACATGTGGTTCCAATCATCCCCCATATGGTGAGGTCCAGGCATGACATTGCGCTTGTCATCCCCTCCACCAGGCTGCATGCCAAAGTGATCCGGCGTCGAGTTCGAGTGATACATCATCTGATTACTTCTCTGGTGTTGCATGGGACCCCAGCTGTTAGCATTAGGATCCATCGGACCAGGTCCCGTGCCAGGTTGCATTGGCTGCCCCTGACGCTGCATATCGCTCTGGCCATTGGACTGCATTGCGTAAGCCATTCCGGGTGCAGGCGCACTGGTTGTGGGTGCGGATGTGTTAGGCATTGCGGCAGTAGTGTAGGGAGGATTTGGCATCACTGCACTTGATGGGGTTGTAGCACTTGCCGGCGAGGCCGTCGCCTGTTTCTGTTGATGCTTCTTGATATGGGCAGCAGGGTTGGACAAGTGACTTGCACCTGTTGGATTACCTCGACGGACCGAGCACTTCTGGAAGTGGCGTTTGAGGATATCAGATCTACTGAACGTATCGTTGCACAGAACACACATGTATGGTCGATCACCCGTGTCTATCAAGTTTGTTAGCGCACGAAAAGAGTATGAGGACAAGCAATCTTACGTCTCAACATGTGGCGCTTCAGATGCTTCGCGTGTAGGTACGTCTTCGTGCAGTTCGGGCACGGGAATTTTCCATCAGCATCTTTTTGAGGGACGGCGCTGCTCTTCGGAGAGCCATTCACGCCGTTTGGCATTACCGGAGGACGACCTGGAGCACTGGGCAAGATGCCTCTTCGTCCTTGGGAACCCACAACATGTGTCTTCGTGGGGTCACGACCACCAACCTCAACTGGCATGCCGGGCATGCCTTCAGCGCCAGACCATTGTTGCTGACGGTTATCTGGCTGCCCATACCCAGGCTGTAGTGGGTCGGGGCGTGGGGGCGCCGGGGCAAGGGGCTGCGGGTAGGATTGGCGCGGTGGTTGCTGAGGCTGGTACCCCTGCGAAGGCTGCTGTTGAGGTGGTTGTTGCGGCTGCTGACTGTGAGGTTGGGGTAGCGAAGTAGCTGGTGGAAGCCCACTCATGGAAGATTGAGGAGCCATGTGTTGATTGTATCTATTATCAGGAGCAGGAGATGGGACGGGTGGGGGGGCAGGAGCGGCGCTGTATCGTGGTAGGTCATTTCGGTACTGCTGCTGGGGCATGTAGCTCTGGTTCGCAGGCGGAAGCTGAGAATAGTTTATCGGAGGCAGGTGGGTGTTGTTCTGGTACGGGGGCATTGCATAAGCTGAAGCCATGTTATGGGTGTATGCTGTTTGAGGTGGTCCAACGTTGGACGATGTTGTCCGTGATAGTGATTGTCTAGGGTCCATCACCCGAATTCAAGCACCAGTGGAGACGCTGTGCTCAATCGACCATTTGGCGACCAAGCGTAGCGAGAGAGAAATCGGGGTGTCACTCGATGTTCTTCTTAGAGGATAGAGCAATGAGGTTGTGGTCGAGTGCGATTGACTTCTGTAAGGACTGGCTACGGGCGAGAAGGTCTGGCTCACTGTCGAGTCTGTGAGAAAGGGAACCAAAGCCTGCAAGGTACAGAAGAAAGCCACAGGTCAGTAAAGGGTTAGGCGGCAGGGTGGATGTCTGCCGTGAACTGTCGCGAGACGCGACAGGGCGGCTGCGGGTGATCAGGTTGAGGATGGCAGGGGAGTGGTAAAGTGGAGGTGAAGGTAATGGGTGGGTTTGTGAAGGCGGCATAGAGAGGGAAGGACCAACTTACGGATCAGAGATTTTTGTTTTGAGGAACGCGCGAAAAATGAGTACGAGGGAAGGGTTATGATGAGGGTCGCCGACTGGGTCCTGTGTTCTTGCCAGTGGCCTGTCGGTGACTTGCAGGATGTTCTTGCTGGGTCTGTGGCGGCAGGGTAGACGGTTAGATAGGCGTAGGCTTGCGTGGGTAAGAGTGGGAGAAGTGGAAAGTGGGCAGGTTTTGTGTCTTGGAAGCTCCGTAGGATGATTTTTTTGGGTTGGGGCGGCAGTTGAGTGGGCGTACGTGATGATGATGTGGTTCTCAGCAGCAGCTGATGGTTGGTTGCCGGAAGGGAGGGTTGAGAGGCAAAAGTGGTAAGAAGATTTTTTAAACTCGGACGTGAGCTCAATCCCAGTCAAAAGACGGATTGAGTTTTCGCTGCTTGGTATCCCGAAGGCAGGAGATTGTTGTTTCGGAGAATTGACCAATTGCTCAATTAATCTGCTGAAGCCAATCCAGCCGACAAATTCAATTGTCCGTGTCGAAGATGAGTATTAGCTAGACAAGAAGAAGACACGAAAAGGGATTCGAGCAACAGTTGCCAGAGGACCGCATCGCAAGAGGGTCGCAGCGCGCTGGATGAATGAATCAGTCGGTGCGCAGCCGCTGTGACGGTGGAAATCCACCTTGGCCACGTAAGCCAATCATCAGCGATCCGCTGACCCACCAAAATGTCGATCGGGGAGGGCGCTGGGTGGCGCTGCCAGGGGGTGTCAACAGAGACAGGGGTTGCACTCAGACACATCGCGCTACAAACACTCGTAGCCCGGACAAAGCAGAATGATTATAATCATCGTACAAGCATGTGCACAAGGACAATGGTATGCTACTGATCCAGTATACTCTGAGACTGTCTTGCTTCGACACTACTATGTGCTGGTGACAATCATAGTAAAGTACTGCGTGAATCACGGAGGGCAAACGCTGAAACAACCTCGGGTTGAAGAAGCAATGAGATACGGCGTACTTATAGATCCAACTCGTGGAGCTTCTTACTATCTGACCCCCTGCTCAGCACAAAGCAGCCTCGGAATGACAGTATCAACATGGCTACCTCAATTGTTCATGGAAAGGCAAAGCATACTCCATACCGGGAACAGAGCAATCTAGAAATATAGCCGCGGCAACAGCAAATAAGACGGTGGTCGACACGAAGATGCTGCCGAGTACTCCGTTCGATGTCTCGAGTAGCTCCAGCGTGATCAAATAGAGGCCAAGTCTGGATGTAGCCTGATACTTCCGTTCAAGCGCTCGCGACGATCTCTTGAAAGCATAAACTCGAGGTTCTTGCCGGATCAACACTTTCGTATCATGCTGCGACGCGACGCCGACTTATAATTCGCTCTCGTTACTCGGCTTGGACTGTCATGTGCATGTCCATTGTTTGAGCACGTTACGTCGTCGAGAAAGTTATGCATATGAATGGTAGTGTACAAGATATGACAGGGATCCGATGAGGCAAACCGAGGCTTGGACTGATTGAGCATTGGCGGAGATGAACGGAAAACGCCTCCCAAGCAGGATCAGGGCCGCCTCTCCCAGCCGAGAGCGCACCAAGGACGAGGGGTGATAAACAACTGACAGGGGTGGAGCTGGCACAGCAGGCTGTTATTGCAAGCCCAATTTATTTGGGCGATGATGCCCGGTTCCTCTGGTCTCGCTATCAAGGTACCTACCTAGGTCGACAGTACCTGAATTGTGCTCGAACATGTCTAGCTTCGAACGGCTGTCCTGACATTGCTGGCACGGCCACTTCCAATGTACTTGTTGCAATGTAACCAAAGACCATCAAAGGGTACGAGGTACTCGTATGGCGATTGATCAGCTCATTGACACGTCAGAAGCACGAGTTGCGGAATTGTGCCCTACTCCCGGCTCTTACTCCGTATTCGTTTGTTTTATGCTGCCTGGATAGGCTTGGTTAGGCGTTGGTGGTGGCATCGCTGCGGGCGCCACGCGGCGCTCTTGTCCGGCTGCGCGGCGCTATGGGGCTTCAAGGCTGACTTGGCCGGCGCCAGTACTCCGTGTGTGAGCTGGAATTGTACATGTTGTCAGCCAGGCCTGAGTCCGCTCGTCATAATCTCGACTTCTCGAAGGCGAATGAGGTGCTACCAGAAACATCATAGTATTACTCTGCTTGTGGCCACCAATGGCGCCTGAAGGTAACGCTGCTCGCCTATTGCTCCGGTCAGGCAGGACGCTTTGATACTAAACGCATCACTGCCAAACCAGTAGGCAAACGCCTGTCCAGTCAGAATCCGCCAGCTGACTGAAGCAGCAATACCGCCGGTTTCGTTCATCCCTTTTTTATGCCTTTCCCGAATATCTTCCGTTTGGTTCGCGGAAGAACAGTTCGGGCTTGATGCAACCTCAAGTTTTTCTGAGGCACCATCTGGGACTTGTTACGATTCCGAGACAGATTTTTGCTTCTTTTTTGTCGGCTTATTGCTCGACAGGGTGTCATTCGCCAAGAATTGTTGGCCAGGCCATGCAGAAGTACGTATGCAACTTTCCCTCGAATTTGCGCGCTTCAGCGTGTCTCAGGTGGCCGGAGCGCTTCAACCTGTGTTTACTAATGACTAGCAGCACCGGACCCGTGACAAGAGTAACTACGGCCCGAGCAGAGTGAAAAGATGGTAAAGACAGTCCAAGGCCACAACTCAGATAAGTCTGACTCTTCGTTCCCATTAAATCCGGATATCTTCAGAAGTACGTGGCAGTACGGTGGCAAGTGCATCAACATGACAAGGTCGCTCAACGCGAGTTTCAGCATCGAAATCCAGGACAGTATCACTTCCCTCTTTACCCCCCTGACAGCCAATTCCTCCCTGATCATGCTTGAGTAAGTAATTTACAACAGGAGTACTTCCACCCTACTTATGCATTCTGACGGTACTTGGGGCGGCAACCATTCTTCAATCCGATGATTGAACTTGCCTGCCACAATCGCCGGTTACGAGGCTCCAACGGACATGGGTTGTGCGGGACCTCATTGAGTGGAACAACCACAAGAAGCAGGGGAGCCTGGGGTTATAAACAGGAATCCAGACCGTTGTACGGAGTACCTTGTCCGAGATGCGTACTGGAAGGGCGTTGCTTTTTAGTATGCGCGGTACGCACATCTTGTCCTCCCGGAAAGCAGGCCAAAGTCCCCCATGGCTGGCCTTGTGCTGCTTACATATCAGGACTCAACGTGTCTATAGATCTGCTTATGTTATGATGTCAACCTTGTGGCTCGCACCAGTCTTTCAGGCCTAAAGTCCACTAGAACGCACACAGAGTAAAAGAGATACCGACAACAGCGCATGGTCGGTACTGTGTATAGAAGTCAAGGCACGGGAAGGAACACTTTTCGCTGTGGCTTGGTGTTCTACGTGTCTGAAGGTGCACAGAGATGCAAGGCTGGTTCTTCTTATATTGGGCTGAGTGGCGCTTCAGCATGCAAATGACTCATACGACGGGGAGACAGGCCAGACTCCCAGTTCCGTCCATTGCATAATACGTAAGAAGTACGGACTATGGTCTCCGGCTCTGCATCTGGGCCCCACGGGAGAACGTTGAAGAGGCAGCGGCAGAGAAGGCCGGCTTGGGTGGTGTACACAGTAGACGTCGTGAAGACGAGTCAGTGGGATACTGCACGTTGACTCGGTCTCGACAAGTGGCCGATTAGGCAGTTGCGAAAACATCGGTGCCAACATTTGCCAAGCTGACCAAGATCCGCCCTGGATCATGCCACTGGTGCAAACCACATTCGGGAAGACACCATTCATGCATACTGTGTGAGACTGTGTCGGTCGAAGGTGTAATGACAACTCCACGGCATGAGAGACACGGATTTCCGAGCCCTGCATCATTCGACAAAAATTGGCCTGACGCTGACAAGCCCTGCAGACATCTATCCAAGCCCGGGCACCCCTCCTGGAGCCTCCGACGCTCTCGACTTCCGATAGCAGAACATACTCGGAGCGCGTAAGCCTGTAAACTCTCTTTTCTCACGAAATTACCTAGGTTGGGTATATACGACCCGTCCCTCAGATTCGTACGCGAGGTATTGGGAAGGGGGTGGAAGCGAAAGCAATACCGTCATGGTCCCTCACATGCCCGATTGAACCAAGAGCTCAGTTCTCGCTTCTGGTAGCCGAACACGAGCCATCGAATAGCTAACGCAGCTGTGCAGCCACTTGTTTCGGCAAGGAAGATCAAGCCCGCTATCGAACCCACCTCCTGTGTGATCCATTCCTTCCAGAAGCCCCCCCATTATTTTTATTACAGTATTTTTGCTTGGGTATCAGCAGCGGGATGCACCGGCCCAAGGAAGCGCTTACGACGACATCGGACTTTAGGTTCAATTATGCAGCCACCAGGCCGGCATACTTCCTGGCCTAGCTGTCCCCTGCCCTCTGTGCCCCTGTATGGAAGCGACCCGATGCAGCCACCGGTGCGTTGTACGAGTAAGCCGTCGTGGCCATCCACTGTTCAGCAGTGCTTTGAGCCGTACAGTAAAGCTGAACGCGGATATATTATCCGGTTTTGTGATCTTAAGGGCAACAGACACGCATGTCCGATGTTCTCTTTAATTACTTAGACGCTGTCAATTTGTCAATCACCTATTAATGCATCAGCAGGTGCGCAGCTCGAGTAGCCTCATGCGGCCATGGCGCAATCTGCTACCCAGTATGTAAACTGGATTCAATAACCGCTCTGGCCTCGACAGTGTTGGTAACCACGACTTCGACTTTCAGCTCGCACTTAATAACGAGAACACGGAAGCCACCTGTTGAGATATTGTCTAGGCGTCCGCGATGTGCCAGAACCGTCCGTTGTCCGTTCCTGCTGTCTTAATATTGATCATGTGCCCCGTCAATTCAGTGAACACAGACCTATTGGTAAGAGAGTCCTGAAAGATGTCGGAGTTTGCAACAAAACACCAGGACCGGGGTCTGTTGTTCATATGGTCGCTTACTGCCAAATACTCCTCGGTATGTCTTCCTTCACCCACGCGACGGACCCTTCGAGCCCAGGCCAGGACTCTTGTAAGTGTCTCGTAGGTGTCTTGAGTTGTCCTCTATTCACTACGTCATGACTTTCAGATCTCTTCTTGACTGAGCACAAAGTGCGCCGGCGATCGGCTCAGGTAAGGTCCCAGATACTAGCCTCGATCTCCCCAGAGATCAGGTTTCTTGCAACCGGGTCGATCATCTGAGATGATGGCCCTTGACTTGTCGCCCTTTAGAGGGCCGCGGCAGAGGTTTTGCTTCTTTGCCTATCAGCCCGCAATCCTTAGTATCATCAACATCGATCCGTGATACACCCCTTTACAAGCAGGCTAAACGAACAACGAGCATATCATCGAAACCTGCAAGAATTCGAACAATGTCCAAGAGAGACGCTACAGAACACCCGGAGCAGCGGCATCCGACTACCAAGCGCGCTAAAGAAGTCATCTCACCCGAGACACCATACCAGGAACTTCGGTCACTGCTTGAAGACCAGAAGCCGCACAAAAATACCAAAAGGACGCTGCACTGGTTCAGGAGCAAAGATCTCCGCACACATGACAATCGAGCGCTGCACGCGGCTTCACAGTTTGCCCAAGCATCGAATGCACCCCTGCTATGCGCCTACGTCAATTGCCCGGCAGAATTCAGATGGCACGGCACTTCGCCGGCGCGCACGGATTTCATCATGGAGAACCTGGGACTCGTGAAATCTGAGCTCAAGAAGCTGGACATCCCACTAGTCTTCCTTGAAGCCAGTAAACGTGGCGAGATTGTCCCTGCCATCATTGACTTTATTCGCGAAAACGGCATCTCCCACGTCTTTGCGAACTACGAGTACGAAATCGACGAGCTGCGACGGGACATCCAACTGCTCAAGGCCGCCAGCGATGTCAATGTCACATCCAAGGGCTTCCATCTATCTATGCACCACGATCAAACGGTGATGGAACCGGGCACTATGCTCACAGACGCCGGCAAGGCCATGAAAGTCTTCACGCCCTACCACAGAGCCTGGCTTGCCCAAGTAAAGGCGGATCCAAGCCTAATTGACACCGTTGCAGCCCCCTCGCGGAACACTGCCGAGTCAAAGAAGAAGCTAAAGCCCTTCTTCGACAGTCGAGTATGCAAGCCATCAAAGGAGAAGCAGTTCTCCAGCAACGAAGAGCGCGACCGGATCCGCCAGCTCTGGCCTGCAGGCCACCAAGCCGCAATGGATCGGCTCACACATTTCCTCGACGACAAGATCGCCGATTACGCAGCCACGCGGTCCCAGCCAGCTAAAGATTCCACGTCGCGGATGTCGGCGTACCTCTCCGCTGGCGTCATTTCCGTGCGCGAGATCCTGACTGCCGTCAGCAAGCGTAACAACGGCTCGACCGACTTCTCCCAATCTGGATGTGACGAGGGCATGGCAGGCTGGGTGCGGGAATTGGTGTTCCGCGAGCTTTATCGCCAGACGACCGTCCAGACGCCACATACGAGCATGAACATGCCGCAAAACCTCAAGTTCGATTTCGTCAACTGGGAAGATGACGAGGAAGGGTACCAGCGCTGGGAAGACGGCACGTTGGGGGTCCCCTTAGTCGACGCGGGCATGAGACAAATTAAGCACGAGGCCTATATGCATAACAGGCTGAGAATGAACGTGTCGAGCTACCTGTATTGCAACCTGCTCATCGACTACCGGCGTGGAGAGCGTTATTTCGCGGAAACTCTGATCGACTGGGACCTCAGCAACAACACGCAGGGATGGGAGCCGAGCTACACGGTCTTCAACCCAGTAAGTCAAGCGGAGAAGAACGATCCGGAGGGCGAGTATATCCGGAGATGGATTCCAGAGTTGAAGGATGTGAAAGGGAAAGCTATCTTTGATCCGTACCACCGGCTGGACAAGGATGCTTTCGAGAAATTGGGATACCCACCGCCATACGTAGATTGGAAGGAGACAAAGCAGCGGTGTATCGAGCGGTTCAAGAGCGATATGAGGGACGCGGAACCTTGACTAAGACATGGTTAGGTGGAGGGCTGAGCGTGCGATAACTTTGCGTCTCTTTACCAAATACTCGAGCTTCCCCAAGGTAGAAGGTGGCCCTACGAGGGGGGAGGGCTAGATGTGGCCGTAAATCCACTGCATTCAGTCGGATCACTCCACCTATAATACTAACCGATACGGCATCGTCGTACCCAGACAGACAGAACCGAAATCATGCATCGTTGCAGCGCCGTAGACTAGGCGACTACCGGCTCGGGATCGTAAACGCAGATATGATGCCAACCTGACGACACCTCCCCCAAAAGACCAATAGCACTGAAGTTCACGACATATTCTATTTCAAGCTTGTCCCAGCTCAAGGTGAAGTAACCGCACCTGTGCCTGTACACCCACGACTCCAGGGAGCATGAGGAAGTAGGTCGAAGACATTACCGTACCCTACCGGTGGTGGAACGATTTAGCAAGCCCTCAAGCTCAAATATCCGGCCGTCCTCAGTCGAAGCGGTGGATCTTCACCCAGAGAACCTGGAAGTTCTGATCCTCGCCGAGGCGCAGAATCCAAGCCAGATTTCAAAGCTTTTGCGCCGGTTCAGAAAGTTGTTTCGGCGGTGCCCTCTACCATGACCGGAATGGCCGCCTTGTTTATGAACAAGCATTCGCAGGGGAACAAGCATTCGCAGGGGATCAAGCCCTATCGTCGCGGACCATAGATTCATACATGATCGGTCTGCTAGGCAGATTTGGTGTTTTCGTTATCCGAAGTGCACAACACCGTACTATGACCGACCGGAACTCATGATACTGTGGACCACAATGCCAAACTCTGTGCCGGTGATGTCAATCCTGCAGCGTGCAATACCTGATCCCCGCATTTTACATTTCTTTCAGAGCCTCGATCATCACGACCACCAAACCAACGGGCGCAGCCCAGTAATACTCCCGTTGCCACAAGAGGTCGTGAGACGCCTCCACCCCCCCGAGCCTCATCTCAGTGGGCGAGCGCTCTGTCCATGTGACGCAAGGCTTCACTACCGAAGGGTATATAAAGAACTGCGCCTGTGTCCTTGTTTGGTGCGCATATACTGTAGTAACTCGGACTCATACCGCAAACATCCTCGCGCATTCACAGGACCGTACTCGTACTACTAGACCCGTACCCTTTCCCGTACGATTCACAGGCATAGCAGTACCCAGCAAGGGAAGCATTTTCTCAATTATTCGGGATTGAAAACCCGAACACTGCCAACCAGCGTGGTTAGCTCGAACATACACAATACCTGACACCACAACCACAATGTCGGACCGACAACCGGGCTCTTACTACGCCTCCACCTCTACCTCGTACACTGCCTCCTCATCGTACTCTAGCTCGTCCGGCACCGACCCGCAGCGGCAAGGGCACTCCAAATCCATCACGGAGACGATGACGTCCAATGATCGCGAGGGCACGACTATCCGCCGCACGACGGAGGAGACGGGGAAACCCACGCTGCAGGACGAGACGTACATCCCGCCTGGCGACCGGCAGCTTGGCGGTCGCGACGATGGTGGCGGCGCCAGGAGGATCCAGGATGTCACTGATGAGCAGCAGGCCGAAAGAGATCGGGAGTATGAGGAGCGGATCGAGGACGAGTACGCGAAACGAGAGGGTGGTGCTTGAAACGTGTGCTTAACGAGGGCCTGATGTGGCGGGCGACATGGATGTGTCAAACAAGAGCAGGGCAGATATCACTCTAGCAGGGGGAATCGTCTGCTGGGTGTACGAATTAAGATGTACCCCCATCAGCATTAATCTTCGGGGTGATTGCTGGCGGCGATCAGATCACATCATAATCGATAGCTGTGCGCCGTCCAACAATAACTGTCTCTATACGGTGCAAGGGAGTCTATCGAGTCTGTATGGTGGTTTGTGTACGTGGTTCGGTGATTCATGCTGATTCATGGATGGGGGTTCATTCACTCGTTGTTCTGTCTCATTCCTGCCGCTGCTTACTGCTCTGTCTCATTCCCGCGTCTTCTCGCTGATCGTGCCGGGATGGCAAAGGCAGCTTGAACAGCACAATGGAGACGGGCCACTCTCGCAAAGTTGAGACTCCCCTGGAATATTCTGCGCGAACGTCTCTAGATCTTCAACTCTTCCAGCGCTGCGGCAGCGACGGCGTCCTTCCGCTTCGATGGAATGATCGGGCTGTCGGAGATGTTGACCTTCTTCGTGCAGATCCATGCTGAAGCGTACATGTTGACCCTGCATAGATTTGTTAAAACGTGTCCCCGGAGAAAATATAGGTCATTGAACTCACCGATCGATACACTTCCCCGAGTCCCGTCTGCCCACGCACTTGGCGTCAAAGCCATTCTTCTCAAAAATGTCGGTGTACCACGGCCTCAGCGCCGCGGACCGGAACAGCACTCGGCCGCCCACCTGGAGGACTTTATTCAGCGAAATGATTTGTTCGGCTGGAGCTCCATCGGCATCGTTAGGATCGAACCAGTCCATTGAATCCATGAGCTACAGACTCGGGTCAGTAACGGCAATCGTCATCCTCATTGGTAACATTCTCGAACTAGATGAAGAAGAGAGATCTGGAACTCACGATTGCGATGGTCAGTGTCGATGGGCTGATACGGGCAATGACTTCCATGATTTCATCTGTGTGGATGCGCAAGCCATCGAATGCGTCTGGCTTCGAGAGCTGTGCGTGCGCTCTGACGCCAAGGTAGCGAGGATGGCATCTGTGTACTTCTGTCAGACGACTTCAGCCACGTGGGCGCGATCGTGACTTACTTTCTAGAGAATTTTCCCTGGAGACAGAGATAGTAGAAATAATTGTCCCGACTAATCTGGGTCGTTTCCACAACCGGATCCAACGTATCAACAACATACTGCCAGATGGCCTCCCCACATAGCTTCTTTGATTTCGGCAGCTTAGTCCGCTGTGCATAATCGTCGAGTATCAGCGCGTGTTGATTAGGAGGCACACCCGCAGCTTTCCACGCCCACCACTCCGTAGAAACGACAGTCTTGTGCAGCGGCCAACTTAGCAGAAGGTTTCGGATTTGAGGCCAAATCTCGCGCTGCTCGTTAAGTGTTTCGATTCTGCACAAAGTCCGGACTTTAGCTGTTAGGCCGAAGGTCTTGAACAGCCAGCGGATAAGCTTGATGGCATGTCTAGAACCACCACTCTCGTAAAGTCCTCCTTTGGAGGAGAAGATGTAGGATTTGCTGAGCCAGTACTGGAATGCTTGGCTCGACATGTGCGGGCTGAATTTGGAGAGCAAGAGGTTACGGAAGTCTGGGTGCTTTCCCTCGCCGAATATTTGCCAGACATCGCTATAAGGTAAGGCTGTAAAGGCCGCGATCTTGAGCTCAAGGAGATGATTCTGATTTGGATTGAGGTCAACTGCATGGATGCGTTTGGGCTTCTCAAGAAGATAATCGAGAATGTTGTCGCCTGCGCTGGTTATGGTAAGGATTACGTCGTCTTGGTTGATATTCAAGAGTTGGCGATCGACTTTGGGGTCTTCCCAATTGAAGGCGTAAATATACTCGTTGCCGAACTGCTGATGCTTTCGGAGGAGGTCATTGTAGTAGATCCTCCAGTGATGTTGTTGGTAGAAGGCGGATGGTAGAGGCAGGTCGTTGCTCAAGTTCACGATGGCCGACTCGTAGGATTTTGAGCGTGGGATGTTGTGGATGGCGTCCAGATTTCGTCGTTCTTTAAATTTCATTGGGGAGAGGTAGGGCGATTCGGTGAGTGCGGCGTCAAGTTTTTCGAGGACTTCGACACCTTGTTCTGCAAACGCCTCAGCGTCTCGTCTGCAGCCGATAAAGATATAATAAGGAATGCTACAAAAGGTATGTCAGTAAAGGATGTGGATACAAACGTCGGTCCTGGCATAACCAAGATAGATCGGCATGGCATAGCTGCGCAAGAAAGCCCATAGATGACTATCTTTGGGAGGGACAAAGCTTTAACAGCCAAACAGAGGTTGCTGAAAAGGAGTGATTCTTATGACTTACCCACCAAGAGGATAGTTCCGCTGGCTCGTCGAAAGGATAGTGCCAAAGCGGTATTCCACGTAGTCTCTGCGTCCACCGTCGAGGTTAACTCGATCTGCCTCAAACCATGTACGCCAGAACATGCGGCCGAACCAGTTGACATGACGATTGAAAGCCCCGCCGCAATAATTTCTGGATGAGTAGTCGACAACGCTCTGGACGTAGAAGTCGACAATTCCAATCAAGCCTCTCGGGGACAAGAAGCTCGTAATCATGTCCACCACACTGTAATAGTCGGGGATCATGGACAAGCTGTAGCTCATGGTGATAAGGTCAGCAGACCCAGGATTGCACGCGACCGACCGCGCATCCTGGCACAGTACTGTAACGTTCTCCCAGCCATTCTTGTGGATTCTTTCCCTGGCGACTGCGCACAAGGAGGTTGAAAGATCAACGAGGAAGACATGTTCGAAGAAGCCCTCCACGCCCACCAATTTGTCCATCACTTCGATGTTGTAGCCGGTGCCGCCGCCAATGTCATACCAGACTGGTTTGCGTCCGTCTCCGGAGGTCAGTTTGCCTTGCAATTGGGCGAGAACAATCGCAAGCATATCTTCCCTCCCTCGCAGAAGGCGTTTTCGGGTAGAGTCATAGACGTTCGCCTGGACCAGGATAAGCGAAGGGAAAGACGAAGAGGCTCTTCCTTACCTGAGTCGAGTAAAAGCTTTCGAGAGCACCCTGTTGACCGCCATCGGACCGCCTGTCGTGCGGTTTGAGCATGCAGGCGTAAACAAATCTAATGTAGGGGTTGCTGGTCAGTTTGTCTATAGGAATCTGCCCGCCAAGCCGATAGAGAACGACGCCCAAGATGGTCACGAGGACAGTGAAACCGACGCCGATCAACGCAAGTTCGAGGTGAAACCCCTTGAGTCGCTGCCATTCTGCGTAGCTGAAGTGTGCCATTGTTGCCAGCCGACCAACAACAATGACTCCTTGTAGGGAAAGAAAGAGGGACTGAGGGTGAACGCCGGGGTGCTCTTGACTGCGTCCATGCTAGAGTTTATGAATTGAATGCACAACATCAGATTCTTTGCCGTGATTGATTCGCGGACAACGCAGTCCGCGAATCACAGAGAGAATATCAGCCATATGGCAGATTGAGTGGCAAGGACAGCGGCCACAGAGCCTCCAGAATTCTCCATTCTGGGCCTCCCAGCAGGATCATCAAGACTGGGGCTGCATGTGAAGACCTTCTGAAAAGTGATGGGATACTCGTAGAGCCGCGAAAGAATTCTCAAAGAGTTGTAACAAGAGACGCTCGGAAAGGGACGAATCAGAGTGCGAGAACTTGCGCGTGGGCCTCGTGATCCTATCGTAGCCGAGTCGGAGAGCAACGCAGAGCAACATGGCCTCGAACGGAAGTCCAGTGTTCAATACACGTGCTGCGCCAGTCTTGAGCATCAGCGCTGCTAGTGAAAGAATGATTCAGTGCCTTATGCAAAGACCACTCAAGTACAAGATCTCTAGCCGAATCTTCTCTCCGGAAGTCTTGTGCTGGGGTCGATAGCTGGAATTATGACCCTGCAGGGCTGGGATTCTTTCATGCAGGTCATTCATCGTCGCTTGTCGCATGACCTCCCAATTTTGAAAGTAGTTCCCGAGCCCTGTCACGTGCGAGGCCTGCCTCGGAGAGATGCTCGTCCTCTCGCGACATCTGTTCTTCTTCAGCCAACAGAGGCAGACCATGCCGCTCCGAGAAGCCATCGCTCGCCTGGGGGTCATTACTCTTGACCATGTAAGCACAGTCTTCGTGGAGGTCAGCGATCCAGAGAGCGACCATTGCACGGAGTCTTATGAGCTCTGGCTCGTCCATGTATGGGACGGTCGCTATGCACGTGTCCATCCTGTTGGCAATTTGATTAGCCTGATCTAGTGCCCTCACCTCTTTACTGGGACCGACATCGTTTTCAATGTCCTCCGGGCTCTCTGATGGGGTGGTATGGACTACATAAATCCATAGATTGAACATCGCCAAGTAAAAGTCGATAGCATTTACAGCATGAGGCCAAGACTTGTGGTAAGGGTGCTTGACAATAAGTCGCTCATAGAAACGTCTGGCTTTTTCGAAACCCTCTCGCGTGAATGGATGTGAAGCCGCAGCCGGATCCAGGCTATGATCTCTTGTCTTTCCATTGCGCAGGAGTACTTCTGCTGCGATACCCATGAAGCCTCGACTGCGCATCGCAGCATTCTCGCTGACCAGCTCTTCGCGGAACAGCAAGCCCAGAGCCCGGGATGCGCGTGGGAAATCTTCCTTGAGCAGCGACCGATGAAGTATGGTAGTCAACGCTGCAAGGTGCTGCATGTGCAGAGACTGTGATGTCTCAGGCAGATGGGGTATGTCTGATCGCTTCCTTCCCTCTAGCAAAGTGCGCCGTCCACCGCGACCCTTCGTCGCGGGATCTGCTGCATGTGGAAAGGGGAATTGCGGTGGTTCTTGATCAAGAGGTTGGCCGGCCACGTGACGTTGGTGTCTTTCTAGCGGAGTGACCACAGCTGTGTACTCAAGGTTGCTACTAGATCTTATCTCTGGCTCTTGCAATCCGCCATCGTCTTGATCCTCGTTACTGGCAGCCTCGTCGACCAGTCTCTGTTTCTTGCGCTTGTGGCTGCCTTGGGAGAGACTCCATGCCGTCGGATGTGACCGATGCGCAGCCACTGGTGGTGCGAATATATTAGGCATGAGTGTCAGAGGCGTTGTTCAGAGTGGCTTCGCGGTGGTAGCGTGGATTGCGTGGTAGTGCCTACATTGCTCAGAAAAGCAGGTGCGTCGATCGATACAGTACTGGTGGTACATTCATAACTGATGTAAGCACTCCCACTAATTAATGGGTAACCACAAAGATCTTTATTGCAAACGGACTGAGATGGACGTGGGACAACCGGTAGTTGAGTTGAAAAATGAAAGGATTCTAGGTGATTTTAGGTCCTCGCGGCATTCTTGAACAGAGCATTTGCATTCGTTGCGTGATCAACTTCCATAAAGTTAAAGTGAGAGACACCTGACCCGTGCCTTGCTTTAGACCTTCGGGCGGCTTTTGGCCTTCACTACACTGCCAGCGTTTCAGCCTTCTTCACCAACACCTCATCAACGCCTCAACCTCGACATCACCACCAGACCGCCATTCTGATCCTGCGTTGTGCACACTGCTTGTCGAAACAGTGGCGAAGTCGCATTTCGTCACCGTGCCTATTCGTCCACGTTTGCTTTACACCACGCCTTTTGAAAGCTTGGATGACTTGTCTAAACTGCTGACAGCAGCTGCGGCGAATTTACATGACCTAAACAGATCATCTTCTACTTCGGCCGCTTTCCGATCGACATACGACCCTCAACCTGCAATTACGAACCCTGGCTGAGACCAAAGTCTCACAGATTCGAAGCCCTTCGGTCATGAGGGCGCAATAGCCCACAACTGTTGAGCGGGCGGCAAGCCACCAAACCCGTAATATGGGCAACACCAGCTCGGCACTGCGTGCTCAAGTGAACAATGGAGAATCGGGGGAAGCGATGAATACTCGCGATGCCAACGAGACCACAGTTGGTGACGCAGGCACTCAGCGTAGCAGGTCGCGGCTAGCGAGAAGAAATACCCAAACGTTGAGGGCCGCGGGCCAGAGAGCGAGTACACTCTATGACACGTTTCGACGCCATCGATCCGCCGAATCCATGTCGTCAAGCCCGAATGCAGGTCATTCGACGCCGTCCCCCTCCGAGATGGAGTATGAACAGGAGAATAGACCGCTAGTGGCCACTGGAGATGTAGACATGGGAGATGCTATCCCAACACCCATCGTTTCGCCCTCGCCGATAAGGAGGAGGTCTACGATGTCAAGACTTGGGTCGCGACTCCTCCCAGATGCGGTCGCCCGGGGTCTGCTAAACAGTGGAGAGGAGACTGCAGAAGAGGGCCGCGCGTTACGGCATGGATTGTCTGGCCGGTTACGCCCTTCTGTCTACGAACGTCAACCGAACGCGGATGGCACCAGTCGATTGTCCCTCACGGGCTCCATACGAAGACGTGGAGACAATCGCACCGAGTCCCGACGGCGAACCATCCGCGGACCATTCCCTCTTCTACAGAGCACAAGCGGAGCACGCGACCGCAGGGATTCATTCGATGGTGACGGCGAGGCTAACCTACGAGACCTGCCCTCAATGGGCACGGCTGGCTTACGGCATTGGAACCGATTCAGCAGGGTACGGGACTCCATGTCTGTCTCTCAGCGAATTTCGAGTTTGTTTCGGCAGTCCTCAGAGCAACTGCAGTCGACGCAAAGTGGGCGCGAATCTCCCGTTCGACCAGCTAGAGTCACTTTTGCGGATGAGTCCGATCATCTGTTGTTGTCCAACGCCTCCGCTGACCACCGCCACGAAAACGATGAAGCTCCCCACGAACTGGACGCTGTCGAGCCCGAGGCAAGAACTCTGCTGCCCTCGCCGCGAGTCACCTCAGGCATGAGTACAATCAGACGATTTCAACCAGGCCTGCGATCGAGGTCGACTCGACTCATAAGAAGAGGAGAACACCCGCCCCTTTCGCAGGTCCTCCAGCTCGCTGCTGCAGCCATTGCAGCACAGCTTTCAGGCCATGCCACGGCAGGCTCAACTGGTGGCCGTCACCTTGGTGGCGATACTTTTGACGGGAGTATCCAGAATTTCGTACAGACGCTGCAAGATGCGGCAACAGCACAAGCTGGAGAGAACATCGATATGAATGCATCTGATGGTGATCTCCCCCCAGTGAACTTTATGAGAGTCTTCCAATTTCCAAACGACGAGAATGGATCTCCTATTGCTTCACAAGCACAGGCTCGTGACGTCGATCAAATGGACTTGGATACCATCACAGGGCCTGGTGACAACGATCGGTCCGTAACATTGGTCCTGGTGGGTGTGCGGTCCCTCCCTCACGGGTCCGACGCTTCTGGTGGCGAGAACGGGACCCTAGGCCCGAGCCTCGACACGCTATTGAGCCTGCCTTTTTTACCTCCTGCCAATGTTTTAAGAAATGGCAGCTCAGGCGCCCTGTTCCGGCGTTCAGAAGGAAGAAATAGGCACGCCGCACGACGTCACTCGATGACGAATTTCAGCTTCCCTGCCCAGTATGAGTCTCAGCGGCACCAGCGCACTAGGACGCACAATAGCCGCTTGTCAAGCCACTCCGACCAAATAGCACCGACCACGCCTGATACAGGTCCGGGGTCTACACTAGTTTCGGAGTCCCCTCCAGGGCCTCATCCACCGCCGTCAACACCAGCAGATATTAGAAGTGGCCATGCCACGCCGATACGCCGACCATCTTCTGCCTCCGCTACAGCTAATCAGACACTCTCCGATCTTGACGAAGATCGACCGCAGCAAGAGCTCGACAACCCTCCCTACGAAACTTCGTTCAACGCTGCTCGTCAACGCAGACGAAGTGACTCAGAGTTTGCTCGTCGTCCAGAGCTAGGATCAGGTGCAGCGCGACGGAATGGAATGGTGGAGCCTGATCCACCGCCAGCCGGAGCCGGACGAAGCTGGCTCATCTATGTGGTGGGCACAAACGTGTCGCCAGATCATCCTGCTTTCGCTATGCCAAGCTTGTTCACCGACAACCCTTCCTATGAGGACATGCAGATGCTATCAACGCTTCTTGGACCTGTGAAGCCACCTGTTGCAACACAAGAGGACGTAAGTGCCGCTGGCGGCGTCTTCAGGCTCGTTGTCCACGAACCAGGTTTCCTGGGGCAGCCCCTTACGGAAGATAATGATAGTTCCACACTGGTGATCAACCTTGGAGAACGCTGTCTTATATGCTTGGCGGATTATGAGGTTTCGGAGGACGTGAGGCGTCTCGACAAATGCAAGCACGTCTATCACCGCGAATGCATCGATGAAGTAAGCAGACCCTTGCAAATGCGCAATTGTACTGATAAGCTGACATCTCCCCAGTGGCTTACCACCGGTCGGAATAGCTGCCCAATGTGTCGTGGCCAGGGTGTGCAGGAGAAAACCGCTTCATCGACGCCCAATGCTGCTCCAGCTTCCTCAGCTTCCCTTTGAGAAGACCAGGTCCTGATCGGGTCTCGCCTGCCGGTAACAACACTGCCGACGACGACTCTCAGAAGCTCATGACAATTCACGAATCTTCTTTGAGCCTGTTCCACAACAGTTTCTATTTGGCGCGTTTTGGTTAACGATGACGCCAGGGGCAGGGGCTCGCGGGAACTTGTCCTACAATCGTCACTCGAAGAACGAGACCAGGTTGGCTCAGGCACTGCTACGGAAGCGATGGTTTATGGATTTGGGTCCTCGAGTCAGGGACGAATTTGTTTGTCACATACCCAGGCACGATGTCGTGCTTTGCAAGCTGGAAGTTTGAGACGAATCTCTGCATTTGACTTTAACGTATGTAGACGAGGCTCCTACAGAACTGTTGATGAGGGCTTATGAACCTGTTGATGCAGGAAATGAGTACGGATCACCAACGTACCAATTCGCTCCTTCTGCTTCGGGTTCTCAGTGGTAATTTGCAGGTTGAAATAAAGAAGAGGCATCTGCAACCACGTGAATTGGAGCCGACAAGCGAGAAGCCGATGCGAGCCTTGCCGCGTCGCGATGCGTATCCATTCGGTTGCTACTTTGGGGGGTAGCTCTGTGTAACATGCCGCAAGGACAGCCGTAAAGAAGCACTCGGTCCGGGGACAAATTCGTCCTGTATCTGCATGCAAGTGGCAGCATGGGATGGATGCGTCGAAGACGGGCTGGCGCAATCCGTATTCAGTCTCTCCATCCACATATGGAAAGAGCGTTACAGCGCTGAAGGAAGACATTCTGCTACGAGCTTCTTCTTTCACAAGCAAACATACGGTAACTTCCCTCTGCCACCACCTACCACCAAACAGATTCGCGGCTGCACGATCGACACACAGTTCGTCATCATTCCTGCCGTCGGCGGCAGTCACCTTCATCAAGGTCAAACACCCTACTGTGGTGTAGTACGGGACTGCCGAGACACCTAACTTACAGTTCACATCACCTCCTGCATTGAACAGCGTGTCAGTGGAGACTTTCTGCTTTTTTTTTGGCATCGACCTAGCACCTGAACTGCCAAATTGGCCCTAGCAATGTCGAATGCCCTTCGTAGCGGACGGGGTCTCTGCGGACAAATCGAAGCTGTGCTCCGTTGGGGAAGCGACTGGATACGCCAAAGCACCAGCCTTAGGTGGAAACCTGATTGAGAAGCTGTGTCCAAAAGCAACCAGAACTCGTTCGACCACAAGCACATGCTGCTTCGGGAGGGCCGGTTGGAATCACGAAAAGGGTCCCTCCATGCGCTGAAGACCTGTGCGCCCACGGTCGGCTCTGACCCCGCGAAATCCCACTGGTCAGCATCTCGCGCGCCTCGCTCAGACGTGGGCTGCTTGAGAGTGACAACAGGATCTGCAGCCAGGTTTACTAGCTAGCACAATCCCGGAGACAGCCAAGCTCAGATTCCCACGGTCTGCAGTTGCCATTGGCCAAGGTTGTCAGACTCCCCAACTGCGTCCGAACTCATCAACACTAAAGGAGCGTTACACATGGTAGCTTCTTCGTGTTGTGACCGTGGGTGATTCGGTCGAATCTTCTCGGTCTCTGGCCGGCGAATCAGGCCTCTGACAACTCCAGAACAGGGCCCAGAGCGAACATATTGCAGGCAGCCCGGCGCTGGTTCCCCGCCTCCACTAGACGGCCACCCACGCTGCCTCGCAGAGTGCCAGAGTACCTTGTCACTATCAACTCATCCACGAATTCTGATAGTCGCTGCGGTGCCTTGCCTGGCGGCATCGTACCAAATATTCGATTACCTTCCTGCGGCCCGAATGCAGACCTGGGACGGTTCTTGGAACGGAGGACCAGGAAGAAATTTGCCGCGGAAGATTAAAGGATGCATATACAGTGGACGTGCAAACGGACTCGGTTCCGTGACAACGGGTCTCCCATTCTGTTTTGCATCCGTCTGCTTCGCAACTTGCCCATGCTGCTTGTGTAGCACTCCAGGTGCTGCTCTTTGTGCGAGTGCGAGTACGCTTTCGTTCAATCATTGCTGAAGCCATCTGGGGACAGAAAGGCAGCACATTGTGGGCTAGTGTAAAAGGGCGCCTCCACATTGAAACCGCCGTTTTCACAACGCACAGGGGCACAGGTTCGGCACCACTGATGCGAATGGGTTAGGGGAGAAGGCCCATATGGAGTTAGCATCCACCGCGAACTCAACGGACCGAGAAACGTGGCTTTAGCTTTGGCTGCTGAGGCGGCTCCTAAGACACATTAGATTCGACACTCTCTGTGACGAGTCCTGCGACATGCCCCCTGGTTGCTTTCACCAGAAACATGATATCACAGACTGCGTCGACGATCCTGGAGCTTCGAAGAGTTGACTCAACGCACTATCTGGTCTGCACACGAGGATACGTTGAGAGACGCCGCGTCCACGGGCATTTATCACGAAAGATCACACAAGGATGTAGATCACATCTCTTCGAACACGGCACCTACGGCCCAGGAATTGGTCACATCACAGGAAGGAGATTGTTGGATCTATGAGGACGAGCTCCGTGCCAAATTATCCAGTCACTTGCAGCGATATTTTCCGCCTGCAGATATGAACAACCCATATTCGGTGCAGCTCCATCTGCTAGATTTGCGCCCGTAGTTCGGGTTCCGATTATCGCATTTGTAAGGTGAATGGTGGCTTGAGCCTGGCACCTTGCTTCCCCGGCCACTCTCACTCGGTACACCTGAACTCGTGGGCAGAACCTTGAGCAAGCCTATGCTCGCGCACGATGGGCTGGTGTCGGCTGGCAACGTCCCTGAGATTCGCGCCGTCAATACGGAGTATGCACAACTGATTGCGACGGACGCACGATTGCCAACGTCCATCGTCTGCTAGTTCGTGTCTGGTGCTGCCGGACCAACACTTGTGAATACGAGTAGATGCCTGGTGAACATGAAATCCCAAGACCATGGGTTCTGCCGTGCGGCTCTGGCTGGGGCACGACCGCACCGAATCCCAGAAATTCCCGGGCCGCCGTCCTTTACGAGTTACCCGCTTAAAGCTGCAGGCATTTGAGCGAGCTCTCGAGGTCAGGCTTGCCTCTGCCCGCCGGGTGGGCCACCCTTGATCGACGGTCGGGATCGACCTCAGACAGTTCCCAGTTAAGTCTGGCTTCTGAGTTCACGTCTGACGACACTACCGCCGCCGGTGCTTGGAACAGCAACAAAGACCCCGGTCGACGGTCGTACCCTAGATCCACCGTCTCGGTATTGCGCTGGTGCAATTCGCTGCCTCGGGGGCATGGGCCCAAACCACCAACCCAAGATTGTCTCTTTCCCGACTCCAATCTTGGGGTCTTGACCTCTTCCTTTCTGTCTGGACGCACGGCATACACCAGGCGCCGTCGTACAATTACAGTCTGTGCCCACATCTAGAAACAGCTACCTCTCACCTTGTACCACGCAAATCCCTTCAAATTTCAGGCCGGACGCAGACGGATATTAAATGGTCCCCTCTCAATCAAAGATATACTTCGGTGACCTAGTTGATTCTCTGATAAGCGTCAAGTGGTCATCCTCGTCATAGTCGAGTCCGGCTGGGTTCACCAAAATTCCAACTCCTCCCTCCGACCATTTGTCGCATCCACCGTATTGGAATTGCGACAGTTGCGACAGTCACATTCGGCGCAGGTCCAGCAGGTTCGGATCTTTTGCGAGGTCCATTGAGAGCTGTCTGGAGCAGTACCTCAATCTGACGAGTTCCCGGCTTGCCGATAGCATATCATGCCTCCAGAAAATTTTCATGAGCCTGCCACACAAGTCCACCGTCTTTAACCGTCGGTATTGCCGGCCTTTTCTCCCCCTTCCTGTCCCATCCATCAGCGCGACGACTTGCCTGTCCTCGACTCGGAATCTGGTGGAAGTCGCAATCCGGCGCGGATTTTGAGACTGAGACAAACTTGGGGAAATCTTCCTCCTTGTTACACTAGGCTCGACCAAAGCAGGTGCTGATACTTTCTGCTGTCAGTGTTACAGCAGAGCCCCTCTTGACAGAGCGACCATCCCTGCGAACCACAATCTTCTCGTCAGATCCGCAACGTTTTCGGTGACCACGAGATACCTCGAGGAGCACAAAGCAGAATTGGGCAACTGCATCAAACGAGACCCAGCATTGGTTTCTTTTCCTGTTACAACAGTCGCTATTCTCGTGTCACCAGCAAGTATTTGAAAAATTGTGCGTCTTGCTCCTCCAGGGATGAGCGGCCCCTACGACCATGGCATGAACATGCCAATGCCTAATATAATGGAGGCCACCTACCCGATCTACGATGGCACATTCGGTGCGGCTTATCCCAGGATAGCGGGTCCTCCCACCCATTTTGATGGTGTAGCGTTCTGGTACAATCCAACGGCGACAGAACAGCTCTACGACAGGGAAGCAAGTTTGTTCAACGCTCGGGGTGTCGCCATACCGGTCGCTGGCATGGAGTCTTCAGGTGTCAAGCACCGTCGGACTCGGAGTGGCTGCTTCACATGCCGCGGCCGGAGGGTAAAGGTACCATCCTGAGAAATGCCGTTTCTGCTCGTCCCTCGCTGATCACTATTGTAGTGTGATGAAACCCGGCCCATATGTGACAGTACGTCATGATGCATCCACACCGTCAAAGGAATTTGTTGACCTCTGCCTAGGGTGCAAGAAAGGCGGCCGCGAGTGCGAGTTTCCACGACCCACATCGTCATCAAAACGCACCAAGCACGGAGAGAGTCGCAGCGCTAGAGAACAGCATGGAAAGCATTCTGTCAAAGAAGAAAACATGACTGACTTGCCCACGATAAAAGACGAGAGTGAGGAAGAAGCCGAAGCTGCATACTCACCCACAACGCGGCGACCGGTCGCCCCCATACGAAGCGACAGCGGCCACTCCATATCTCAAAGCACGAAATCGAAGAACATGTCTGAGACATCCTCTAATTTCAAGGACCAAACCAGTCCACAATCGAGCGAGACATCGGAAAATCGTTCCAGAGACGACACGCCAGCTTCGTCTCTGGGTACACATGCGAAGTCGGCGGAGATGCAGGCGCGACAAGCCAAAATCAAGAGCCTGAAGCCGGATCTCCAGCGGTACCTCCAGTTCCAGCAAGAGTACATGACTTATTATCACTACTTTTATAAACTCGACCCGACAGACTTTGTCCACAGCGAGTTCATCGATTTGGCGCTGTCCTACGAGCCACTTCTCTATGCAGCCGTGGGATTCGCCGCCTATCACTACGAATTGCAGCAGCCCAATCCAAGACTATCGCACTTCCTTGGCTACCACAGCAAATCTCTGTCGATGCTCAGGAGATCATTGGAGAAGAGTGCCAAGGTCAGGGAAGCCACCCTGCTGACGGTCCTACAATTGGCAATTTTCGAAGAGTACATCGGCGATTGGGTCAATCTGGTTGGACACCATCGCGCGGCCCTGACAATGGTCCACGAAATCTTCACGCCGGCGGCGATGATGGAGACGGACCTTGGACGAAGGATATTCAGCTGGATTGCCCGCCTGGACATCATGGTTGGACTTATGGCTGGCAACAAAACTCGGCTGGAGCGCAAATGGTTTGAGGCGAACGCGGCGTGGTACGGTAGCCAGGTAGATCCCGATCCCGAGAGCGATGTCGACATCGAAAATACGCTGGCTTATTTTGTGTCGGCGAATCGACTGATTGGCATGGACATGGCGGCATTATTTGCCCGATTTGCCAACCGAGAACTCAGTGTCGAAGAATTCCACCGAGAGAATACGGAGATCAGCGGAAGGGTGGACAGCATGAAACGTCAAATCGAACTGTTCAACGATGACTACTATCGGGTCCAAGAATTTCCTGTCGAGAAAAGGCGACCCCTGACCGCGGAGGACATTGTCAATCCTTATGTGCCCGGAGGTCTTTTCAAGGAGGAGCTCTGGCCACTGAATTTCATGTGGATCGATTGGTACAGCATTGAGCAGCTGCAAAGATATCAGACGGCAGTGATGCTCCAGAAGCCTGTGCCGCCCGAGGTGGAGCAAATCAGTCTCGAACAATGCCGCATCTACGAAGCCATGGAACGGTGGCCAGATGCCCCAAACGGAGCGATCCTAGGCGCGCACGCGCCTCTGGGTCTCGCGACGGTGTTTCTGAAGAAGGATGCCAGGCACATCATGTGGGCGCGCCGGAAATTTGCGGCCGTAGAACGACAGGGCTACATATTCCCACCCTCGTTCCGACAGAGAATGGCGGAAATGTGGGGCTTGACACGCGAAGCAGTCGGGGAGAATGAAGCGGTCGAGAATTGGTGGTTGCCCAATGATGAGGGAAACATCGCCATGCTAAAGGAGATCCGCAGGGTCGTGAAAGAGCGGCACGAGAACGATGCAACACCAGGCGTGGAGTCTATTGCCGATGTGAGGGATCTGAAGGCCATCTTTGAGAAGCTGGATATTCGAACGCAATCGGTCAAGGGAGCAGGTGTCGCTGACGACCACAGCCCGTTGAGCGAGACCAGCGGAGCAGCCAGCGATCGAGGGAGCAATGCGAGCTTCAGTCCAACGAGCATCAGCTTCGGCGATACCCTCAAGGCCAGTGTCTCTGGAGACGCAAAGGCACAGACCAGAAGAGCCAGAAGATCAGGTTCGACTTCATGAAGTGACGGTGTACACGGTGGTAGTGAACCACGAAAATACGAGCAACATCGCAATTTAGTTAGTATGATGCGACATGAACTTTACTTTGAAGCAACGCACGAGCCGCCACTGGGGTCCTGTGATTTCATGCTCAAATCCGACGAGGCGGCCGCGCGCCAGACAGGCATCTACATATTGTACCATTCTCTCGAGCGCCGCGTACACATGGTCACAAACACTCTGAAACTGGCTCTTCGTATCTTGATTCTTGGCCTCTTTGCTCATTTCTGCCGTCCGCTGCAAGCTGATTTCAAGATCGTCTGGCAGATCTGTCAGGAAGCACTTGGAAGATTAACTCGAGACACGAATACGCGTGTTGCGAATCGCATCAGAAATCTAAATATAAACACACAGAGAGCTTCGGGTCCACTGATCGCGTAGCTGTACTAAGTACTTAACAGTAGTACAACGTAGATCGTCAAGCGCACCTACTCCGTACTCATCTGGTCTTAACCTCATGCGGCGTGGCAGCATGGGTGTTTTGACCAAGGTGGACGCCAAAAACCAAGAGTCGCCCAAGTCACGCAACTACCTCGTACGTACCTAGGCACCTAGGCACTTTGAGTACAAAGGAATGAGGAAAACGCCACCTGTGAATGTGTCTCAGAAAAGTCCGGGTATGGATTGCGGAAGGCTTTTCCTGGTCGCCCTTCGTCGACGCCACGCGACGCCACGCTTGTCTCGTTCTCGAAACCGATGTTTCAGCGCGAAACCGTTTTTGACAGCGGGTTTCCAAGGCCCGACCGACGGGGCTTGGGGAATAGTCCATCAGTCCATTAGCGAGGGCATTTGGTGCCTGTGAGGGAATTTCGTGGTTACCGAGTACGGAGTACGGGGGACGGAGTACACAGTGCTGTGCACCGCGTACGGTTCACTACGTGCCCATCTTAAATTTCCCGCAAAGTGATCAATACTGGGCGATGGGTCGATGCTGGAATGGACGTCGGAGCGACGGTACAGTACTTCGATGTTTGCCATCGAGGAACCCCGAGTGGATGAGCCATTGGGTGAATGAGGCATGAGTGAGTAACTCGCTGGCTGAGGGAGTACTGCCTGAAAGACCGCATTGCTCAATGCCTTATGGCTGCGTGTAAATGCGTGCACCGTAAATACTGTACTCTGGCTCACAGCAGCGGGGGAGATGATGAACATCTATTTCCCGCTCTTGACTTGTTCTCCTGTTCTCTGTACCTCGTACGGAGAACTCACTATCGAGTCTCGGGCTTCGTGTTGAGGAAAGTAACACAGTACAGAGCATTCTAGTAGCTGCTGCTTCCCTGCCCTTCGAGGCAGGCAGTCCAGTCAGGACTCAGGGTCGGTAATGCGGACCCAAGCCTGGGCGTCAATGAATGCTTGAGCCAACAGCGACGGAAGAGACCGGACAGAATGTCGATCCAAACAGCCTCTCATAGCGGTGCTCTCGTTCTGGACATCATATTGTGCAAATGCATCAAAGGCAACCACTCCTGACATGGAGACACTGCGCAAGCCGGCGACAGGGCTGTCCTTTGCGGCTCCTGTCTTGTAGATCAATGACTGAAAATTGCCTCCCGTGGCTGCTAAATTGCCGCTTGTCGTCCAGACGGGAAGAAGTATTGGACGTGGTCTCCCTCAGACGCGGCTTCGACTCGAGATACCAACAGCTCCTCAAGCCTGGGCTTCATTTCGGAGATTTTGGATCTGCGATGCCAACAATAGCCTGCTAGGCAGGGTGGGAGCCATCTGCATGGTCGACTTCGGTGATGTTAGTCTCTGGCCGCATACTCAGTTTCGAGTCGCTACGTCCTGTACGGGGAATCCAGCGATATTCCGACTCAGTTGCCGCCTGCAGCCGGGGAAGTGGCATATCCAGAATTCATTTCCCCTTTCGAGCCAGTCTATGCGGGCGGGCTGACCTGCGTGGGAGACGCAGTCAAGCTAGGCATGGCTTCGTCTTGAACGTTAACTAGCCTTGCTGAAACGTGCATCGGAAGTTTTGAAGACAAACCCGCATGGTAGCAGTTGCGAATGTCCATTCACCTGGAGGGGACCTGCATCGGCACAGCGCCATCCAACCAAACTTGCGCAAGCACCGAGTGCATCAAGGTGATATGCAACTACGTACTCCTCCGCTCGCTTGCTAGGTGGCCTGGTTTCACGCAGCACTACCTGGATCGAACGGCTCTAGTGTCTGCACGCGGCACAACGGCTGCAAGCCTGCTCAACCGACATGGAAGTTGATTGCGCCAGAACGACCTCATGCGGCGCCCAGCAGACGGCACTACCGGGTGGTGTTCTGCGGCCTCCGCATATCTCGCCTTTTCGGAAAGTGGTTCTATTTCAGAAGCAGCTTTCATTATTCAGGCTAGTGCTATCGTACGAGGTACCGAGGATTGGATAGAAGCCCCACACTGACCCGAAGTCTCAAAAGCGGACAGGATCATCGTCCTTGGCATTGCCGTCCTGAATCATGAGACGCCCTACTCGTAAGTATGAGTGAACTCTAGAAATACCCCCAGTCGATACGGAGCAACACATGTGCCCCTTATCGAGGAAGCAGACACCGGCACTTCCTACTGTAACCACGGCAGTCCGTAGAAGACGCAGCATGGCGGCCACCGGTGTCGGTCACACTACTGTGTAGAGCTGATCTGGGTTGAACATGGCGTGAAACTTCTCTCCAGCTACACTCTTTGTGCCGATGGCCAGGCCGCTTTGTCTGCCACCTTACGCATCCTTCTGATTTGTTGCCACGCGTTGAGCAACCCAGCAACTGCAGCCCCGTCCGGCTAGGACAGAGCCTCGGTTGAACTCGTTTGCCTTGATGTATTGGCAGCGCAGCATTGAAATTGACGCGGCATACACTCGTGCACTGCTCATTCGCAGCATGCACAAAGCACAAAATGCCTCCGACCCAGGCAATGTACCTGGTCGGGTTTGATAACCGCGAGCATCAATTACAACATTGATCGAAGCCACGCATTCGAGCGCGCCAGAATGATACCCCACCCACAACACATCGGGATCATCCAGAAAGACTTTCCGTGCGCGGCTTCGCAGGTCCTGCCCACTCCAGGACTTGTTCAGCCATTTTGGAGGCAGATGTCTTTGAGCAAATGGCAGAGCGCAGGCTAGGCGATCTCGAGTACTAATTGCAGGCACTTTCAGTGAGCCAAGGTGACCAACCTTTCCAGTCTAGAAGCGGAGGAAGCTGTGTGGCTGTTTCTTGAATGTTGCAGGACGGCTTGAAAGTTGACCTCTGTTACCATGAACCGCTCGTGACCCACGGGCCGGTACGGGAAATGTCTGTTGAGCTCAACAAGTACGGAGTATTGCGCATCTCTCCTCACTAGAACGCAATGTCTTGGAGCGACAGCGGGGAAGTCGGACCAGGGCCAGATCCTTTGCTGCGAAAACGACCAACGAACCGCAGCCCGGCTTGCTGGCGGATGCTAGCCGTCGGCAGGTGTAGACTAACTCCAACTGTAGGGAGAACGACTTACTACACCCGAGCATTTGACTTTCTTTGCAAGGAATCCCTATGCCGTGATGGTGATACCATAGTCACAATGATTAGACCTAAACATATCAACGACGTCGATTCTGACTCCTGCAACTTCCCGGAAATTCATGCAAATCTCCATGCTGCGTCGTGCAGACCGACAACCGGAGGGCAGACCACTGCGCCTGCAGCCAGGTTACCGGTAAGCTTGATAATGCAGTCGGATCGGGCTTCTACAGCTCACATTGGCAGGGCCGAGCCACTTACGAGGGATCAGATAGCAGGCACTTCGCCAGCGCTGTAAGCAAGCTGATAGAAACGATCTATTGTATCTTGAGGATGAAGCTCTTACAACTTGCTGGGAGCCGCATTTCGGACTGGATGGTGTCGGTCAGGAAAGCGCAATCCTCATACACGGAAGCTGCGAAGGAAGCTCCGAGGGGATTTGTCTTGAAGTGAAGTGAAGAACAGTTGCACTCTCTCGCTTATTTCTTCCGCACCTTCGATGTCATTCATTGTCGGCTCACTTTCCGCAAAATCACTGCGGCGCAACTGCGCATAATTTCCATGTACAATTGAGTGGCCAGTCACCTCAGGCCTCACTCTTCTTTCACCACATTCTCGTTTTCATGCGCATGTCTTGAAGTGCACCTTTTCCTTCTTCATGGACTCCTATCGGCCCGGCGGAAGCCGTCGGCGCCCTGTTCGCGACGGCGACTCGTATCGACCTCGCGATCACGACCCGCCACCTCCACCATGGCCATCAACAAACTACAACAATGGTGACATGTACCAATTCCAAGGTTCGCGTGACCGAGAACCGCCACCAGAGTTCGCCCGCCGTCCCAGGTCCGGATACCAGAGTGCGCGACCCTACCATTCAGGTCCCCGCCGGGACAACTGGCGAAGGCCCCCAGTACCGACCATCAGGACAGCCGCGAATCGGCCCCTGTTCAAGCTCAGACACGATGAAGCCACTGATTCTTCGGTCGCAAGTCTCAACTCGGAAACCAAGTCAAAGTTCCGGAATCTGGATGAATTGACAGACAGCGAAGAAGAAGACATGGCACAGTCGGAAGATGGAGATGAGGAACGCCACGTGAACAAGCGAGCTCGACTCCACCAAGGCGATTCCGGCATTGCACCAGCCTCTTCCAAATGGTCGAATCCAGACCCGTACACGTCGCTTCCTCCAGCGGGAGATGTGGCTGCCAAACGGACGGATGTCGTCAAATTGATCAGGAAAGCGCGCATCGACACAGACCCCAGCCGACCAAAAGCCAAGCAGCCAGATGAATTCATTTCTTTCGAGGCGGACGGGTACGACTCGAGTGATGGCTCGGCCCTGTCGCCGGTGTTCCACAAATCCCCATCGCCACAGCCTACTTATGATCCCCCTGCTCGCCAACCGTCCGCGTCCAGCATGGTCACCGGGAAGAGAAAGAGAGGCCATGATCTCGACGACGGAGAACGATATTCCAGATCAGACAACCCAGCTTATGCAGATAGGCGAGTCGAAGACAAATGGGCAGCTACCTATGGAGTTAATGCAACGCCGTGGCTGGGTCTACCGTCCCCCAGCAACACTGCTGGAGTCGCGTAAGTGACGGAAATATCCCCCAATTCTGCCGCTGACCATTACAGGCTCCACAAAGAGATCATTGACTTTTACGACTGGGTGAAACCAAGACCCCACGAAATCGAAGTTCGTGGAGCAGTGTTCCAGCGTCTCAACAAGGTGTTGCAAGGTTTCCTGGCAGGAGAACTAAAAGCCTTCGGATCTTATGCTGCCGGTTTATACTTGCCTACCGCTGATATGGATCTCGTCTACCTTACGAGGAGCTTTAAACCTGGCGTGTTGCCTTCCAAGAAGCAGAAGAGAGATCTGGTCATCACATGTGCAACGTTCCTTCGTCGGTGCGGTATCGCTCAAGGGCCAGTTGTTCCGATTGGTGGCGCAAAGGTCCCGATTGTCAAGTTCGTTGACAGAATCAGCGGACTCAAGATTGACCTATCCTTCGACAATGACACCGGTCTCACTGCCATCAATACCTTCCACAAATGGAAGAGTGAGCATCCCGTGATGCCCATCATTGTTTCGGTTGTCAAACAATATTTAATGATCCGAGGGCTGAATGATGTGTCCACTGGGGGATTGGGTGGTTTCTCGACGATCTGTCTGGTGACTAGCCTCCTACAACATCTGCCTCTGCATCAGCGTCCTGTCAATGTAGGCGATGTCTTGGTCGAGTTTTTCAACTACTACGGTAATGTGTTTGACAAGAAATCAACGATCATTCGTCTTGATCCGCCAGCGTACTTGAACAAGGTATTTGACCTCTATTTTCCTTTCGACCTTGCTAAAAATTTGTCCCAGGCAATACATACCATTCATTTTGGTGACAAAGACAATGAACGTTTGACTATCATTGATCCTCATCGATCGGACAACAACATCTCGGGTGGCACAAGGCAGATTGGCACAATTTTCGACTGCTTTTCCAAGGCACACAAGGCTCTAGCCACTCGACTTGCCTCCTTTGAAAAAGACCCTTCCAGACATCAGGTAGATGGCTTTTTGGGGTGTCTCATTGGCGGCGATTTCACGTCTTATGAGAGACAGAGGCAAAGACTGCGAGAAATGTCTGTCAACGCCACAGCTGGTCCCGCCGGCGGCAAAGGGGGCCACACAATAAAGGAGCCGGCTCGTTCGATCGACGTTAGTCGCCGCCCCAATCGGACCGTACGTTGCTAGTAGCCGCGTCGCTGGCCATGAAGCTTGACATGTCTCCTAGGGACCACCGACGATAGCCGGCGTTGACGGCGCCACTACAACGTCTGCGAACCAGTCAAAAGAATCTAATCGGGGTAGTAGGGGCTCGCGAAGAGCGGAGCGATTGAAGGCTCTACGACCTGAGCTTGCTGCATCGATACGACATTCTATCAGTCGCCTCGACGCTCTGAAGCTTGGCGGCTACAAAGACCACGCAGAGATGCAGAGCGATCTCAATATACGAGAAGCAGCCGCCGCGAAGCTTGCTATGACAACTTCCGGTCCAGCATAAGTGGTATGACATCTTAGCATCCTGGAATTTGACCAGATCAGACCGTGAAGTGCATCAATGACAGTCTGGCATGAGTTGGCGGGCATTATCCATTATCCTCAACGCCACTGCGCGCTCGGCGAAGATCGGCATGTAGTCGGAGGTTGTTGACGGTCACAGTGTCAGAAATTTCTATCTCTTAACGCCAGTCACACGATTTCAATACTCCACCGCAGTGACATCAGTCAACAGCGTTTCAAACTCATACCCGCGCCGATCCCGAAGATTCGCCTGTGTCTCTAAAATCATGAACATGCTGACAACCTTGCAGGGCTCTGTCCACACTGATTCAGATCTCCTACACAGGAGCTCAAAAACTCGACCCTTGGAAATGCCACGATGTATCTTTGCGATCATCCTTGCTCGTCGCCTCCGCCGTGCTTGCCGTAACCACAATATCAGAGAGCTAGGTAATTCGCTCGTAGCACCAAGTCTGGGTGATCCCACCTCGGCGCTGACACGAACAAGCTCCTTCAAGAAACTATCTTTACCTCAAATCCGTCCCAGCACGTCGACATTCACGATACGTGGCCGCCTCGCAGCGCAATAACCTTCGAGTTGATAGGATAGGGTCATGAGCACTAGACACACTTGCGCAACGGCTCACGCGGTGGCCGCCAGACAGTGCTTCTAGATCCGTGCTCTGCCCGCCACCACCTTTTCTCATTGTCACGGTGCTTCACGCAACGCGGCAGAGAGGAAGCCTGGCATCCGCCTAACATTCCAAACGACATCCTGTGCCAGGAAATCCTGCAGTCTGCGCTCATGTAAGGACCTCGATTTATTGTGGGCAGGCATCATTGAGGACTTGAGGACAGGTGAGCGTGCCGCCTTCGTCCTTGAGGACTGGCAATCAGCAGGACACATGGGAAAGAGAGACGACATAACCACATGGCGTGGAAGGGACCGTCTACATATTTGTTTCATCTCAGATACGCGCAACAACGTGAGTGAAAGTCTGCAAGTAGAGGAGACGCACCGCCGGATGCAGTCGCGAACATGGAGATAAGAAGCCTTACCAAGGTCATGTAAAGAGATTTGAGAACTAAGGAGGCTGCCTAACAAAGACAGAGCAGAAACCATCGGCAACAACTTGAAAAAAAAATCCATCATCATATATCATGCTTCATCCATCACGCTCCTATCCGCCATCGACCACCGACGCTGATCTTTCACACACCTTCTCTCGGCACGGTCCGTTCCAGCGGCCGCTTCAATCCCACCTTGACTCTGTCAATCTGCCACAGCTTCGACAACATGACCGTCGGCATGCGCAGCACCGTCTCGCGATATAGCGTGCCGGTCTTCCAGTCCAGCGAGACCATGACCGCGCGTTGCATGCCGCCTTCCTGGGCGCAGAGCAGTGCTGCAACAGGCGGTCGCACAGCAGTGTACAGCGTCACGAGTCCGTTCCAGGTGTCGACCAAGGTGTAGACCTTGAGGTCACCGTATGCGCTGTACTGGGCTTGTTTCACCATGTCGGCGACGAAACCGTCACCTGTTGGATCCTCGCCGGAACACTCTCCGAACTCGTTCATCTGGTGGCGGCTGAGATGGCTGCCCGCGGAACTCCACGCTAGTCTCCCGGTGTAGTGTCCATATATGTTTGTCTCTATCGTGACAATGTCGAGGTACCCTTCAAAGCCGAGGAGATGGGGAGCCGCGTTCCAGACTTTGCCGCCGTAGAGAACCTTGACCAGCCATGGCGAGGCGACAACGGCAGGTAAGGTGAGGAACAAACACAAGGCGAGGTAGCTCCCGGTCACGCGGTACCCGATGGCACCTGCGAAGACGATGATTATCAACGCCAGGCCGGAGAGGCGGAGCCACATCTTGGCGAACAGGCGTTTCCACGACCATGCCGTGTCATGCGCGACGGGGACGAAAGATTCCCAGCGGATTGAAGCACCCATGACGCCGTCGAGAATGACGGTGTCATCCTCGCAGACGCCGGCAATCTGGCACGTCGGTTGGACGTCCCAGAGGTTGACATTGTACATGTCATTGGCGTGGTACCATGGCTGGGTCTGAGATTTTGGGAGAATGCAGATCAGGCGTTCGAGAAGATTGTCGCTGTCGTTGGCAAGGGAGAGCCGCGCGAACGCTTGGAACTCCGAGTCGGTATGGTCGATGACTGGTCGGCGACGCAGCAATCCCATCAAGACGTACGCGAGGTCTCCGTCGAGGTATTTCGAAGTGCGGCGCTGGCTCAAGCACTTCAAAGCCAAGATGACCAGTTCAAGCCGACTCAGGGTTAAATTGCCTTCGTAGTGGTCCACAAGCTGCCGTGTCAGACTTGTGTCTTCCCAAACCAGGGCAGCGAGGTCCTTCTTCGCCAGCTCCTTGACAAACTCGGGCCGACCCTGACGAGCGTTGTAAATCTGGATCGGCTTGTCCTTTGGAGCTAGAAGTGCCTCAGGCAGGGTCCACATCCTTGTGCCCCAATCTTTGAGAAGGCCATCGATCGAGGCGCTTTGGTTTCCAGGTTGTGGCTTAACTGCAATGACCACAGCGTAGGCGGCTCGGATAACGTCGCTGATGCGGTAGACATCTCGCTCGAGCTCAACTTGGTCTTCAGACATGCATGCGGAACCCACCCAGTATGCAGGGCACTTGTTCTGGATTGCAGCTTCCCGAGCAATGGCGTGTAAAGCCTCGGTGTCCTCGTCCGTGTCCGCGAACTGAGTGGAGGTGTACGCCACAACAATGAAGCGCATGTCGTGCTCAATCATGTTGTGCTGTTGAAGCCATAGTTCGACGTCGTACAGGTGGATACCACCGCCTTCTTTGTTGGCACTGTCGACGAAGCAAAGCCGTCTTGGATACAGTGGTCGCTCAGAAACAGGGTGAGCCCCTGCGTTCTCGTCACCATCTGACTGACGTTTGCTAGGAATTTCCTCAAGTTGGTTACGAGCAATCTTAGGATACCCCCAATAGCGGTAGGGAAAGTCCGAGTACCTTGAATAAGGCGACACTCCGTCGTAGAGCGGTCCCAGTTTGAGTAGCTGCCAGCCACTTGGGTTAGCAATTTACAATATCGGATACAGCAGCAGGAACTCACAGTAAATATCAGAAGGAAACAGGACACGGGCCATTTGACAACGATCCAAATCCAGTCTTCGGGCGACCAGTGTTTGGAATCTACAGGCGTGGTATTCATGGGCCAATTCGCGATTCGGATTGCCCAGGGGGCCATGTTTCGGATGAATGTGCGCCGCCATGTTGAATTGTCAGGGCCCGCATAAATCTCGTCACTACATTGAACCATCATGCGTTCAATGTGACGGTCCGAGGCGATGAACCTGTCTTCTTCGACACCGTTGAATATCCTATTCACGGCGTCACGGTGACGGTATGTGCGACCTGATGCATACACACGGCCTACGCGCTTGTGGGTGTGAAAAGACTTCCACCATCGAAACGTGGTGCCATGTGAGAAAAGGTTCCGGTAGCCCTTCTGATGCATTCGGCGCCTTGTCTGGTTTGTGTTAGGATAGTCGACAGAGGGATCGTGCAAGCTACATACCAAGACTGGGGCGTGATAACTTGAGGTTTGGAGTTCGGGCCGCTCTTTCAAATGGACCCGCGACTCAGACGCTGGAGGCACGGTGTCCGTGATTCTATATGCGGGCACCTCAATCGTTTGAACAGATATGCCACTCATTGAACCCTGCAAATGTGAGCCAAGGTCAAGAGCCTCGATCTATGCCTCACTTTGTGGGATGTCGTGTGAACCATCGTCTTCTCGTCAGGCACTGGAGGCGGGGCGATCAGCAGACCAGAGACAGCATAGGTGTTGTTTGGACCATAAGTCTGCTGGCGCGTCAGTGTGCTGTCTGCTGTGGGCAGACGAAATACCTACGCCAGAGTAGACAGTTGATTTTTGGCTGAAGGGTGGCATGTTTGCGCCTTCGGAACCGTCGGCTGGTCGCTTCTCGTAGGCCACTGGAGATTGTTGCCAGGTCGAAGTCTGGGACAAAGAAGGAGGACTAGCGTGGGTAGGTACTAGCCGGCCACTTGCGGTCATCTACCAGGCATTAGTGACAAGTACAGCCCATCGGCTGGGTCGACCTCACCTGAGAGCTCGAGCGGCCCTCAACTGTTGAGGAAGCTCCCGCCGGCAGTCTCGCTCCGCCATGACGTCTTGCACCAGAGTAGCCAGGGCTACTCGAAGTAGGTGAACCGATGGTGACAGGGGATGAGCCTTGGTAAGGACTCTGACTGGATGTCAGTCGACTACGAACCTTGACACTCTTCAAGTCACATACTTGCATCTGTGCTGTGGGGGCTTGGGTGGTTGTCACGGCATTAGCCGGGAGTTTGACCCCTCCATGTCGTCTTGGTTGCGCCTGAGGAGGTCAGCGAAGTGCTTTCACGGATCTCAGCCGGCAGGCACGCACCATGCTGGAGGTCAGGAACTTGGGCAGACAGGGGCAAGTCGGGGCAGAAGAGACTGAGGGAGTTGAGGACGAAGGATTTCTTCATTAACATACCAGTGCACTCTTCACTCTTATCTATCTTTCCATGCCGACATTCTGGACCGGGGTCTGGGTAAGGGGCAGGCGACATGTCGCTCAGGGGCCTTTCCAACTCGTATTCTCTGCAGTCCAGGCGTCTGCCTTCCAACATCAATAACCAGGGGACTTTTGCTGGCATCAGGCTGAATGTCAATAACCCAGGATGATGTTGTATCACAAATGTGATATGAATGAAATGAGGTGCAGCTGCAGCAAAATCCATTGGACGGCGGGGCAAGGCAATATTGCCGGGCTGGCGTGTGATTGGCAGGCGCGAACACACCTTTGTTCGCTTTTCAAAGCCACAGGGGTTGCGCGCAGAGTCTGGATGCAATGTATGGTCTCAGAGCCTCGTATTCATCCGTATCTTCGAATCAATAGACTGCTATTTCTGTCGGGGGCTGAAAATGTCGTGCACACTGTGTCGGAGAGGTTTCTGGTCAGGGCAGAAAATGATTTTGCCGTTACTCAGAACTCGGACCTGATGGACCCCCTTGAACATGCAGCCGTGCACCGTCAAGCCACGTCACTTAAACAACCATCGCCCGTTGCTATCCGGTTTGTGAAAACTGCAAATTAAACATCGGAGGGAGGGTGCAGCGATTGCTTACACATCATGTCTCTGCTTCACGATGATACTCAGCATGGCACATTCGAAGATCTGTTGGAGGACTCTCGGGCTCCGTTCATGGACACAAATGAGCTCAAGATGGAAATACTCGACATCATCCAAACCGGCACAGGTATGTCTTTACTCTCTGAACGGGGTGGTCGTCTCTGATATTTGATCAGGGCAGCTGATGCCTTTGCGCGGCTATACCACAGCATCGGAGTTGGCGAGAGGTAGTCGTCCCAACCTGAGGCTGATGTGAGGGCTCCATGTATAGACAAAGTGGCACAAGGGCTAACAATGTCCACAGTTTTGCACCCTTGGACTATCCGACGCCCGCAAGTGGCAAGACGCTTACGGCCCTTTTCCAAATGTTCTCAGTACCGACTGCTTTCATATCTGAGAGAGTCCAGAGCGTGACGCATGCATTTAGCTTCGAGGGCTCGAAAGATGGCGAGTTCCGTGAGTGCTGCTGCCAATCTCAAAGCAGATCCAACCACTGATGATGCCGAGGTACCTGGTTACATTTCTTGTGCAAGGCGATCGAGGACAAACTTGACAATATCTTGTGGTTGAGAAGCGGGTATTTTCTCTCTCGTGACTCCCAGAGCAGGACAACCTTGATTTGCTTTGGTGCTTCATCTTTGCTGGAAAAGAGGTTCAATTCTCTGCCGTCCGAAAATTGGAAAGATGCTTTGGACGACCCGTTCCGTCTCTTCACCGTGGTGTTGTCGGACCTGCATTTTCAGTTGGATGAGCAGTTATGGTCGCTCAACACGTCTGTTGGAGCAGTAGAACAGGTATGCGTGGCCGCTGCTCGTCTTACGCTTTGTTAACCTTTCCTACCTGTAGCATACCATCGCGTCAAATGATGTCCGCGAGTTCAAGCATAACTTTGTGCACCTTCATTACATTGCGAAGAACCTGATCCACCTGAAAGAAGCTTCTGATGCGATTCTCCGGACTGTCCAACACATGATCGAGGAACAGACTGACAACACCTCTCCGCGTTCGGTCGGTTGTAGAAAGACTCTCTCCGCCCTGCGGTATCAACAGACCCTCTTCGAATCAATCAACTTGAGAGCTGTCAGCATGGAGAAGCGGATGCAGAATGTGATCAATTTGGTGAGTGATGAGCGACTTTGGCAATGGGATAGAACTGATTGGTTGGCAAGAGCTTCAACCTGGTAGCGCAAAAAGACTCCAGCACTATCCTCACCGAAAGCAGTTCCATGCACACAATCGCACTGACAACGCTGATCTTTCTGCCTATCTCTACTGTCGCGGTAAGTTTAGGCCGAGAATGACGCCAGGAATAGACTGCTGATGCTTTGAGTAGACCATTTTCGGTAGCCAATTCTTCATGTTCATCGACTCCGGCGATCGAGACGCGTTCCATGTCTCTCCACAGTTCTGGATCTTCTGGGCCATTACAGTTCCCTTGACGATTGTTGTGTTGACAACCTGGATATACTTCCACCCAAGCAATGTGTCTCGCTGGCCGTTGTTGAAGAGGAGCAACAAACGTGACCAGGCATGCCGTATACTAGACTTGCCGGGCAAATAACCCATAACGAGAGGACGGAGGTAGGCGGCTTCAGGGTAGCTTGTTCCTGTGATCAATAATTTCCTGGGCTGCTTCATCGAGAAGTTCCTTCTTCTTCAAATCGCGTAGCCAGTCCTGGCGTATCGCATCGAAACCGTAGTAAGTCCCAGCTATGCCCCCGCATATCGCGCCGACGGTGTCCGAATCATATCCCAGGTTGACGGCCTGTAGTGCTGCCTGTTCAAATGTATCCGAGTTAAAGAAAGCCCAGAGAGCAGCTTCAAGTGTATCAACGACATAACCCGTGCTGCGTATCGAGTCGGCCGTGGTCTGTTCCCAATCTTGGATTGAGCGATACCGTCCGATGCGTTCTGAAAGCACTGCTTCAATAGGTGTGTCGGATATATTGCTCGGAATTTCGTTAATTGACTCGCTTAAACTTACAGCGAGTTCGGTCTTGGAAGCTCCATTGAGTAACTGTTGTACCAGGGAAGCATATATCATGCAAGCATGCACACATCGCAGATGCGGATGCGTAGGCAAGGAGCTTTCTTTGGCAAGTTCGACGACGTTTGACGCGCTTGAGGCGATCAGTGCCGCCGGAAGGACTCTCATCAGGCTGCCGTTTCCACAGTATTCGTCCTTCGAAAATTCGTGGGTAATCTTCGCCAACATTGCGCTGTGGGCATCTTGCACAGGGGAATCCTCGCCTCTAGACTGTAGATGGAGCATATCGGCCCAAGTTTGGAGGGCGCTTCGCGTAGAAACTCCAATGTCGAAACAACTGCCGGTTGAGGACATGTAGCCATTCTGCCACCATGAGATGTACTTTTTGACCTGATCTATCATGTTGGAGTGACCGCCACAATCTAGCAGAGAATGAGCCAGGCAGAGTGTCATCGCTGTGTCGTCCGTGAAGCAGCCGGCTGGAAGGCCGAAATTATCATTTGGCAGCATGGACGTAACGCGTTCAAACGAGCCTCGGGGCTTGAATTCCACGGGAGCTCCTAGTGCGTCACACACAGCAAGGCCATATATGGCGCCCCTTATGCGGGAAGACAGAGGAATAGGTTGTGGCATGTCGATTCAACTGTTTTGACAACAATAGCTCTAGCTGCGCAGATGACACGAACAGAGAGTAGATGCGGAGTCGGTGAACGCGGGTTCGAGGCCGTCGCTGCTGCAGTTCTCGTCGATCCGAAGTGCAAGAGGGACGAGAGGTCCGACTTGTCAAGAATACGATGAAGTTGAGGTGACTATGAGCTCAGATGCTTTGCGTGAAGAAAATTGCGTAATGGCCCATGCCATGACACAATGCAGGAGCAGTTATGACCCAAGTCCCCCGGGATTCTTAATCCTGTTGAAGCTCTGCTTTTACGCTCGCCGTACCAGAAGGATATGGTCATTACAGGTCGGCTCGCCATACGCCAAACATGCTCTGTTGTTGTCAAGCTCGCGATGAAAAGGGTGGGATCAACAAGCTTGCGAGTGGCCAGTGCTGTTTCAGCCTGGCCAGTTAAAGACACGAGACACGGCTCTAGGGAGTACGAGGTACGAGGTGCACTGTACAGAAGCCTCGATAAGGGACACCTCGGTCACTATCGCTTACCCCGCATGCCCGCTCCTTTCGAGCCGGAGCCATCTCACCCCGCCAGGGTGTTAAGAGGGGAAGGTGTTATATCAACATCTAGAAAAATGAAGAACGAGGGTCGAAGTTGGGATCACGAGGGACTGCTTATGCTGGCAGGTGTTACGGTTGAGAGCTATTTGAAGTATGTTTGTACTCATTGCCTGAATGGCATGTCCACCGAGTGTGCGTTCGAAATGAATGTCTGAAGCAGCCACACAGCCCGACAGTTCATCAGCATCGTTTATGCGCTTTTTTGAGACATATGTTGCAAGTACACCACGAAAGAGTGAGCCATCATAAGCAGGATGTTCATTCGGTTATTTCTGGGCTGAATGTTAGTTGAAGATGGTGGTTGGTAGCTCCGAAGAACATACGCAGGTGCATTGGCCAGAAGGACACGCGCCTGACATTTTGTTAGCAACGATGGAGAATGGCAGAGGCACGGGAAGCACTCACAAGTAGAGCCGCAGCTGCAGGAGCAAGGACCTGAAATCAAGTCAGCTTTGAGCCAGTGAACGACACCTGGGTGTCCATACCCATTTTGAATAGTAAGCGAGGGCTTCTGGTATGGAGTTTCGGTATACTCGGTCTGATCTTGTGCGTTAGAATCGTAAAAGACAGGTGAGATTGCTCGTTGCTGTTTGCGATTAAATTAAAAGGAGGAAGTCGGAGAGAAAAGTGAGCATGTTTTTATGTGCCTCCGGTCGTTCGCTGTTACCCGCATGCCACGGCACTAAGCTCGATCCGAATCAAGGCCTCCCGAGAGGTGAAACGTGAGGTGAAGTCGATTATGACAGGACAGATGAGCGCGGGGGTCTCTCTCGTGACTGTCGACCAACCTGCGCCGTTTCGATACAATCACGCAGTTCGCCAACCCTCGAAGAACGCTTGACTCTACTGTTCGTACCTGATAGGTGCCCTCATGCATCACGGTGGCCGCCCCAAGGGATGCACACATCAGACTATGAGCAAAGCTCGCCTCTTCCCATGAAAAGATTGTCATTGAGCAGGTATGTCGACATACACCGTCGTAACTGAATACGAAAAACAGGAGATCTGCACCTCCAACAACGATGCGGAATACCGGAAAGCGATAACCGAAGTTTCTCCTTCTCAGGCCAGGCACGACGAACGACTCACTTATATTGCATTCGGTTGCTTGTTATCGTTCGAGGAGAAGACTTCGGAATCTCCCTGAAGGGTTGAGCTCGACATTGATCAGCGCTCCCTGACCAGCATCTGCAGCCAACCGCGCCGGAAAGGCATGACGACAACGGTCGAAGTCACTTGCTTGTGTGGGAGGAATGCTGGAACAGTACAATTGGACGCCCAGCTTCCTATTCCTAGCACTCCTTGTTCATGCAATAGCTGTCGTTACAGCACCGGTGTGTTGTACTTTTCGGATTCTGCTCTTCCCTCGAGACCAGATGTGGTGAACAAACTTTGCAAGTACGACTCTTCCTCCAGGGTGAGCAGATACTTCTGTCCAAACTGTGGAAGCCCTATGTTTGTTGAGGTCCACAGGGACCCTCCTTGCGATGCTCCCGGGGACTATGTTTGGGCAGTTGTCTTAGGAGTCATTGACCGCATAGACGGACAAGAACCTGGCATCGACTTCGGGCTGGAACGCATTGTGCAGCACGAATTTGTCGGCGACACCAAAGATGGAGGTCTGGCATGCTGCTTAGATCAGATTGATGGACATTTGGTCCCGTTCCTGCTGCAAGGACCCGACGGAGTTAAAGTCGACGGGCCTGCCGCAGAGCTTTTCAAAAAGCTGCAGCAGGATGGTCCTGATGACTCCAAGACACACCGAGAAAGAGCCATGAAGGAAACAGAGACTCTAGATGAATTGTCCGCAGGATGTCATTGTGGGGGAGTGAACTTCAGCGTCACCCGTCCAAACATGGCCTCGAAAGAGTGCTCGTCTCCCTGGCCTGATTTGATTGCTCCGTATCATTCGTCAAGCTCGGAGAATCGCGAGGACATCAAATGGTGGCTCCGTGAGAACGACACGAAATATCTCGCAGGCACGTGTGCATGTAGGTCTTGCAGACTGGGTTCTGGCTCTCCCATTCAAGCATGGACATTCATTCCGAAAGCAAACATATTGCAGTCTGATGGCAAGCCGCTGAACTATGACATGGGGAGTCTCCGACGGATTGAAAGTTCTACTGGAAGCTACCGGGAATTCTGCAGCACATGCGGTGCTACAGTGTTTTGGCATTGTCTCGAGAGGCCAGACCTGGTCGACGTCAGTGTGGGACTTTTACGAGCACCGGAAGGCGCCAGAGCGTCAAGCTGGTTGGACTGGTGGACGGAGAGAGTGAGTTTCAAGGAGGAAGCTTTCGACAAGAAGCTCATAAATCATCTTGAGGAAGGATTGCAGAACATCAGACGCAAGGGGTAGCTGCGATGGAGCTGCGTCGTTCAGCACGAGTACAATCACGCGGCCCCTGAGGCCGTACAGGACTGAACTGTGTAGTAGGTGCGATGGCCGGTGGACGGGTAGGTGATGGCACCCGATGGGATAGGGGGCACTGGATTACGTAATACGTGGCGCGTTCTAGTGGTGCTAGGGTAGTTCAGCGTGAGCCTCGTCAATCTGCAGCTCATGTTAAACAGATGCCTGTCCCCGAGCCTGTTGTACGAAACCAGCAACGCCTCGACAACTACACATGGCTTTGCCATGACCCTTTCTGTACCTCGAATACTAGCGCATTCACGCTGGTAGACTTGTCATACAGCATCCGCTGAATTTCTTCTGTATTCCGGAGACTGCCGCAGGCTCTGGCCATCAATGCGGATGTGGACACTTTAGCGAACATGGCTACCGGACACACTGAGAGCCCGTACGACAATCCCTACGACGATGACCATGCTATACTAGAGGATGACTTTTTGAACGACGGTGAGAGACATGGCAACCACCTCGGTTCAGACCTATACTGACTCCTCGCAGATGTCGAACCCGATGAGCCCTCACACAGCATCTCAGATCGTGCTCCGTTAACAGGCAACATTCAGTCATCCTCGACCAGCGCACCTCTGAACCAGAATTACCTGACGTCGAGAATCCCCGGCGAAGACAGGCGCGCACCGCAGAATACAATTGACGAAACTGTTTGGGATACCGTATCCAGAGATCTGTTCGCGGTATGGGAGAAGATGAAGCAAGTTCTCTACCCCAAGTACCTCCTTGGTGGCATGCTCCAAAGACAAGGCGCCGGCATGGGCGACGTCGAGAGTCAAGGGGCAGCCCTCGGAAGAGATTTGAGAGGGTTGCTAGGACGATGGCCCGACGCAGACGGGATCTTGCAGGGAGGAATGAGTGAGGGTCTGCGAGATTGGGACCTATGGTGAGTACTAGTCGCCCAGAGGATCGGCTGTTGAACCCCTCTTACATTGTCACAGGGGCCCGCTCATATTCTGCTTGCTGTTGAGCGTCTTCCTCTCTATGCGAGCCAGCAAGGGCCAGACGGATTTGGTCTTCTCCGGCGTCTTTTCTTTAATCTGGGTTGGCGAGGCTGTAGTGACACTTCAAATCAAACTCCTGGGGGGAAACATGTGAGTCCCTCAAGGGCAAGTATGTCACTCGGGCAGTACTGACTTCTTGATAGCTCATTCATGCAGTCGGTCTCAATCATCGGCTATACCTTGTTTCCCTTGACCATTGCCGCCCTCCTCAGTGCACTTGGTCTACCTACGATTGTGCGCATTCCAGTCTATCTTGTCCTGGTCGCGTGGTCACTTGCTGCCGGAGTTAGTATTCTCGGAGGGTCAGGTGTAGTCAAGAACCGGGTTGCGCTGAGTGTTTACCCTCTCTTTGTCTTCTATATCGGGCTCGGGTGCCTTTGTTTTATTAGCTAGATTGAAGAAGATGGTCTACAGATGCAGCGTTCTCGGCGGTAATGCGCATTAAACCCCGGGTCACTGAGTATCCATAATAATGAGACTTCACAATATCCACCGTGCTCCGGTCATAGAAATCGCCTAGGCATCTGTTGTGTGGGGCGGAAAAGCACCTCGCGATTGTGCGTGACCGCAGCCTGACACGCAACAATCACATCTCCACCAGCCCTACCACTCCCTTTAGACTGCGACTGCACTTGGATTCGGTCAGTAACGGCACCCTGATTCTGACGCCACAGCGACAGTACAGTGCGCGTCTAATCCACACTCGATTAGGTCTATATCGCATAGGACTTGCAATAACGTCATATCGCGGACCAGATCTCTGCCTCGAGGCCGTCCATGCTGTTTGAAGGCGCTGTACCTCCGCAGTCATTGTCTCCCAAGGACGCCGTGTTCGTCTTGAAAACTAAGTACACAGCAGATACCGTCGAGGCTATCATTGGTTTCGGTCGCCGAGGCCGGGCCTCGTCCGCTGTGCATACCTGATTTCAACGTTTAACCTACAATTCTTTTCGATTATCCAGCCCCACGCCACTCCTGTATTGCAGGAATTATCTTCACATCAAGCCGCCAGTGGGCTGATTGTAGCGGAAGAAGAGTCAGAGACCTTAACTCAAAAGAAGCCATACATACGACTGGTCGTTCACGATGGCATCAGACGAGCGATCGGAGGATCCACCACCAACCGATGCGCCTGCGGATACAGTCATACAAGACCTTCCTCCTCAAGACGGCAGCTCGGACGGCGAGCGGGATGAACGCACCGCTCGAGAGAAACTGAAGAAAACATCCATCGCTGGACTAGCACAGTACTCCAAGGTGAGCAAGGCGACTGGAGACCATCCTCTAGGCGAAGTCGCTAATGCCGATACCACATCCGATGCTCAATCCGACAATGGACAGGCAAGAGGTCGCCCTTCTAAGAAAAGATCCTTCGATGACTTGCAAAATGAAGAGTCAGGACCCAGTGTGGAGAACGGAGGAGCTCCCTTGCCAAAGAAGGGCGCCCAGCACAAGAGAATGCGATCTAGAGAGATACCTGAACCCGCTGGAGAGGCTCAAAAAGGCCTGGACATAAACGAAGATATGGCAAGTCCAGTGCAGGAGGAATCCGACGCAGATGCACAACAATCTCCGGGTGGGCCAGGAGTATTGGTTTCGGCGCCGTCAAAGGAAGAGATGGATGCCGCTGCCTCTGCCCCTACTACAGATGTGGAGGATACAACAGCAGCTGACACACTGCCGAATGTCACTGCTATATCAGATGAGAAACCCGCCACAGCGACTACGGGAGCCCCTCCATCTGAGCAAGGATCAAAAACTCAGATTCCAGCCTCGTCCGGCTTCGCCAACGCATCATCAGCTTCTCCGTTTGCTAGTTTCAAGTCTCCTAAGTCTCCAGAGAACAGCACCGAGTCTTCAACACAACATTCAAGTAGTACAACCTCGACGTCGGCTTTCGCTTCTTCTGGCTTGTCAGCTTTTGCTTCATCCGAGAAGTCTCCCTTTGGCACTGTAGGCTCCACTGCTAAAAATAGTGGCGGCTTCGGTGGTGCGACAACATCTGCGGGCTTCGGATCATCGTCGGGTGGATTTGCGGCTGCGTCACCCTTCGGAAGTAAACCAGCCTCAGGGTTCGGTGCAGGCGGTGGCTTCGGCTCGGCCGGTGGCTTTGGTGGCGGCAGTGGCTTCGGGGCTACCTCGAAGCCATTTGCTGGTGGTCTTTCCTCCTTCGGCAGCCCGTCGGGAGGAGTAGGCACGTTCGCCATCGCCAAGCCGTTTGGATCAAAGAACGATCAAGATGACGATGAAAAGCGAAGCGACGAAGGTGGCGATGAGGAGGAAGGAGCGTCGCAGGCGGAAGAGGACCCCTCACAGGACCCCCGATTCCATCAGCAAGAGCGTATGTTTCGTCGTATCCTCCACATACAGGCATCGAACTAACCTATTGTCAACAGTCAACACGGGCGAAGAAGAGGAAGAAACGATCTTCACCTGTACCGCCAAACTCTATCACTTTGAGAAGGAATGGAAGGAAAGCGGCGTCGGCGACTTCAAAATCAACATCCGCTACGAAGTCAGGTCCACACCTGCTGCCGAGTCATCAACCGAGGAAGATGCTGCAAAGGACGATGAGAATAACGAGCAAGATCTCGAAGCAGGGCGATCTGAGTCCTCGAGCAGACTCGAACGCAAGGCACGGTTGATCATGCGAGCCAGGGGGACACATCGGCTGGTGCTCAATACGCCAGTGTTCAAGGAGATGATCGTCGGCACGGCCGACGGCAAGGAACCAACAGGGAAGACCATGCACCTCACCGGACTGGAAGGGGGAAAGCCTACTGGGTATCAGATGAAGGCAAGTTCTCGAGATCCCTACAAAGGCTGACGCTTCGAACCACAAGCTCGTGATCGTCGACTAACGGAGTGCTCGGACAGGTTGGCAAAGAAGAAACCTTGAAGGAAATCTACCGTAAGATTCGGGAGTTGCAACGAGAGCTGTGAAGAGACAAGCTTTACAGGTACCTCGAGAGTGTACGTCCTCAGACAGACACCCTACCGCACGCACTACCTGGCTGGGCCATTCCGCACGAGTCCTTCAAGATACGAGCTCGGAAAGAAAGAGTATTGGAATGACTCAAATCGGATGATCTGCATGCCAATCACGCACGACATGGAGGGCAGCTTGTCACCAAGGGTTGGGCATGTAAAGCAAAGATCATGCTGGTTGGAACGATGGGAGGTCTGATGTTAGGATATCACATCCCAAAATACATAAAGTCAACAAGTCAACTGTTGTCTTGAATTTCCTCCCGAGTAAAGCAATTGTTCCAGAATTCCGACCAGCCGAGCCCTACACAAAGATGATAGTGCAATCAATCATGAAAGGACGTAGCCACCACATATACAAGGTCCATGGCCTTTCCCGTACCATATATCAACCCAACCACGTTTAACGATGCCTTTTGCCCTCCTACTCATACTCATACGCATATTCATATTTCATAAGCCCAAAATGAATCACAGCAGGACCATCCCAACCCCTGCCATTAATGCACAAACGGTCCACAGCCAGAACAGAAGCCTGGCTGAATCACCTCCAACCGTGCGCGCCGCACCACTCCCCGTCAAATGGAATGGCCCGCCTCGACATGGCAGCGTCGTCGCAACGACGATGGTGCTCCCCTGCGTCGTGTACGTGTACGTGAGGACGTCTCCACCACCACTAGGGCAGTTAGTGGTCGTGATGACACCGCCACCAGCGCCGCCGTCACCGCACGCACATGTCGGGGCGACAGCCCATTGCGCGGGCGTCGTGAGGACCGCGCAGAGACTCGCGGGCGTGGACGTCACTTGGTTGTTCACGGTCAGGCGCGCGTACTCGGTGGCGAAGTAGGACGTGCCTTCCGTGAGTGTCACGTAGGTGTTGCCGTTGAGGTAGCCGCGCGTGGTGCAGGGTTTTGCCTCGCACGTCAGGGCCACGGGCGCTGGAGCCGGAGCCGGAGCCGGACCACCGCCGCACGCGGGAAGAGTCGCGCAGTCGTAATTTGCAAAGTAGACTTGGGCGTAGGCGGTGCATTGAGAGGCGGCAATGGTGGTTGTATAACTTTGGCCGTCGTTGTTCGTGACGTAGGCGACGGCGTATTCACCAGGGCTGTAGGCCGTGGTGGTTGCTTGCGCGGCCCAGTGGACCTGCGTGGAGCACAGTTTCGGCTGGCATGTGGTCGGGGCGGCGTTGCAGGTATTGCACACGCCGCAGGTCGAGCACTTGTAGACGGTCGTGTAGGACGTTGTCACCGGGCAGGGGACGTAGGAGGTCAGCGTGACGATCTGAGTCGAGATGTAGGAGACCACGTAGGTGGGCGTGGAGGTCCAGACCGTGGCTTGGACGACTTGGGTGTATTGTCCATCATTGTAGTCACCTCTTTCCTGGAGGCCGGCCAGAAGCCCCGTGAACAGTGGTAGAGCGCGCATCACCCGTCCCGCTCATGAGCACTTTGCTCCCCGAGCTTCCCCTCTGGATGGAATGCCACTGGCGATATTGACAAGCGCAGCTTAGAATGGGATCGCCAGTTTCTCTCGTACTCGAGCTACGAGAGGTATGTACTAGGTCTATCAATCGACCCTTGTGTTACACGGAGTTGTTTGCTCTTGCTGGGACGTATCTGACCTCCAAAGAATGGAAGCAGCTCGATACAATTACACTACAGAGTACCCTCAGGCCGGCCTCTCCCACCTCGCCTGGGGCAACAATCGCGTTCGATTGCAAGGATGGTGCCCATGGCTTCGGACCGCCACAAAACCTACCTTCACAGGGCGCAGCTGGAGAGATACCATTTTCAGACGTCTTGCGCCTCAATAGAGACTAGCTTTCTCTCCACATCCGGTTCTGCTGGAAGGGAATGGCCGCATCGCCAATCGCGTGTCGCAAAGCACGATGTTACTCGGCAGGGAAAGGTGTTTGGTTTCGGTAAGCTGCGTTGCCTGGGGAACAACAGCCCTGGAACATGCCACAACTCGTTCTCGTCGCCAATGCGACTTCTCCAGCACCGTCGATTCGGATCTTGCGTCGTCGTGCGGTTGTGACAGGAATGGCAAGCAGTTATCGCTCCAATACATTGAATAGAATGTTCACTTGGTGTGCCGGTGGTTGATCCTGGAAACCGATTTTCACGCCTTGGAACCGAGGTTGAGCAGTACGAAGAGCGTGAGGGTCGCTGCTGAGACTGAGACCCTGCCTGCACCCTTCAATTGACTAGTCGCAATTGCCATTTTGTTAACTACGTCAACCCTTAGGGCTTCCACGCCGTGCGGCCTGAAAGGCTGTGAACGTTCAAGTCAAACCTCAACTAAAGCATTGCCCTACAGCACTTTCCGCGACGCATGCCCCGGAGCTCTTCTACTTTCCGTTGTTGTTCCCAGCCAGGCTCATGTTGCGAAGTTGTGGACCATGGTGTTCGACGAGGAAGAAAAAATCAACTCTCTCTTATAATTTTCGGCCCTGATTCTATCTCCCTCCACCAGTACCACCTCCTCAGGATTATTTCGATCAAGTGCCCATCATGATGGAACACACAGATGCGTCAGAGACTTCTACTCGCTTTGAGAACGAATTGGCCTTGCTCGAAGCGATGTACCCCGGCCTCATTTCTTTCGACTCAAAAAGCCGTGACCTCAAATATACCTCCCCGAATTCGTCCAGCGCAACTTTGGTTTTACGACTTCACGACCAGTATCCTACAGGCCCCGACAAGCCCCAAATCATTTCCGCGTCCAGTGGATCCAGGAATGACATCCGCAACAAAGTACAACAAGCGGTTGAAACCGTTATGTTCGAGGAGCAGGGCTCGGAAATCCTGGACATCTTGATCAACCGGTTCGAAGAAATCACGGCTGAGACTGCGCAGGGTCCCGTGGCCGGAACCTCGGATGGACAACACAATGCGACAAAGGACAACGGCGTGGATGCTGACGCCGAATTCACCCAGCCATTCAAGACGGTAATCATCTGGCTGCATCATCTTTTGGCCACTTCCAAGCGCAAACTCGCTGTAAATCCGAGTCTGAATGCAAGGGTACTTAGTCGAAGCGGGTACTCCTCCCTGGACATTTCGGGCATCACGAAGCCTGGCTACCCAGGCATTATGATCTTCTCGGGTCGCAGTGACCTCGTCGAAGCACATGTTGCAGAACTTAAGGCATTGAACTGGCAAGCATTCCAGATACGATATGATTCGGCCGAAGAAAGCAAACAGCATGACCGTGCACCGGACCAATGGCAGTTTTCCTGTTGCAAAGGGAAAATTGTCGAACTTGAGACAATGGCAGAAATCGTCCAGAGCATCGTCAAAGAAGACCAGAAATCGATATTCCTCCAGGCTGTTGGATTGAAGTGACGAGAATCATAGTCCTTGAGTCTACTGCCACACGACCAGGGAGGAGTACGCATTGAGGTCTACATCGCGGGCTTTTGGTGGGATATTCTCTCTCCTAATCTTCTTGGGATCTCTGTCGCTATGGAAAGAAGATAATACGACTGCTAATCCCCACGTTATGTACACCAGCATCTGAATCACCCTCGCCCACAATTCAGGCCGATATGCTGGGGCATCCGGAGTATGAGCCAGGAAGTTGCCACAAATCGATTTTCGCTCGAGCTGAGGTACTCGATGGCCCAAGCCCTGGTTCATGCACCATCAACTTATCGCACACCGAAGATCCACCAATCAAGATTGTTGTCGACAGTCAAGGCCGACAGTAAGGCGTCCCGCCCGCCTTGCCACCTCCGGAACTGCGTACACACTTGGACCTTTGCCGGTGCTGTGCCTGCTCAGGTGTCTGCAAACAGAGAGAAGAGATGCACCAATTGTTGGCATTGTCCTGCTCTGTCTGGGTCCGATGCAGAGGTTCGTGGTCGACTTTTGAAGACAACTGTTTGATCAAATAGGCCTGCATGGGTGACTGGCCCACCGTGCACTTATCACGCTAATCCTTGCAGAAGTCAAGCTTCAGGATCTCAAAGCTTGAACATCACAAGGATGCAGAGCCGCCAAAACGACTCGCCTTGGTCTTCGCCACGCGGATTCAAGCAAATCCATAGCAGGCAGTGTGCATGCAGAACCCTTTCCCGTGGCGATCGCTCTTTCGGTTCTAGGCTGCGGTGGAACCTGCGGCTGAGCATATGATGCCGCGGTGGATATGGCTTTTCGCGAGCTTTCGTTCGTCCACCAAAATCAGGGATGCTTCGCCCCGGACACCTGGTCCAGTCAACTGGCATTTAGTCCAGCCCAAAATACAATCACAATATCTGCGCTAGCGTCGCTGGTCTCCTCTGGCACATATCATGATGTTGCGCCATTTACCGGACATCATCCTCATAGAGCGCGCTACTCTTCCTCTCCAGCCTTATCATAAACTACAAGTCATATCAAATGTGGTCGCATTACGAGCAGTAGTAGTCTAACGCACGAAAGCAAGAGACTCCACTCCCTCTCCTGAGCAGCGCCGAAAATCCCACAGTCGCTTGCGAGACTAAAGCCGGCAGCATCAATGGCGCAACTCGCGGAAGCGCACACTCTCCCCAGCGTCAATGATGGCCGTGACGACGTGGTGGGAAACGTTGAGCACAAAAGCCTATTATCCGCGACACACAAAGATGCCTTTCCCGAGAAGGAAAGCAAGGCAGCCTCGAGTACCCTATCCAGCCAGAAGTGCGACGGACGAGCGACTGTGTCTGTGCTGAAATACATTCAGCTCTGGTGGCTGGAAATCTTCAGCTGCCTCGCCAGCGTGTTTGCGGTCATTGCCATTTTTGTTACCGCTAATGCCTACGACAACAAGCCCAACCCTCACTGGCCTCAAGGTCTCTCTATCAATACGCTGATATCCATATACGTTGTGATCCTCAAGGCTGCGCTCCTCACCATCCTGACCACAGGTCTGAATCACCTCAAATGGAGCTGGTTCAGCAAAATAAGACCTCTCAATGACCTTGCCACCTATGATGGCGCCTCAAGAGGTCCACATGGCGCGCTGTGGCTCTTAGTCACGGTACATGGTCGGGATGTTTTACCAACCATAGCGGCCTTCGTCACCATCGCAGCCGTCGTGCTTGATCCCATTGCACAGGAGCTTATTCAGTACTACAGCTGCTCCAGAGCCCAACCAGCCGTTGGTCAATCAACAACTTCTCTGAGCGCGAGCGTGCAAAGAACCGCTTCGTACTCCGAGGCAGTAGAGGACGATATTTCTTATGGCCTGAAAATGGCCATCAACGCTGGCCTATACAGTCAGGGCTCGACCGTCAATTTTCAGTGTTCCTCAGGTTATTGCACATTCCCAGAAGAGTTCTACACGATCGGCTATACGCACAGTTGCGAAGACATCACCACCGAACTACGTTGCACTTCAACCCAGCGGCAGCAGAACATCTCTATTCTGGCTACGGATCCCCAGACTCAATTGCCCTACGATAGCTGGGAGATGATCAACGTCACCGACTTCCAGATGGGCCTGCCTTCTGGCATGAAGGCAAAGTACTCGTACAGCAACAGTGAGGCTTACTATCAAGACCAATGGGTCATGGCATACAACAGTGACGTCGCTGCCGTGGACCTCCTCATGCTCAATGTCGAATACGTCGTCGAGCCCCCCAGCTGTAATGAGAGCACGACGGGCAACTGGACGAGCAGAGGCTTCGGTGCCGCCAGATGCACGCTCAAGCCGGCCGTCCTGGCCGTGAGCGCCTCTGTCCAGGACGGCAGACTGCACGAAACAGTCGCTTTGGCAACCGATAGCTTCGGCGAGGTGCCCGCAACTGGGCCTGTCAGTTGCCCGGCGACTAGCACCATCCACCTGCCTTGTCTGACACCGGCGCAGATGGAGAATCTAACCCAAGCCGGCTACGACGTCCCAGCCGGTGCTGAATGGTTCCCAATCCACGACTCCTGGATCTGTGAACGCTATCGTGTTTACACACCCGGTAAAACTACCATTGTGCCCCAAAAGTGTATGTACACGTACGGCTACTCGCTGGACAGCTTCTTCAGCACCTTCTTCACCCCCGGCTCTGTGAGCTGGCACACGGACGACACCGACACCATGGTTCGCAATACCTCGACCGTCTCCGAGGTGTTCTACAATTCTGGCAGGGCGACCTTTCATTCTGTCGACGGCATCTTCGCCAACATTTCGAAAAGCATGACGACGTATATCCGCGGCCATGGTGACGACGGTTACTCCACACTAGCGTCGGGCAACGTCGTCACCACCCTCACGTGTATCCGGGTGCGCTGGGGTCTGATTGCATATCCGGCTGCGTTGGCGGCTGTCACAATTGCTTTCTTTGTAGCGTTGGCGGTTCAGGACCGAATGCCCAGCAGGAACGTCCCGGGTCTGGATCACGATCTGAAAGGAAATCCGCTGGCCTTGCTGTTTTATGGATTCGATGACAGGACGGCGAGCAGAGTGGAGGCCCTCTCGGGCAGGGCTGGCACGATCAAGCTTGTGAAGGAAGTTGAGAATATGCCCGTGAGCGTGAGATTGACGGACCGGGGCTGGAGGTTCGTTAGTGAAGAGGACAAGGGCGTGGCGTGAGGCGAAGTCCTACAACAACTTTCTGTCTGGGATTTACAATAAATTCGGTGCTCCATATCAGATTGTTACGATGTGCCGCGCGAATAGCAGACGTCTAGTGTTGTTGACCCCTGACTTGATGGTTGGCCTCCAAAGTCAACGGTTTCGTCATAAACTCTACGAGGCTGCTGCATGACCGAGGCGACTGTGTTCATTCACTCCCTACGCAGTCACTGTACCCAAGAGCCGCGACAGTATTCCGTACAGGGACAACCGCTAACGTGGAGGGTACTGGTGCTAACGTTGCATTCACATCCCTCTATGGATATCACACCCATATGTATAACCACGACCAGTTGGGACTGAAGTTGTATGTATAGGTATAGATCGGGGCGGATATCCTCTCTTCTTGCTCCCTGCCTGCGGCATAGCTCTCTATACTATATCAGCCGCAGTGTCTCTCTCTCTCTCTCTTTCTCTCTCGCCTAGAATCACAAACTATCCTCCCTCCATCGGCTCCGGACCCTCTGCCAGCCTTCCTTCTCATGAAGTCCTCCTCTCTTCTCAAGCCCCATCCCTCTCTCCACCCACTCCTGACTGCCCATCTCGGTCAAGCGGCTCAAGGCCCGCGCGAAGGCGAAGCGCTCCTCATCACCGCTAAACAGCGACGACTGCTTGAGCATGCTCATGTTCATGCCCAGATCGTCCATCAGGTTGCGCATCACATCATCGACGTCGTGGCCTTCATCCTGACCCGAAGGTCCAGACTGATTGACCTTGGCGTTTTGAATCTCCTGAACGACGTTTTTCTCGTCCTTGCTCGCCGCGGCCTCGTCCTTTTTGACTTTATCCGTCACTCTGTCCAGACTGTCGTCCAGCTCCGTCTTGCTGACGAACAGCTGACTCAGCGGCACGGCCGTGGTGAGCACCAACTTGGCGTGACTCTCATACACGGCGTCGATAAAAGTGATGAATCGGCGGGCCCAGTCTCTCTCGCGGTGCGTCATCCCGGGCACGTCCGTGACGATGAAGGCGTCAAAGCTGCGCATCATCTCAATGTAGTCCGCCGCGCCCGTGGCCCGGCCGATGAGGTCGTGAAACGTGAACCGCACGGCGCGCCCGGAGACGAGCGGGATGTGCACTTCGCGGCCCCACACCGTGATGGTCGTCGGGTGAGGCGGGTCGTTCTCGGGGTCCCCCAGGAAGCTGAACCACTTGTCCGCGTGGGATTTGGCCGCGCGGTCCAGAGGGTGGTGGTACACGCCGCTGGGCGGGCGGGGCAGCTTGCGATAATCCGTCTGCGAGTCCAGGTTGATGACGCGCAGGCGCTTCTTGAGCAGGTTGATGCACGGGATGAAGGACTGCCGCTGGATGCCGTTCTTGTACAGGTCGTCCGGGTGGCGGTTCGAGGTGGTCACTAGGACGACGCCGTGCGACATGAGCGCCTCGATCAGCCGGCGCAGGATCATCGCGTCCGCGACGTCGACCACCTGGAACTCGTCGAAGCACAAGACCTGCGCCGTCTCGGCCAGGTCGGCCGCGATGAAGGGCACGGCGTCAAAGTCGTTGCCGTATTCCATCCGGATCTTGTGCAGCCGCTTGTGCACATCCTGCATGAAATTATGGAAGTGGATGCGCGTCTTGGACGTGATGTTGGCGGGTAACGTGTCAAAGAACAAGTCCATCAGCATCGTCTTGCCGGACCCGACATCGCCGTACATGTACAGTCCCTTGGGCAGGTTCTCGGGTATCTCGCCTATGGCCTTCTTTTTCTGGCCGCTCGAAAACAACGACCCGAAGAGGGATTTCTTGGGCGGTTGAAGGTCATGGATGTCTGGGTGAATCACTTTCGGAGGGATATAGTCCTGTAGCGATTCGTGGAGATCTTGGAGGTGCTCGACCAGCGCTGTATCGTGTCATGTCAGTACCAGCAGCTCTTTCTGGAGGGACACAGGGATTGGGTGGGGACTTCGCGCTCACTTCTCTGATGCTCATCCATCCGCAGTCGCCCTGCGTGGACTCGTTCATCGTACTCCACCAATGGTCCGCGGGGGCGTACGTCTTTCACCGTCGCGAGCTCCCTCTTCTGACGCCATTGCCGCTGCGGTTGGGGCCCCGTAGATCTCACCGTCCAGTCGGAGCAGACCGTGCTCGCGACATGTAGTTGGCGCCTCAGGGAGAGTCTGGGCGATCTTCTTTGTCGTCGCAGTGTCTGCGTCGGGGTCAGTATGGTCAAGCACTCTGCGCAGACCGGTTGCCGCAGTGGAGCCCGGACAGCGGTATCGGAGATCAGAGCTCGGAGGTAGGACTGGAAGGCGTTGTGGACGGGGTGCACAACGGCTTTCATAATGACGGCCACGCAAACAACGTGGAAACACTAGGTGCACGCTGTAATATATCCAAGGTCATCAACTCATGGCGAGGACTAAGCCAAAACGTGAAGGAGGAGCAAGTGCAAGCTAATACGCAATTTCTTAGCAACGGTGCAACTAGTTGTCGAGCTGCGTCACAGGCCGTTGAAGGTGAGGCGAGGCGAGGCATGGCATCTCGGGATAAAGACCGCAGTTCGTTGGACCCAGTCGTCCGGTGGAAACAGAATTGCCGGTCAAGTAGCCGATCATCTGGGCCGACACATCACAAACCGGACATTTAGCGGTTCACGAGGGTCAAACGTCCTGCAAGATACTGTATCTCGCTGGAACGTACGGAGTACTTCGAGCTCAAAGCATTTGGGGATCTGGCTATAGAGAGTAGGTTCTGTGGGCCGTGACCAAGTGGTGCCTGAGTGCCTGCAGCCGCTCGCATCGAGATACCCAGATACCTGCTTGACCGAAATGCATGTTCCTCTTCCTGAACTCCTCCCCTTGTGCTCGCAAATCAGCTGGCACGCTTCGCACAGATCCGCCCGATATGACCGTAGGCTATCTCAAACTCCGCGAAACGCTCTTGTCGCCGAAGTGATGGTGAGAAATTGCTCGAAACTGTAAACTTTTGCGGAAAATGTAGAAGTGTTGGAACTGAATCCCTCAGGGTCAATCGTAACGCCATTGGAGTTCCGACCGTGATTTCGTAAAACCATTCATTTCGTCAGGTTGCCCTGTTCATCGCCTTGTATACCATAGTAGAACGCATGCAGGACGGGCCAATGCACAAGAGGCTGCTGTCAGCTGGGCTGCTCTGCGGCCGAGGTTCAAAGGTCATAGCACGAGCAACCCTTCTTCAACCGGGGGCATAATTGACGTAGAGCGTGAGTTTGGGATTCCGTTGAAGCGCAACGTCGAGGTTGTCATCGTTCTCCAGGTCAATGAGACTGTTGGTCGGCTCGTCCTTGTACTGAATCACGATCTCTTCGTTGACCTTCAACCGCTCCATCAGCTTTTCCCTTAGTGCCACAAAAACGACATCTTGCGGCACTCGGAGGGCGATGATGTCCTCTTGGAAAAATACTTTGACTTTCATGGCCCCACCTGCATTGCCGGCCTTCATACTCGAAGAATTCGACGCCTGGGTCAAGTTGCTTGGTTGAGAATGCAGAAACGGCGGACCTCCCATAGCCATGCCTGCTCCTGCGGACATAGGTACGGGCCCTCTTTGCTGCGACGATCGTGCTGATGGGGGCGGCATGCCGCCATACGGCACTCCGGGTGGCTGTTGGTTGGAAGAGGTCCGAGAAACCGGTGGCAGCGAGTGCTGCGACCCGCTTGACAGTCTGTAATCCTCCCCGAGAGCATTGGGATCTATCTCGAAATCTTGACCTGGCTTGGGCTTGAACAAATTCCTGACCAGCATACTCTTGGAAATATGAGGTGGCATGCCGACAATCTTCTTGATATACTCGTCAAGATTCTGCCGTCGACCGTTGGAAATCGCATCCGTGACATGCGCCACAGGACCGGGCATAAATGGTAGTATACGAGGCTTGCCCTTGTTGCCAGCCTCTTCCGGAAACATCTCTAGAAGAGCAATCTGAAAGTCGTAGAAGTCGGCGTAGTACCGTGAGAGTTCCCACCATCGGCCGTCTTCCATCTGACACTCGATAATGTACCAGTACATGTCGTTGTCGAAGCAATATCGAGGCACCGAGGCACTGACGGGCGCTAACGGGATGTTCGACTGCTGAGATAGCCTTGCTCCAGTCTGGTTTGGACTCATAAGCTTCCGTTTCTCAGGTTCAGGACGGGAACAGCCACTTACATATTCAGTCTGTCTAGGAGGAGGCTGTTGTGAGGGAGCATTCTGTAAGCTCATCCGAGCCATTTCGGCCGACATTTGAGCTTGGGGGTTATCGAATTTGCCCAAGCTGATACTGCTGTTCTTGTACTCGGCCGCGAATTTCTTCCATTCTTCCACTCGAGGCACGCCTGCTTTCCGAACAGCCTCGAGAGGGTCTGGGACTGACTGCATAGTCGCAGTGTCCTTGATATCGATGAATGACACGGGGATCAGGCCAGGCCCTCCTAGCCGTCCTATCGGCTTCGCAACGAACCATTCTGGGTTGGATTGTGCCACCACGATAATCGCCTCTCCAGCTTTGGCGTCCAGCTCATCTGCCCTCTCTGCATGGAAATCGTACTGTACCACGCCATACACCATGGCGCCCGTGCCTCGTCCGCTCATACTTGGTCCTCTCTGATGAGGTCCTGCACTAGGTCGTGTGGTTGCCACCGATTCTGACCTTGTATGGCCAGAGTTGGTCGAGCCCTTTTCAGAAAAGCCTGAGTCATGACCGTCGGCCTTGTCTGCAGGGGACGCAACAGGGCTTCCACTCTGTCGCTGTTGTTTGCCAACCACTTCGAAGAATGCAACGGGCACAAGGCCCCTGGCGGACGGGATGAGCGGGTTGCACGCCTCGTACCACTCTGTGTCGTCCTCGCGACTTAGGACATGGAAGAAGTCGCCCTTGTGAAATGCTAGCTCTTGCGCATTGCCGTTCTGCGGCTCATAGTTATACAAGGCTTTGATCACCTTCTTCGGGGGTAGTGCTTGGATTGTCTTGGGTGTGATGGACAGGTTCGGCGGCTGCCTTCCGTCTTTGTCGCTCTTCAAAGATCGACGAATAGCCTATGAGAACAGAGTGATCAGTGCCCGACAGTGAGGGCGCGAGCTGCGCGCGTGCGGTGAACAAGATAGACATACCTTCATTGTCGCATTGAAGGAGTGCCCCGCAATCGCACTGGGCAGGAAGGCAAACCTGTGGAAACCGTGCTCTTTTTGGCTCTAGATCGGCTGCGGGCGCAGTCGCAGGGTGGAACGAGGCTTTCAACGGCCTGCACGGGGTTGGACTCTGCCGCGCAAAATTGAGGGTCAAAGTGTTTCAGGATTTGACGTTGACAAGATCAGGCTGATGAGGTTGTCGGCGGCGGACAGAATGCTGTTGGCAAGATCGAGCAAGGGGAAGACCTCGTGTGTCTCTCTAGCGTGTCTGGCAGGGATCGCTTCAGTTCAAGCCCGTGACGCCCCACTGATTGAAGATTGCGACGGGCCTCAGAGACTTTCGATTGAATTCCGGAAGGATTCCAGAAATCAAAGTGCGACGGCGGTGACGTATATGTGAAGATTCAATTAAAGGTCTTCCTACAAGGTTCCTGTGGTTGTAAAGAGGGTACCTTTTGTTCTTGGGGTCCTGCTCCTGAATCGAGGCTGACGATGGCCAGGCGGAAACTCGCCAGAGAGTGTGAGTCGGAAAAGCAACTGTGCCAGGCCCGCAACGTGGGCGTGGCTGCATTGCATGGCCGCCATTCCAGGAACGTGGGAATCGCGAACAAAGGGTACGAGTCAATGCACACAAATGGCCCCCAAAAGCCACGCAAACTGACGAAAACCACAAAATCCACGGGAACCGTCACAGCTGCACAAGCTGCGTTCTTGAGGCGGGCTGCATCTTGATCCGACAGCTTGACTGGTTTCGACCTTCATAGCCACAGCCGGAAAGCTTGCAGCAGCTGCACAGGAATCTGCCCATTCTTGCACTATAACTCTTGTTGGCCAAAATAATTCTGCTGCACGCGGCGAGCTATGCTCAGCCACGTGAGATATGTCAACTAGCCTGTAGTTCCAAGTCGATGCCCAGATTTTTCTTGAGCTCAGCCTAGACCACTGTCCTCTCCGCATAGGCCTGTTATCAACCCTTCCACGGCGTAAAGGGAACGGCATTTCAGATGCACCAGGACCATCGGACTCAGTCGATAGACAATGATAGCAGAGAGTGCCGACAACTTGAAACCATTGTTCGCCTCATCTTGGCAGGCGGTACCAGAGTCATACTGCCAACGATCCACCTCCTTGCAGTGGCACACTGAGAATGTTCCTTGAACCACCCAGCAATGGGGCGCTAGGAACGCCGGAAAGGAAGCCCATATCCTGACTGAGACTAGTTCAATGCGTTCTGCATGATCACTCTTTCTCATACGTGGTAAAGACAAAGATACTCCTTGCTTGTGCTCGTGTATCTCTTCGCTGGATAGGGATGGTGCTTCGGCTACAAAGAACAACAAGGTGCCCAACCCATTAAGGTAACTAATGCTCAAAACGGTCGTTCAAAGGAAACAAAGTGGAATAGAGTCGGGAAGGTATATTCTGAGGTAGGACCTGCCAGCTGCCTAAGGTCCGGAGCTTTCAGATCAACGGAATGACAATCGCAGGGCCCAAGGTATGTCATGGGAAACATTCATATCTGGCCCTTGATGTCGATTTGTCCAAAGGCTTTCGCCTTCGCAATGTGGAAGATGGATCCAGCTTTTCCAGTCAAAAAGCGTACATCTCCATCGCGTTCTTCGAGTAGACTCGAGGACTCATCTGCTGCATGATCAATGATGAATTGACATGCTTCCTCGTCCGACTCGAAACCCAGCTCTTCTGTAACGAAGCGAAGGCGGACATCAGGTTTATATCTGAAGGAGAACACGTTAGTTGCATGCTTGAAAGGGTCTGGGAAAGGAAAACCTACGCTCTGCATAAGCAAGCCAAAGCCGCCAGTCTTTCACGCTCTACGAACATATCCATCAGATATGCGCCCATATCAGGCACGGTCAGATACAATTTGAAGAATTTGTGGTAATTGCCGAGAGCGAGAGCAGAGCGCACCTCGAGCGCGTGTTTGATGGCCGGTTCTTTCTTGTCTGCTGGGGTTAGATCAGATAGTACGTCATTCATGTCAGTCCGGTTGCAGGTGTGAATGAAATACAGGATACGATATGCCTTGAACTCCACAGGGTGACCGCCTAGACTCTGCTTGTACAGCGCCCGCAGCTGTGTTTGGCACTGGTTATACTCACCCAGGTCACCCTTCTCTAAGGCAATCCGGGCATGGTACTCGTAAACGCTGGTGGTGAATTCGTTCTTGATGTGTTGGACGGTCAAATCTTGCCGCAGAGACTTGAACTGGTCACAGATGTAGACATAGTTGGCCTCAGAGCGCCATTTCTTCTTTAGTAATTCCAATGTTTTCCGAAGAACTTCCAGTGGTCGGACGTCATCGGGGTTGGGCGCTGATGTTAATCGGAAATAGTTCTTTTCCAGCTTTTGCGATCGCCCAACGATAGGTCCAGTCGGCTTGGGTTCCGGTGAGGCGCCCCTGGATGATTCTTGTGTACGCGGAGAGTTGGAATCTCCACGCATGTCTTCGAACCGTCGTCTGCGGGATTCTAGACTGGCGCCAGCTCTACTTACGGATGTGCTCATGTCGAGCTTGGGTCGTTTTTCTTTCGGGTTGAAGGAGACACGATCGGCCAACGACCCGGTCTGTTGTCCATTTGGTCTCCAGGGAGGCGGTGGTGCAGAGACCTCGACTTCTGCTGAGAGCTCTGTAGATTTGCGCTTGCGCGGAAAGTCCGGTTGAGTGTGATAAGGAGTGGTAGGAGCGGGAACAGCTACAGGGGAAACAAAAGGTGGAGGTGTTATAGGAGCAAGAAGAGCACGGTTGCGTTCCTCCAAGATCATTTGCTGCGGTAGCGGCAGCTCTTTCCAGTTGATACGGTCCAGATTCCCGCTTTGCGTGGCGTCTGTGATGATTTCCTTGAGTTTCGCTTCAATCTGTTCTTTGGATACTGTTCGCATCTCTGCAGCCTTCGCGAATGAGCGATTGACATAGTCACGGACGTCTTGGGACCAGACGACTTTCGGCCGGGGACCTTGTTGGGGTGGAGGTGGAGGGGTATTGGACATGGTGCTCGCTGGAGGTGAAGGCATGTACTGTTGAGGTGGTATTGAGGTAGGAATATAGGCTGGCGGCGGGGGAAAGGCTGCTGGGGGACCAAAGGTATTTCGAGCGGAAACTGGTACGTAAGCATGACTTTGGTTGTTCAACGATGGATACGGTGGTGCAGTCTGCCACGGAGGGTGGCCTGCAGGAGACGAATACATGGTAGCGCGCTCAAGCACAGTTGACTGAATCGCGCGCGAAGGTGAACGGAAGGGAGAGAGAAGACACTACGACGGTCAACCTGATCGACCGACTATGTTGCAAGGCAGTTTGCGCGGTCGTCGTGATGCTGTGATGAGGAAGTCGGTGAAAGGAAGAGAAGTCGAGGTTGAGTGAAATTGCCGCCAGACAAGCGACTTAGCTATGGCCTAACCTGAATAGGTTAACGACATTTGATGCCGAGTTTAACCAAGGCAGCGGGCAACATCCGTTCACTGGATTCTTCCTTGTAGTGTTGATTAGCTTCAGGCACGTTGATGATGCTAGACTTATAGTAAAGATCACTCCCCGAAGACGCTAGCTCCCTGAAGATGAACTCCAGTCTGTATAAACAGCCGGATGTTCCTCAAAAAGCCAGACTTGACTGCTGGCTCTCGCCCCGACCTGTCGCAAGATGAGGTCCTTTTATTTGTGCAGGACGGGGTTGGACTGTATGAAGGGAAAGTTGGACCGTGATGGCTGAGGACTCCACCATGGCTAACAATCATTTAGAAAATACAAGATTGATTCTTGCCAAAAAGGGCACGCGTACCTGACGTCCCATCGCATATGCTATGTCGACGATGCAGAACCGCGCGCCAACTCATGGGCGATTGATTTGAAAGATGTCGATAGGCATGAGTTTCAGGTGAGATCGATTTCGACATTTGCGAGAATGGTGCTTACCCAACGCGATCAAGGCTGGGTTTCTCAGATCATCGCCTAAGGTCACCTTTTTTCCTAAGCCGCTTAAAAGAGGGTTTGGCTCGATAAGCAGAACTGCCACGCCGCAATCGCCGCATCTCCAGAGGGTCGTTTCTTCTTCAACACCTACTTCACGGTCTGCGAGTCCGCTCCGCCCTCAATCGGTCGCAGCGCCACCTGCGGCAGTGGTAGGCGGGACTTGGGTATGTCCCATCTGCTCTTTCTCCAATCCTGTGCCCTCGAATTTTGATCCTACCATCGCTACGGAGGCTTTCCCGCTGCCGCCCTGCCTGGCCTGCGGCATCAAGCCTCCATTCTCCACGGTGCTGAAAGCGGCTGTCGTCGCCAATGCGAAACGAACGCCTGTTCCGCCATCAGAATCGATCAACCTGACGAGGGACTCGCTGACGAAGTCCTATGGAGGTCAAGATTCTGCAGAAAGCATTACTTGCCCCAGATGCACCTTTCACAATCATCGTTGGCTCCGCGAGTGCGAACTGTGCTCTGCTCCGCTACCGACTCCAAACACACTTCAACGAGCCGGGTTGGAGGGACCAATTGCTCGGGCCGAGTCACCAGGGCCAGAGATATCAGCTCTCACACTCGGAGACGAGCATGAAAGTCCGAGCGTCAAGATTTCTTTCAGGAACGGGGGCGATCGAGTGTTCTATGAGCGGTTAAAAAACGCAATGATACAAAGAAAGTGGTTGCTGCAGAACGCCCCACCAATTCCCAGGGCTGATAGCCCGCGTGCTTCGACGCCCTTCAGCACTGCGGGGCCAGCACCATCCGAGCCACGAAAAACAGCTGTGGGCATCGCTGGTCTTGAGCAGCGGGGCCTACAGACTCGTAAGATTAATGAAGCTGTTTTGGGAAATGCCTTTGAGGATTTAGAAGCTTTGATGGCGTCAGCTAAGGATGTGGTGGCCCTCGCTGAACGATTTGCGCAAGAGTCGGGAGCTGGTTTAGGTCTCCCAGGCGTCGTTTCGGACCCTCTTCTTTCTCAATCGGCCGCCGCGCTCGGCATGGTGGCGACAAAAGACATGGTGGGTGATAGCTCGAATACACTTTACATCTCAGAGTTAGCACGAAATCTGGCGGAATTTGCCATGGATGACAGACGGGGCATACTGCGGCACCAAGGCGGCACAATGAGCCTTGTCGATCTCTGGGCCATATTCAATAGGAGTCAAAATGGCGTGGAACTGGTTAGCCCATCTGACTTCCACAAGGCTGCTGAAGCGTGGGACAAGTTGGGACTTCCTATAAAGCTACGACGATTCAAAAGTGGATTGCTGGTGGTCCAGTACGGGAGCGCAACTGACGAGAGGACGATCAGTCAGCTGAAGGCATGGCTGGAGTCGTTCAAGCGGCATGCAGCAGATATACCTGAGCTGTGGGATCGGTTAACGTTTGGCATCGGAGTTACAGCACAGCAAGCAGCAGCACAGTTTGGCTGGAGTCTTGGTGTTGCCAGCGAAGAACTTGAAATGGCAGAGGAAAGAGAAGCACTGTGCCGCGAAGAGAGCGTGGAAGGCTTGAAATTCTGGCTGAATTTCTTGGTCGATGAGGATGAGTAGCTGATGTGCATGCCAACACGCAATAGAAAAATGCACGTCCCCATTCATGTATTCTATCCCCCTGGGACATTTCTTTGACATGTTAGTTCCTGAGCCGACTTCCACCCACAAATGGATCCACGCGCACGTGCTGCTCCGGAATCGTGTGCGTCTTCGCCGCAGTTGCCCCTTCGAGAAATTTCCGCTCCTGAGCGCCCGCGGCGCCTGCGACGCCCATGCTGATGGTTTGTTATTGCGATTGTGGTTTCCGTACAGTGCAGAGTATATCTCACAAAAATATGACCGTCTAACCCAAGTCGCTCCTTCTCTCAGACTGCGCAAGAATGGCCAGAATAGGTCGCGGAGGGTTTCTAGCCCTGGCAGTGGTCTTCCACTTAGTCTACCTCTACTCGATCTTCGATATATATTTCGTCAGTCCCATTGTGCATGGCATGAGACTCTATGGGATCCCCCAAGAGAAAGCGCCGGCAAAGAGATTAGTCTTGTATGTTGGCGACGGTCTCCGCGCAGATAAAGCCTTCCAGTCCTTCCCAGACCCGTCTCCTCCCGACCCAGCCAATGCCGACCTGACTCCTCGACCTTTGGCAACCTTTCTGCGCTCCCGAGTCCTCGAGCATGGCACCTTCGGCGTTTCCCATACACGAGTACCAACGGAGTCACGGCCCGGTCATGTTGCCCTCATAGCTGGCCTTTACGAAGACGTCTCCGCAGTCACAACGGGATGGAAACTGAACCCAGTCGACTTCGACAGCGTTTTCAACAGAAGCCGGCACACATGGAGTTGGGGCAGTCCCGACATCCTCCCAATGTTCAAGGAAGGTGCGGTTCCAGGTCGAATCGATGCGGACACGTATGGTGCAGAATTCGAGGACTTCTCGCAGGATGCGACAGCGTTGGACGTCTGGGTCTTTGACAGGGTCAACGACCTCTTCAAATCCGCCAGCACAAATTCTACATTGGATGCCATGCTTCGCGAGGACAAGATCGTTTTCTTCCTCCATCTGCTAGGGTTGGATACAACCGGGCACTCGTACCGCCCGTATTCCAAGGAATATCTGCACAATATCAAGGTTGTGGATCAAGGTGTTCAGGAAATAACCAATCTGATTGAAGAGTTCTATGGCGATAGCGAAACAGCTTATGTTTTCACCGCTGATCACGGTATGAGCGACTGGGGCAGTCACGGCGATGGTCATCCTGACAACACAAGAACTCCATTAATTGCCTGGGGAGCTGGTGTTGCTGAACCTCGACTTTCTGTTGGCGAGAAAGCTCCTGGCCATGAGGATGGTTTCTCGTTCGACTGGGGGTTTGACCATATCCAACGACATGACGTTGATCAAGCCGATGTTGCAGCCCTCATGGCATACCTTGTCGGAGTTGAGTACCCTGTGAACTCTGTTGGAAAGTTGCCCTTGTCCTATCTAGCTGCGACGCCAGAAAAGCAAGCCAATGCATTCCTAGTCAATACGAAACAGGTCCTGGAAATGTACAGGGTCAAGGAGGAGCAGAAGAAGTCGACTTGCTTGAAATATCAGCCATATCCTCCGTTCTCCAAGGCCAACGCATCAATTGCTGCTAGTATCTCAGCGATTGAGAGTGCGATTGCAAACAACCAGCACGAACTTGCCATTCAGCTCTGCTCGGATCTGTTCAGTCGCGCTCTCCAAGGGCTGCGCTATCTACAAACGTACGACTGGCTTTTCCTCCGAGCTCTCATTACCATCGGGTATCTTGGCTGGATAACCTATGGTATTACTACAGTCATCGACCTGCATGTCCTGCATGGTGCCGTGGCGGAAAGAAGGACAACAGCTTCTCTTCTGGCGTTCTCCTCTATTCTTGTTGCACTGTATTCGTTCTTCATCATCGAGCGATCACCAGTGACGTATTATGGATACGCAGCGTTTCCTGTCTTTTTCTGGGAAGAAGTCTTTGCTAGGAGAAAAGCCTTGTTCTCCGGCTCTAAAGTTCTTCTCGGGGATATTCAAGGGTTCTCCAAGTCCAGCTCCCTCCTTGTGCAGGCCTTTTGCTTCTTGTTTGTCATTGAGGGTTTGGTGAGTTCAAATTGGACCCCATCATTTTGACATAATCCTGACTCGTCCAGGTTCAAGCATACTTCCACCGGGGCATTCTCACCGTGTTATACCTTCTCGGAGCAGTCTTCCCTGCATCATACGGCGCAGATTTCGTCAAAAAGAATAAACTAGTACTCCTTGCATGGGCAGCTGGCTGCCTGGTCCTCAGCACCTTCACATTTCTTCCTGTTGTCAAGGTTGAGAGTCCAACTATGATAACCGCAGGCGGCCTTCTGATGTTCGGGGCAGGCCTGCTTTACCTTACCTTCGAGCACGATATTACGTCGCAGTCTAAATCTGCGGGCGCATACAGCGACACAAACATACTTTCTCGAACTCTGATGGGACTTCAAACTGGCATCATCCTTCTGACGGTCATCGTCACGCGTTCGAGCGTCGCCTCACTTCAGGCAAAGACAGGCCTCCCGGTTGGAAATCAAGTTGTTGGCTGGCTCGTCCTTTCAGCTTCAGTCATCCTCCCCTTCGTCCACCGAATAGCACCAAACAAACACTATCTACACCGCTTAGTCATTATCTTCCTTACCTTCTCACCGTCCTTTGTCCTCCTCACAATCTCTTACGAGGGGCTCTTCTACTTTACCTTTTGCTTTATCCTCCTCGCCTGGGTGCGACTCGAACACGCCATCCAGCTGCATACTTCCCATCGACCTCAGCCAAACGCATCTCAACCTCAGCCAAACGCATCTCAACCTC